GGAAAGGTGTGAGTTCGAATATACTGTTAAGGTCGTACTCTCGTAAGATCGGATCCGAAGGACTTCGGCCTCAGCTCGTACGCTGTGCCCCTTTCCCAAGTACTGTCCCTTATTTCAAAGTACTAATGATAACGCGTCCGAAGGTCCGGACGGGTCTCGTAGTATATCCGGAAGTCTTCCGGATATCGGAAACGCGTATAAGGCTAATCCGGACGTATCCGAACTAGAAACTAACAGAGTAAAGACTACCCGAAGGTAGAGCCGAGGATATAGACTATCGGAATCTATCCGAAGTCTCGGAGAGTGACAAGAGTAAGGAGAACTCAAGTCCGGAGGACAGAAAGAGGACAAACTAAGATGATATTCGAACTGAGGTACTACAGGACATATACACGAGTTTATATACTATGAGGATAACGGAAGTATCAGTAAGCAAGGGTCCGAGGCTATGTACGAAGCATGTGCAAAGGTTATCAAACGCGAGTCGGAAATGAGACATAGGTTAACGGATCAGTAATCATACCGGTAATAAGCATAACCGAAACACCGGGAAGAGGAAATACCGAATAGGCTGTGTTTAACGTTATATGAAACAGGAAATGAATTAGAAAGCTTATCGTAAATCGGATCGGAAGCGGATCTATACATCGGACCGGACCGGATCTCAGGGTCCGAAGTCCGGAAGAGAAGCGTGAATATATGGGATATGACAGAAATGGAGTAAACATGAACAAGTAATATCAGATGTAACAGTTTGTCAGATCTACCAAGATCATTAGAATTAGGTTTGCCTGCCACTTTTCAACTACAGTTTTGTATTCATTGCTTAATGAAAGTTATTTAGAATCAACTGCCCTGTGTTCTCCTGAAATGACCCAGAATCAAAAATAACATGGTGATATAGTTGAAAGTGGCATTTCAATATTTTGCCTCTATTGTGAGCAGGTTCTGAACTGTAATGTCACATTGCACATGACTAGAAAATATAGTATTGTATTTATTACAGAGATACAAATGAGTAATTTGGTCCAATACTTTTTTGAGTGACTGTGTCAGACATCTCAGATTACTAGGTCATTTGTATGTAGCATAGTATACTATATTTTACTTTAAATGTCAACAAATGGACAGGACAAAACTAGTGATAGACTTGTCTCAAATCATCTCACAAAGTTTGTTAGATAGCTAAGGATTATGAAGTAATAGTTGAGGAAGTGAAACAAAAAATATTTCTAAGTCAGTGGAGTGTGGTATATATAAATTATAGTTATATATATGAAAGCTCTTATGGCCAAGTGGTTAATGAGGCTCGAAGTTGTGTGTAATAGTCACATGATCTAACCCACACTACAAAAAGTCATGAGTTCAATTCCTACCAGATGCAATAATGATTTTCTTTAGTTTTCACCAAACTGTCTGAAATGTCTGACCCCAGACATCTGTCTGACTGCAGATCTGACATCAGATATATAACTGGCCTCAGGCCAGTCAGACTTTGTGTCTGAAATCAGAACTACATGTCTGATACCAGAAGTGGACCTCTCTGATATCAGACAATGTCTGATGTCTGATGGTGCTGAATGTCCTGCTATCAGGCCCTGCAGATAAATCAGGAAAAATCTAGGTTTTTTGATGAAGTGCTGACTGCTGGTGCAGCGCTGCTGGCCATGGGGCTGGTCTGCATTCGCAAGTCTAGCAGCAGTAGACAAGGAAAGTCAATAGCACAACGTTGCAAGACAATGGCGCCACCTCATCAAATGCTGTGGCTTTCAGCAATCACCCTTTCACTGCTCCCACACATGCTTTCAATTCACATTATCCTCTGCACCTTACCAATCAGCCATATTTTCATCAATTCTATGCTAATGTAGCTCCCCAGGCACCATCTTACCCTACCATGCAGAATAATAATCCATCTGGTGGTCCCATTGCATCGTCATCAAACTTACATAGACAGCCTCAAGCTCAGCATCCATCCAATGTACATGGTCTCCCTACATATCCACCTCAATTTTACGACTATGGCACTAATAACAGTCACCCTTGTACTTAGTTATATCTACTAGTCAATACTGTACTTGCTCATTTGAACATTCACGCCCAATATTAATTGACCTTGCACTCTTGCTTGACTGCTGAACTGACTTTGAAATTGGCGTACATGACATATCATGAGTCATGACCTACAGTGACATTTTCGTGACTGCTGACTTCCTGATAGTATTGTCCATGGGAATATGGTTGCTGATACTTGATATTTTGGATTACGCACAAAACATTGCCAAATTTTGAAGTCTTGTACCTATCTTTATGTCGGTTTAAATTTCGAATATTTTCTTTCCATTTTGTATAACATATAAACCTTTCCTAAATATTGACAACCCCGATGCTGTGAGTTACTAGTACTGACATTCTGGCACTAGTACTGATCTGTCGCAGGCATCTGTCACAGGCCTTCTTCAAGTTTCCATATTTGAGGGGGGGGGGTTGCCGTGAGCCTGTGATGTGGTGCTGCGACACTAGTGTACTTACTTGCTGAAAATGAACTTGAGCTGTATAATAAATGGTCCTTCAGCAGTTATGTTGCACATCATGGTATTGCAGACTCGCGCATTGGAATACATACTTCAGTGGTGGATTTGCGTATCACAAACCAGAATGCACACATCTGAAATCTGGGACTCGGAAGTTGGAACACTATAGATTTATCTTCAGTAACACAGTTCAAGACATGTACCAGGGCATTAAGATTTCAAGGGATAACGAAGAAGTTGATAAAGCAGCAAGAGAGTCAGCAATAACCAACTGACTTTATATTAATCATGTAAAGTCCTTCAAGGCAGTGATGCAGAGTCCCGAGTATGTGGCAAGCAACAAGCAAGTGTCATAAGTCAATTTGCTGCTCAGCGTAAATTTGGAACGTCGCGACAGATACCGCAGCAGTCGCAGCAGTGGCGCAGCATTTCCTAGTGGTGGTGTAAGCTTCGTACCTCCGAGCTGCGGAAATGGCAGTGCTAGTACTGCTGGCACACTCCAAGTTGTATAAAATCGTGAGTCAGTCAGATACCATCGTACATAATAAACCACCACGAGTGGTCTGTGCGGCAATTTTCCCCACATAATTTTTGCCATGATTCACTATCCCGATGACAAATCTAACAACCCGTACGCAACCTATCTGGAGCCCCCTGTCCCGGCTCCTGAGCAGCAACAGAATCGATACCAGGCACCCTTAGGCCCACCCCCTGCATACACCCAGGAGGCATCTTATGCTCCGCGTGATAGCACGTATCAAGAGTATCACCCTCAGCCGCAAACATACCAAGCGCCTCCGGGATCAGTATCACACCTTCCTCCGAGAGATCAAGGAGATCAGGCACCACCAGCAACCGGTCATTATGACCGAACAGGCGGGGAATACCCAACATACCAGGGGGCTCCCCCAGGAGCTAGGGATCCATATGACCATAACAGGGCAGGATCATCAAACCATCCTTTGTACCAACCAAACAACAGTGTTAGCCCATACAACCAGACTCCAGGCGCTGTGCCACAAGATCGCGTATCTTCCCCAAATGGCGAGAGTAGAGGGTTGTCCCTGGCTTCATTCTTTGGTGGCATGGGCCTTCCGCCAATGTGGCAACGTCAGCCGCCTCAGCATCTGCGTTACGATCAGTTCCCTCCCCTGTGTCTCATCTCAAACCAAACGGACCTGAGCAAAGGCTTCCCTGAGGTAGCTCCCTCATGCAAACTATGTGTTCACCCATTTGCGACGCATGATATCTCAAAGGAGGATTGGAAACGGTCCGTAGACTTTTCATCAGGCCGTCCCATATCTATAAGGTCTTTAGATTCCTGGTAGACATCAAGAAAGCAGGTTCGTTACCTGCAGGACAACGCATCAAATCGAATGACATACCCCTTATAACAGACGTCAGTCTTGTTGGTACGTAGTGCAACAAGCCATTCAGGAAATGATTCCATGTCTGCACTCTTAGGCGGGTTCCTCATGACTGGAGACATCGAGAAACGAATGAAAGCGAATAATCGCAATGCGGCGGGAGACGTCGTTGATAACTGGAACCAGGTCAGTATAAGTCCTGCGAAATTACATCAGACTATTCACCATCGTTTCTTCAGTACTTCTTCGGACCTCGCAGAATGGAGGCCATTCTCTGGCAAGGGTCAGAGCGCTTGAGCGGCCGTGAGCGAGCGGCCTCGCTTGGTGATTATAGCCAACTCCGGGCGGCAAATGGCCTCCGTCGCCGAGCCTCGAGTTCCTCGTCTTCTTCCTCGTCTTCCTCATCAGATTCTGAGGACGACAGAAGTCGCAATAAGCATGGAAGCGGGTCGTCTGCATCCCGCAAATTTGATAAAATACAACGCCGTGCTGCGAGAAGGGAGGCTAAGATTGCGAGAAGGGAGGCTAAGACTGCGAGAAGGGAGGCCAAGACTGCGAGACGCCAGGAGAAACGCGCTCGTAAGGCAGAACGTCGCAGTGGTAAGGCTCGTATGGAACGTTCGGAGCCTTACCAGCTTTTTGTTCAAGCTATATAGTGAGTAGATGCGAGATAAATCATCAAGGATATTTATTGTATTTGAGTCCTTGTGGTCGTTGCGTGGTGTGATCAAAATGAGTCATCATTATAGACCCGGGCAGTAACAACCCTTTTTCAACGCCATAACAAATGGTATGGAACAAAAAAGATGTGGGGTGAGTGAAAGGGTTCCTAACTTCGCTGCGTGGTATGAACGTGTGCCAAGGGTGCAATGATAATTTACACTAGTCAGCAGCCTTTCGATTCAACAGGAACAAACAATATCAATATCATTCACGTTATGCAATACTCGCTGCTATACCACGGGTGTTGACATTTAAATTTAACTGTATCAGTCCAATTACACCTTGTAAGGTCGCCCCTGAAACTATTTTGAACATAAGATTTACAGACTGCTGAAGTAACTTCTAATGATTCATTCCCACTCCACGGACCACGGTGTCATAACGATGTCCAGGTGAGGGTTTTCGGCAGATATGTCGAACAACCGAGTATCACCATGACGATCGTGCACATTATCCAGTATACGGCCGTTCCGCCTAAGAGGTCCTTCTCCAGTGATAGAGCGAACAGTGAAGATACCACTGTTGGTCCAACAGCACGCATCAGGGAACCCAACATCTGCGCTAGGCCATTTGTTGCACCCAGCAAGTCCTTGTTCGGCGCCCCATTGTTGACGTATAAGATAATACAGCCTAACAATAATTATTTTCGGGAACGCAGGCATGAGGGGGAAGGCAACTCACTATAGGTGATGTACGCAGCAATATATGCAACGAGTTGAAGGCAAAGAATCAACCACATTCCTGCTTCCATCTTGCGCTTCGCCATATAACCCATTAACGGGAAGGTGGAAAATGTTATGAGGAAAAAGGCGAAACTTATAATATACAACCTCTTTGGTCCAAATTTTCGTAACAATCGCGGAAACATATAAACCTGTGTCATGCCGTTCAACATACTCCAAACCGACATCACCAACCCGATGGTGTTGCTACTAAAACCAAGCCCTCCAAGTGAACGTGATGTCGAATACATGAGCGGCACTAGTACCAGCATGCACTGGTCAACGAAAGACAGCAAACCATAGTGCAAGACTGGTATCATGACGCCTGGGATGAGGATGGCGCGAAAGTCGGTCCTTGTAGACTCAAGAGAACAAGAAACTGGGCTGGCAATCTCCGCTTCATCCAGCACGTGAGGTAGTGTGTCTATCTGAGTGTCTCCAGGCTGGTAGTGGATCGTGGCGGCCCGCATGGGCGACTTTTTGGTGTTGTCACTATGGCTCACGGACCTATTTTTGGAGGCAGTGCTTCGCATCGACTGAAATAATCCTTTTGTGAGCACTGCACGCGATACGATAGCTGAATCACTGCACCTCTTTGAAAAATACTAAGGTGATGAGCCAGGAGAATGTCGATACGCTGGCGGCAACGATGCATGGCAAAAAATAAGGATACCGATGGAATAAGGGGTAGTGTCCGACAGAGTTTGGCCATTTGTCCGCTGGATCTGACAGAACCCCTCCAATGAGGAATCTTGAGAACTCGATCAATTTACGGCGTACATGATGGTCAACGACTAAACAAACCCTAGCGTGTAACCAGTGCCCCACGCCAAAGGTAGCCATGCGAATGCTTGCGCCACATTGGAGGCGTCAGTGATCTCGGTCATGGTAGATTTAACCACGCCGATATTACCGTTGAGAGCACCTTGTGCGCAACGGCTGAGGATGATCATCCAGAATTGATTCGAAAATCCGAAAGAGACGATAGACAAGGTAACCCCGAAAAGGCCAACGAGAATCACTGGTTTCCTTCCAATTCTGTCAGACACGCGACCCCATTGCAGAATCGTGATAGCCTCGACTGCATAATACAAAGATTCCTAGTAACATAATTTCGTCAGTAATGGGTTAGTGTCCGCTGAGAAACAACAAACAATTAAGCCTGCGTAGTAGCCTGTCTTACGCTCATCTCCACCTGTGATTCCTGTTGACCTGACTAGCTGGTTCACAAATGGATATATCACTGAGGCTGTGAGCTGCTCTGGCATCTGAACAAGGAGAAGGATCGCCAGCTGTGTTTTTGGAAGAGGTGTCGGTAGGGGTGCTGCTTCAATGAGCTCCCCCTCGCTTGATTGTTTTTCTTCGAAAGTTTGTGAGGCTCGACGGATTTGAGCCATTTGAAGGCGACTAAGGGGGTGAGCTTATCGCAAGCTATCAGTTGTGCAATTTATGTACTTGTGCAGATACGTACAGAAACAGTCATGTGAGTGCTTCGGGCCCTACAGATGACACGAACTGGAACGGAGACCCTGCCATATGGGACAAAGCAGCCCATGATCAAACTACGGCACATTTTAATAACGGACGTCAGTGTTTAAAGACATTACTTACCAGCAGTCGCGAAGTAATACTGGAATCGGAAAATAAAGGCTGTCAGAACTGATTAAGAGACTAGCCACATTGACATAAAATCATACAAATACCACACAGGGGTCACAGGCATACGTAAACGCTGAGCAAGTACGTCCCATGATGAGCCCAGTATTGTGACTATTGATAGTAGGGGGCCGAAGGACGGTCCTTTCACCTGCTTGGCGATGTTAGTGATGATGGTGTTGGTGAGATGAATTCGAAACTGAGTAGCCAAATAGACTTGCCATCAACCCAGATGAGCCACGCTTCTATAGTCGGAATTGCATTTCAAGTATTCATGTAGCAAAGAGAGAGACGGTAAAACCCTTTGTCAAGTGATCGCAGGGGAGACCGTGACTGCCGCATGGGCAGGGTGAGTTTGCATCGAAGGCTGTTGGCTAGCCGCATCTGGCGCAGTGGCGTCACGTTGAACCTGAGCCTCATCACGAGAGTCGCAGATGGAAGTACTGTAGACTTGCTTAGAACTGACAGTATCCTAATATACTTAGCTGGGGCTAGACGCATGATCACCTGTCTTTAATCTAGATCAGCTGGTAGACGCCAGGTCAGCATCTGCGGCATCGGGAGTACCCGGTACTAGTCACTTACTATGATATCATAACTTAGATTCGTCACGGTCCTTCTGATTCTCCAAGTTGCCTCCCCGTGATTTTCATGGAAGATTTTTGTTGATTCGAAACCACTCCAGAAACACGAAATGATGTTTTCCTCGCAGTTGAAGGTGACACCGCTTTGGAGTCCGAGACGTAATAAATGGCGCAAGCGAAATTTTCCAGCACAGCTTTAGCCTTTTGGCAACTTGCAGTTGGAAGCTTGAAGCTTAAGGTTGTTTTACGACTGTTCTCTATACTTATCACCTTTCAGCTAGAACCATATCTCGATGTCGGCTTTTGTGAGCCTGTCACGCTTCTTCACTCCCTCTGGGTCTCACCCTTGCTCCTTGGACTTCCCGGAATCTGTTATTGACAGCTTACCGGACTTTGACGTGACAGAGGTGGAGCACAGTCTGTTGACGATCGAAGACCCAGAATTCCGTGAGCACCTGCTCTCTTCAGTTGAAGCAGCATCTCCCGAACAATTACGCACGCTCGTCCTTCAGCTCGCCGACGAGATACCTGAACTACGATGGTCTCTTGTCCAATCGCTTGACTCCTTGAAGGCATCGTCAAAGGAGATTTCGGAAGTCTCACACATTGACATGAGGTCTGATGCGGACTCAACCGAAGCTTCCTTCAACCTGGAGAGTGTGTCAACAGACTCTGGGAGTTGCCCCAGCTGGAAGTCCGCCTGTTCGGTGATTAATTGGGACGTCAATGATATCGAGGATGTCCCTGAGATCCAATCAGAGGTGAGCGTGGATGTCAGATCGCGTCCACGCTGGGATATTTGCGTAAATTGCGGGCAAAAATTCGACATGAACGCGGTGCGTGGGCCGTTCGAATGCTGCTATCATCCAGGTAAGTCTGAGATTTTACTGAAGGATTTTTTTTTGTCTTAATTATGGTTTTCTTCGTCGATAGGGTTCCTTCGAAAAGATGTTGAACGGCACAAACGGTGCGATCCCCGGTCGTACCCAGAGGACTTTATCTGGAGGTGCTGTAACGAAAGCGACCCAGAGGGATGCGAGACTGGTTACCATATACCTGCCGGAAACATTGGACTGCCGCGGTTGTCTTGAAGGGACTATTCGCTTTGAACCATACTGCTTCATGCTCGCACGCTGTCTAGTGGAACTGAACAAGTCTTTGCCAAGCGGGACGATATCAGTCCTAGCTAAGTGCGTGCGCAAGGTTCAAACCTTTATAGCATCTTGCGTAGACTCTTCCAATCCATCGTTGTCCGTTGGGGATGACCCTATGCCTCCTATCCGTAAAGCGGGGCGCTGGCCCTTACATTTCCTATGTAATTTTTTAGGTCTGCCCCAATTGGGTGAGGCGTGCCGTGGCATTATACAAAGGAGACCACCATTGTGGGAAGATACTCGTGGAGGGGAATCCCCTTGCAGTAAGGACCCTCCAAATGATTGCGTACGGAGTATGTAAGACGTTGATAATGGACAGCGCTTGAATGTGCTCTTATCTATTTTACGTTTTATTTCCCCCTCTTAGTAGTAGCTATTTATCATCTCGCAGTTCCATTACGGAAAACAGAACGGTGACCTATGATTCATGTAAGGCTGAATGAAGGCGGGTATCGCAGTTCCTGAACTTTCCTTTTCTGTTTGTCTGTCATTCGAGAATCAAGATACTTTATCCCCAGATGCTCATGTAGCTCTTGAGGTCGCCGGGCTCAGATATGAACCGTTTCCGGAACTGTCGTGACTTGTACATACCGTAAAATAATTGACACCAAAACGTTCCATACATAGTCGGTGGCGAATAAAGGATAACAATTTCGTTCGCTCAACAACCTATAGCTAGACAAAAAAGGGGTGAAAGCCAGAAATTCAGGCTTGAGTTGACACTCCAGGAGCAGCTTGGAAAGTCGCAAGCGAGAAGGAAACAGGTTCTAGCAAAGCATGTCGCTGGTCCGCTTTCCAGAGTCCGCGATACATCTTTGTAACAAGAAAGGCATGAACAGTGGCTTGCCAGTTGCGTAAAAACCTCTCAATCATGAAACCGTAAGACACCTGTCAAATTTACTTGTTATCAGTACACGTGGTTTAAACCGAACTTCGTGTACTGACGTTGAGACGGGCTGTCGTCAATATGACACCGAAAGAGAAGACTGTGAGCCACAAATCAGAAAAATTCCCTGCCCGCTTCCCTACAACTGGACAATGCGAAGGCGACTCACCAAGCCCGCAGGTCAGGTAAATCATATTGTGATGTATCAGCTGTTCCAACAAGCGATTGCGACCACCCCCGCGCCAGTAGCTCGCAGCCACCTTGTACAGTGCGAATACCCATATTTCTGGTGCACCGTCGATTATCATAGAAAACACAATGACGATATACTCACGGATCTCCGCCGCGACCAGAATTACGTAGAGGATTATGATGGTTTTGTCATTGCCAGTTTCAAGACAACTCGTGACAGGGATGGGTGACTTAGTGACTGTAACAGTGTTTTGGTACATGAAGTCCTCTCGAAATGTCTAGAGACTTACTTGCAGGGGGAGATCGGATGATCCAGACCACCACAGTGGCAGCAGTAACATACATCTAAATCCTCATATTATGGATGGATTCTAGTAAACTTGAAGGCTGCCACTGACCAGCGCACTGATCGAGAACAGAATCACCACGCTCCTCCTAAATCCCCATATTGCACAAACACGGATCAAGAAGACACCTTGCAGGTTTCAGTCAATGAATTCGACGATGTCGTATGTTAGGACAGCAAACCTTCCGCGCACACTACAATGAGAGTTCCCAAATCTGCGTCAAATGTCTACCATGAATGATTTTGCTTGAACGAACGAACGAAACACACAGCTATTTGTGGAGTATATCACTTGACACATCTATCATAACGCTTTAGTTGAGGTACAGTTTTACGGTCGTTGCGAGACTCACGTGAATTGACATCATGGGTTGGAATGCCACTGCAAGTGATCAATACCAAAAAATACCAAAAAATATCATTAATATTAAGGATGCTTACCGAGCATCTCCAACGTCAAGTACCCGCAGGTAAGATATCGGCAGGCAACGTAGAGAAGCTTTGCCAGTTTCCACTGTGACTGGGTCAAAAATGCCACCTGGGGTTGTTAGCATCAGAGCTGTATAGCGTTTGAACCGATATAGCTAAAAGCACCTCATCGGTCAAGGTAAGGAAAGAGTCATATGCCTGCGGTGATATAGATTGACAATTAAATTACGATATTCATGCAAAATTACCCAGGACGTAGTTACAGCCACTGTAACACAGTTGTCAGTATATCTTAGTCAACACAAGTTGCAAGAAGACGCAGACTATTGGCGTACTTGGAAGATCATGAATAGCTGGAAAAAAGTAAAGTATTACTGCTACTCACGTTAAGACCCCAGAGTACCCATCCAAGTTCAAGAATATTCGTAGTGGAGCTCATCGCGAAACACACGTCTTCGCTTCGTGGAAGTGGGTGTTCTCAATTGAGCAATTGACTCGTACATTTTATATTGAGAACCTGGTATAGCTTTTGGTAAGATTTCAAAAACCGTATACCAGCCTTGGTGACACCTGTGATAACCAAAATACCATCAACTAAAATCACAATGTCTAGATGGCGCAGCTTGTGAAATGGGCGGCCACGCGAACGTTGGAGCTCCGGGGAGAAGGCTACGTTCTGTGTTGATTGATTTGACTCCGCCGATAAAGGTCGGAACGTACCAAACGCTACGTGAAATCCCTACTGTTTAATGATCTGGGCGCTTGCCACCAGAAGCGTGGGCTCCCGGAAGATAGCAAGCTACCGTGACCCGAGGAACCACGTTGGTGACTCGGAGCAAGTCTGTGCATCAGTCACTGCACTTCCGTGCCAGCGTTTAACAACCATATCCACATGTAAACCGGTACAATCGTGGAACAAAGGCGGACCAGCTCTAAACGTTCCTGTCCACCCATAACTCCATTTCTTGAGATACACTTAAATGATAAAGAGACGTAACAAAAGCATGACTTGATGTCTATCTGTGACAGGGTAAGCCGCGTTCGATAATACGTAAGTACTTAGAAGTTGAACTGCACTATTTTGCCTGGACATTCATGGAAGTCTCTTAGATGATGAAGGAGTCGCAGTGTCCCGCGAAAATGCTGTGAATGGCATGACTGAAGCCTTCGGAAAATAGTGATCAGGCTGGCCGACAGGATACCGGCGTGTGGAAGCGCATTGGTGAAGGAAGTCATGGTGATTAGCGGCAAGAAGAGGAAGGCTGTTCCTGGATGGTATGTGTGTGCCAGTTGCAAGGAGGAATACGACGTAAAGAGCGAACGTGATGATGAGTGTTACCCAGACCATGATGAAGATTACCATGGTCCCATGGATGCAGAGGAAAACAGAGCAGGCACTTATCTGGGACTGTTGTAATGAGAACGCGCTGTCTGAAGGATGTGAAAGGAAACAGTACATTGCTGGAGGAAAGTTCAAGAAAAGACATCGAGTAAGAGGCTGAGTAGTAATTATCACAACTCTAGTAGTAGAGTCAGACTGCGAGGAAAACCAAATTGCAATGTAGAGTCGGCTCAATTGTAATGACAGTGTGACATCGGATGACCACTCCGGGTGACGACCTGTGACGCATTAGTTCAAGGGCACAACCTAACTCAACCGCTCAAAAGCTACTTCAAACGCTCAAGAGGCTCATGGCCATGGAAGTCGACCGTCCCACTCACCCACCTCAAATTCTAACGAAGGGGACGTAGCGTCCCCCGAAGAGCCTCTTCAAAAGGTGGTCGCCGGCATGACCAAAGCACACCTTCACAAGCCTGCAGTAAAAACTTTACTAAAAAGACTGGCCAATGCTAGTACCGGCATTCAGAAGTTCACTGGCGAGGGGGGACATGGTGATCAACGAGAAAAAGAGGAAGACTAGTCCGGGACGGTTGGCAGTATGATCCGGATAGGAATTCGACGTGTCGGATGAAGATGGCGGCCACTCATGAAGACGATCGTGATCATCACTCAATACAGGTTAGTAAAATTGGTCTCGCCGTCATAATCGTCTAATAAAAAACGGTCTCAAAAGATAAACCAGAGGGCTATTTCCCTGACTGGGGTGGCCAAGGATTTGATCCCGTGGACCCAGAGAACGGATACCCAGGAGCAATATTTAGTACGTGGGACTGTGACTCCGACTGTTGTCATGAGTGGCATGACCCTTGGGCGAGACTAGATCATGTTCCTGAAGGAATGTTCAAGAATACAAAAATACGCCAAAAACAGTTTGTGGGATACCCTTGCCAGTGATTGTTTTGTTAGCTCCGTAAGAATGTTTATTCTCAGAGACTCCATAGTACTTTCCTTGATGCTCGGCCTGTATGCTGGCTTTTTTGAAAGTCTTCTGAAGCGCTCACCCGATGATTTATGCTTAACTCAGTGAAATGTTGTCTCGTAAAATCGAAAGAAAGGCTACTTGGTATCGAGTGACTGACTTCTTACCGTCGTTGAACGTGGAACGTTTGAACCGTTGAAACCGAGTTCACATTACATAACAAATCGCGTAGACGCGACACAATTGATCACGTGCACGAAAAGTCCTAGCAAGTGCTTGTTTAATTACTTCGAATTTCGCTTTGTATGCAGCTGGCTACCGTACACTGGGCTGAATATTAATGTCGACAGTCTCAAGTACACCAAGAACAAAGACGGGCATCATCCCTGCAACACCAACGACAACTCGAGTAACAGGATCCCATGTTCTTCAAGCATCTCCTCATTACACGACAACCAGACGTCACTCTCTCTATGGCACAGAGGACCGTGTCGTAATCGATCCAGGTTCACGCATCTGGAAAGTTGGATTCAGTGGCGAAGGCAAGCCAAGAGACGTGTTCTACGCCGACGCCAAAAATTATGGCTCGTTATGGAGTTGGAATCGAGCCACAGACCCAACAGAAAAGGCAGAGCAGGACAACATGTTAGAAATCAACTTGGAGAGATGTATGCGTTCTGTTTTTCACGAGTAAGTAGGCTCAACTATCACAGACACTTGCATCCAATAGATCGTGAAGGTCACTTCTTGCAGAACCCAAGGCCAGAAAGGTAATATTGGTTGAGCACCCGTTAATGCCGCTGTACATCAAGGATATGTTGGCTCATATCCTCTTTAGTAACCTCCAGGTATGTGCCCAGCTTTCGCGGGATGACAATCTGTAGACAGAAGATAACAGGTTCCCTCAATATCGTTTGCATCAAGTCATCTGTTGTCTCTATTATCTGTTGGCCGAATAACAGGTCTCGTCCTGGATTGTGGCCATTTAGAATCTACCGCATTACCTGTAAGATGGATGCGCCTGTTGCTTTTTGCTGTTAACACGCTCTCGTAGATATTCGCAGCACGTCCTCTCTTTCCTCAACTCCGAACAACACCACTCGCAGGCTCTCGCTTTTCGTCACATATCCGTGCACTCCTTCTCTTATTTGGCTCTTACCTCCCTCCACCAACTACACTCAGTGCGGCTGTCAACGTGCCCGCAGCCAATCGCACCACTCGTGTGCCACAAGAGATACTAACAGATGCTGTCATCGAGGACATCAAGACACGCTGTTGCTTCGTATCAGATGCTTTAGAATCTTCTTTCAGCGATGTCCGCGCATCCTCCCCAGCAGGTGACGATCCCTCAGACCATGAGCCTCCACCCTCAAGCGACCCTGCCATGTCTGAGTCAGAGTTTTCACGGGGTTCCCTTGGTCAAGAGAGCGCAGCAGAGTCCGAGTTCTCGATAATCTCCCATCTGACACACTCTACCTCCAGTGGGGAAGCAAGCAGTGAAAAGCATATACAGGTCCTTGCGAATATGTACATGCGTCACTCCACTGCCACAAATCTTCACATGCGTGTCGTTCCCCCTGTATCTCAGCAAACGGGTACCGGGCGTGGAACCCTCATCATCCCTGGCTGGGTCCGCGAACGCGCTGCCGAGGTGCTATTTGAAGGAGGTGATGTCGACGAAAGCAGTGTCGCGGAAGTAATCTTGGATGCTTTACTCAAGGTGTGTTATCTAATTCCCCTTGCTATGATTATACCATTGACCATGTTTGAAGGTCCCACTTGATCTTCGTAAAACTATGGCATCCTCTATTCTAATCACAGGGGGCACAGCCATGCTTCCAGGCTTCATCCCTCGTTTACACACGGAACTGCTGCGCGCTACTGCTCCGCTAAATATCTTATCCACACGGTCTAGACCTACATATGATCGATATGCTTCATTGCGCCCGCTGGTACCGCACTTTGCTATTCTCAACAACCCTACTCCGGTACCCTCATCGAGTGCACGTGCCAATGTGAACGCAGGGAAGGCACCAGCTTTCACACCTGCTACGATGGCGTGGGTGGGTGGCTCCTTAGCGGGGTAAGTTCTACCAACATTCCCTCATGTCGTCTTATTGTATGTCGATGATGTTCTAGAGCACTAAAGACTGGTGGCGTCGAAGTCGCACGGGAGAAATGGGACGAATCAGATCCATCGCAAACCGATCAGGATGACGATGTCATTATGGTTGTTCCTGCATCCGAACGCATTCCAAGAAATGTCATACCAGATTGGACTAGAGGACTGCTGCCCGCAGGCGCACCTCCTGCCGTAGCACTGAAGCCTCTGCCTTCCCCGCAAGCTGTCGGTGCTTGATTGTAATATTGTATAATTGCTCATTGCGGTAAAGCTTGTCATAATATGCAGCAGCTTGTGATATGAAGTAGATAATTGTGATATGCGATAAAAGGATACATTCTACAACTTTGATCCGTACATGAGCTCGCGAGTACAATCCTATGAGAGTACAAACGCGGCCAAACCCAGAAACGAAGAGTAACAAGGAAATCCAGTGAATGCAATGTAGAACGAAGATGGAATATTGAGACAAAAGGTATCGCAGTTGAATGGAAATAATTCATGTGTCGGAAAGAAAAAAAGTGTTGAATGTTGGGAACAAAAAAAATGTTGAATGCAAGAACGAACTCAAAACCAATGATTTCTACAAAAATGCGAAGATCGAAAATGCCAATATAACAACATTAAAGCCCGCGTGGCAATACATTACACACGTGGAGCAGCCTAGGCGCGGCTGCCGATAACACGCAGAAGGACTTTGTTTCCATACTTGTATATCGCCTGGTCCCAGTCATCGTTGGACTTTACGAAGTGCAGAACAACATTATCCTTGTCTGCAATAGAGGAGAACGAAGCAGCGTAAGGACGGCCTCCAGATTTCTCTTTGACTGGAGGTGGAACGAGGATGGCCACGACAAAGCTCTCTGAAAGTGGCACGCCTTCCTGTCGTACAAATTTGTCGTAAAGTCGTTGACGAACCTCAGTGAACGACAGCGACTGCGAAACGCGAAGCATGATGATGTGGTTCTCATACAATGCTTTGATGGCAATGGCTGAACCGTCACTACATCCCGTCGATCCGCTGGATATAGATGTGGTTACGGATGTACGTCGCGCAGGGTACGGTGATGTTGGGTACGAGTCACGCTGCTGTGAAGAGAAGTGGCTATCTTCGCTAGGTGATGTGGGTGGTATCGCGTCTGTAACAGGGATAGTTAGCACACCGGTCGAACATGTATGTATATCAGACGTACCGTAGAAATAAGCGTCAAGGAGGTCATCCTCTGCGTAAGCCGATTCATCAGCCCATGGTTCGCGTTCCGCCCACTCTTCTTCATCTGGGAAAGGCGCAGAATGACGGTATGGTCGAGTCCCAGTAGAAGGCGAAGACTGAGTATAAGCAGATCGAGAAATGATCGCATCGGCAGAGGCATCAGTCCTGTATGAGGCCACACTACACATCGAGGCACGGGGGCGGTGCGCACGTTCCGGGTGAGGGTGTGGAAGCGTGAAGTCAACATCGAGCTCAGCAAGGTAGGCTGCAGCACGAGAGGAAGAAACAGAGTTGGTCGACCGCCAGGAGCACCTAGCATAGGACTCTGCTACTTTTAGATCAATAATGCAGATTAAATATGTAAGATTTTGGGGCGCACCATCTGAAGAAAGTTCAGTATCATCATATAATTCGGAAGCAGGGGGGCCAAGGACCCTGGCGGTCCTATTTGTCCTTCGCGTCTGCGCGTAATCCACAGATACAGCCTTGTCAATCTCAACCTCCTGGTCCTCTGGGAGGACTTGGAGTACCGATGCTCGACGCTCCGACGCGTATCCGGCAGGTGTATGTGGGTTATGTCCAAATGTGATTGGAGCTTCATGTGTAACAACCATTGGCAAACGATTAGAAGATCGACGCGGCGTGACGGGAGATGGAGAACTCGAGGAAGAAGATAGGGTGGATTTCGAACCATGTGACGGCAGGGATATTGTCAAGCCGGCAGAGTGAGCATTCGTGCGTGAGCGGGTAGTTGGTTGGTCTTTGAGGGAAATTCCTGATGACAATGAGTCTGAAGTGCCTGAACCTCGTCTGGGCAACTTCTTGGGCGACTCAGTCACAGACGTGGAAGAGGGTACGTCGTCTGATGTTGCTGGATTTGAAGGAGAAAAATAAGCAGAAAGCATGCTACTAGACATAGAGCGGCGAGGTTTAGCGGGAGAGGTCTGATTTTTCTGTGTTTTGATAGCGAGGTCGTGATCACGTCTCCAATAGCCGAAGAAATCAGTGAAGGTTCGCGTGGCCATCAACTCTTTCAAGAGCATCGGGAGGTCTTCTTTGAAAAACGCATCTATCATGGCACGAAACTCAACAAACCGTTGGTCAACGGTAGCTTGGCTCGCGCGGAATAGTGTTCCCTTCTTCGTCAGCTTCGGGATGTACTGGTGGATATCACGGGCGACGGAGTGAGGATCGGGACCCGGGGGAAGTGAATCAAAAGAAGCTGCCTGGTCGCTCTGGATATACATCCCGCCCTTTTTCACTCCTTTGCCTGCAGCCAGACGTGTTATCTTCTGTCTTGCCATGAGAGCGTATTCGGCCTCAAGGCTGTCTTGAAACCAGAGACAGTCCTCCCATTTTCGCCAGATGTCATACTCCAAATGTGAGCCCTTCGAGGAAGTTGAATGAGCGGAAATGGATGCGTTGTCGTTCTTAATGGGACAAATCCGGAGGCCATAGCTATAACTACCGCCTAAAACCAACATGAATACGATCCAACAAGAATTGAAGAAGCTTACCTTGCTTTTCTGGAGTGAGGACTGCGACGTAGAAATACTGAGGAGCACTGCGGTACACGGCACGCTTCCACGACTGTAACTACGTGAGTATGGAGGTTCGCAAACTGGGAGCTTCGGACTTACTTCGGGAGATACAGGTCCTTGATCGTAGGCTGAAGCACCACCCTGCAGGTTTATGTTAATTCAGAGACGGCAAGTGAGTGATGAATGGGGTGTACGCACCGTGACAAAAGCCATGAAAACCTCGTGGTAAAAAAAAATAAAGGGTAGCCTCGAGGCAAGGTGTCTAGAGAATGATCAAAACGTGATAAGCAATTCGTACTACTGCAGGGATTATAGGGTTGTTGATGACTGCACGTACAGTAGTAGGTACTGTCACTGAATGATGTAGTAGGTTGGCTTGAAAGCAAGCTCGAAGTGTAGGTTCTCGGGCTCAATCGTTTGTGAAAATATCTGGGGTGCTCTGTCAGAAATATATGTCAGCTACATGTGCCTAGTTGCTTGGATGAGGATATGCACCTTGACGTGTGGCTATACACCGTGTGGTATGAGTGTCTGCTGTCAGTGACTTATTGTGAGCGCCTTTCGGAAGAAAGCTACACAAGTATAGCTTTTAAAGGATGAGGTAGTGGAGGAAGGGAAGTGGGACGCCAAGCTTCTCGTTGTCATAATAATAATACTTTCAATGGCCGTCCGGGCCATGCTATACTGTAGTGGACTAACAATTGTGTTTATCCGACTTACCCGTTATATCCAGGATAATTTACATAACCACAATAAGATCTCAATTACCACATCAAGATTCGGAGCCACAAATGCTTGAATCCGTCCACACTGGACCGTCATGCTGCTGGCCCACTGGCTTTCATCCACAACTATATTTTCACTTTGCGCAGGCCTGACCCTGTCCAAACGATGCTGGGCCCGGTTGGACCAGCACAAAGGTAAGCCACATACATCATTGCCGGAACGGGTCTCGGCGTGCAACTCTTGCCAAGTGCCTGTTTCGCCACTTCAGGCTGATAACGTTATCCTTCATGTGCGTGGGTGTTCGTGAGTTCACTGAGAACCGCAATGCTCCTCCTCCTATAGCGGGGTCATGTTCAAATCCCATGAGTCGGGATTCACCGTCATTTGGATTTTCACCGTGCCTTTGCCCACGACATGCACTCCAGACACGCTATCTATATGTTATCTCGCAGAAACACATGATAACAAGCTCCACGTGTGCCTCGAGTCTGATCAAGATGACCTGCCAAGTCTCACATTTTTAGTGTCAGGTTGGTAAAGTCATGTCCCGCCCGTGTAAATCACCGGGAATATATCAACCTAAGCATACATAATTCAAGCAAGCTCCACTATATATATGGTACATTCTTCAACTCAATCGGTGCCGAATTCCAATTTTCTCATCACCTCTTCTTCCCTCTCTTTGGCTCTCACGCGGCCCTCCTGCAGCCTTTCAAGTCCGTTCTGGATGCTCTCGATATGCACGTGGAGTGGGATACGTCCCACCAACCAATTCAGGGGCCGCTACCCTCTCTCGTAAATCCTCCATGTCCTCGCTCATCGAGTTGAGTGTCTGCAGTGCGGCAACAACATGTGCCTGTGCTTGTCTCCGATAGTCACCAAGGTCTTTAAGTAAACCAAGACGTCTGTCGTTATCCCGTAGTGCGCGTCTGTTCCCACCCAGCTTCGTCCACAGCGCTCCCAAAAGCTCGGATTGCTCAGTTGTGACGTCAATGTCTTCACGCATCACAACTTCGCGTACAACGGAAAGATCTTCTTCGAGTACATCCAAGTTGTGCAGGGATATCTCCGCTTCCAAAATAAGTCGCTGGATTGCTATAGAGAAGGTGTCCATCGCACTCGTGAATGCATCGACTATCACCTCCTGTGTTGTGGGTCCAAAATGGAATGGAATCAAAGCCGTAAGAGAATACGGTGGCGGTGCGTTCTTCTCTGCCTCTTGTATGGTACGCATTGCATACCCGTTCACTGCCATGACGCTTTTAAAATGAGCATACAATATTTTCACGCTAAACGAACGACCACTTACTTGTCTACGGCGCCACCAATTTTCGAACTAAGCTTTGTGAGACTCTTAGCGGTCTTCTTAGCATCTTTCACGAATATTGCCAACTGATCAGCTAGGACGTCGCTAGACTTGAGGTCGCTATGTCGTACAAGCGTTGTAAGATCCGCGGTGGCGAATTCAGCCTTCCGAATTTCAATCGAAAGTCCAGAACCTCCGACCGACCCCGCTAAAAGCTGCTCGAAAGTAGAGCCCTGGGCTTCCATAAGTTGTGGAAAATCCGCCCATTTTGGAATTTGCGACGCATTGGGGTCCAGCGGAGCACACAGCGCCGACCTCGATACCATGGGAAGGTAACACATCGGGGCAAACGCTGTGCGCAGCGCACCCGAAAGGCGTATCATCGCGAATGCCAGCATCCAAAGGAAGAGCATGATTGATAATGGCATGCGCATAAGTCGCACTGCTCGAAGGACAACGTCAAGAATATAAATGCTTGAGTGGTGGGCACTAGTAGACAACGCTTCCTTGATAAGCTCTTTATCAACGAGGTTCTCTTTGTCCGCGATGTATTCTTTGTCCACGCTGGGGCTTCTCTTGCGCTTTGACCGTGTAGGTGCTGCGCGATTACGCCGAGGGGTTTCAGCGGCAAAGACGGGTTTCGAGCCCGCGCGACGCCTCGGCTTCGAGGCATCTGTAGAAGTGTTTGCTGTACTGGAAGAGTCAAAATTGTCGAACCGCTTTGGGCTAACGTCCTTGTCCGGAATATCTTCCCAATCTCCTCCTTCAACTGGGAGTGAGTCCTAGGTAATTTCTGGTATATGAGACTATATATTGTATTTGGGCGGATCAGGTACTTACCCCTGCATCGTCACCTTCAAACTCTCTTTTCGTACGCATTGTCGAGCCAGCTATTGGCGATTGGATTTTCGTAGCGCCTGTCCAGAAGCATACACGTGTTCACTCAGTTCAGTTGGCTCTTGCACACGTGACCAGAAATTTTCGATCATTACATAACTTTGTTACCCAATTGTTACCTGTATTCTTCTCTTCAACATGACTGTGGTGATCGCCTTCAAGAGAGACTAATTGATGTAAGCAGTATCCGTTTTGAACGTTCATCGATGCATCAGTAACAGCTGCAGTCTTTGTTCGAAGTGTTCTCCTCAAATGTAATTCAGTGGCTACAAATACGGAGACATCAGGACGTGCTAACAAAGACTCGTTCTCACCTCTGAAATGAAATCGTCAGTAGTGACGGAACTCCGGCGTACTACACGCTCAGGATATCATGCCAACACACGAAGGATGTCTCTTCCATGGCTCTTTACAGGCTGGCACGACGACTCGCAGTGGCGGGCTGCCGTTGGCTTGGAGTTCTGATTGTTCCTGTAGGGCATCTGAATCGTTCAAAAGCGGGTCTGCAAGGAGGTTGGGAGCACAATCGTCGCCCTATGTAGGGTTGCCACGGCTTCCATCATTTGACCGGCACTTACCGACAGTCGACCGTCGTTTGCATGCTTGATGAAATTGAAGTTGTGCAGTCCATGTCAGACGAAATCAGCTCGGGGGTCACGAGATGGGAAGATTCGGATTCATTTATGTATGTCTCTGGTGCCGATGCACAGATGTGCCAATCGGCAGATTGAGGAATAAAAAATTTAATATTATCCTTGTGGGTAGGGTACAGGGTATGTGGGTGACAGATAGCTAATCTGGATCTGAGCTTGGCGCTTAGTTTCAGCAGCTAAGTGTTGAGCGCTGAGCGATGATACAACTTTGGAGTATAGCAGGATCAGAAGCATTACATGTTCTTTGTCTTCAAGTGCTTCAGGTTGTCATTCACTGGCTGTGAGTATCATTCAAGTGTGTCCGTCGAGAAAGCAGCGAATCGGAATTAATATGTATCTGAGAGCCGTACATCGTTGAACCACTCAGAAGTGACCAATCACAGCAGTCGGTTTGTACTCTTCCTCGAGGAACTTTATTTCCTCCACCGTAAGTTGCACGTCTATTCCAGCTATGGGTTCCAAGTTAATGGTGCAGGAAGTTCATGCAGGCATCGCCACTTACCAATGATATCTTTAAGATTTGCGATACTCGTGGTTCCGACAATAGGAGCCGATATCCCTAGGGAATCGATTTCATTGATCGAGTACCCACATGGGCATCAAAATAACTCACCTTCCTTTGTCAAGATCCATGCTATGGCTATTTGAGCCATGGTTACACCTTTCTTTCTAGCAAGTTCCTCGACCCTGATCAACCTGTGAATAACTGTTTTTCTTAGTAGAAAACCAGCATACCGGTTAATAATAGTTTCAGTATGACGATGCTTGGGCATAATTCCCAATGAACCTGTAAAAAGCCATGAGATGGTCACCACATGAAGACATTGAAACACTTGCCAATCAGCTTGACCTCTGCTTGTCTGCTGCCCAAGAGGGCGTGTGAGGGCACCACGAGCCAGTGGAGACCATGGAATTGAGCCAACACCAAACATCTCAAGATCATTGTGAGTCACAACGCTGATACCGTCAACACTATGAAAGAACCTTGAGAGTAGGGAACATCTCGCGCTCCTCCTCGCGATAGAGTAGGCTATAGTGATTCTGCATGGAGATGAAGGGAGTGAGCTTGTTTGTGATCGCATAGTCTGCGTTAATTTGAAGTCAGGTGACGGTAGTATGTACCCCCAATTGAGATCTCACTCTGCATAGCTTGGACTAAACAGCAAACGAACATTAGGCTGACTCTGCAAATGGATGAGGTGCACTCACACTGGTACGCCCAGCAAGAACTCATTCCGATGTAGCGGACATAGCCAGCTTGGACTACATCGTGCAATGCTTGCATCTTCTCAGACATTAGCGCGCGAAAGCCAGTATAGAATATGCATTACCGTTTCCTCCATCGGTGTTTCATTGTCGAATCTGTGGCCTATAAGTGAATAAGCATTCTAGGAAAGAGTTGAGCATATTGATGATTAGACATGCATTGTAGAACGTCGATATAATCCATTTGAAGCCGCTCCAAACTCTTTTTCACGCTTGCGAAGATGTGCTGTTTCGTAAGTTCAGAAAGTCAATTGACCTCATAATCAATTGAAAACATGCCTTCCGGCTGAGGCCATGCTGATTTACATAACCATTTTGATCTGGGTCTTTGCGCCCGCCAAGCTGGTGGGTATTGTATTCACGTCCGACCACATTGAATACCTGTCCAAGGCCAATGTGATGAGAGAGCTGCAGAATACTAAAGACATGTACTACTTTGGTCATGACGACGATTTCGTCGCGGGGTAAATTCAATTTCTTGATCACCCGTCCAAGGATCACTTCTGAGTAACCGTTCGAATATGTCTGAGAAATGTGGCATATTGTGATCTGACGAGTTCTGATAGTAACAACTCACATCGGCGGTATCAAAAGTTTGAATTCCTGCTTCGTAACTGGGCCTAGTGATTAGGGGAACTGTGTACGTGGTACCGAAACTGAGAACTTACGCAACCTTGATGTGTTCGAGTGCTTCATCCTCTCCGAGGACCCAATCTTGCCATCCTTTGTTGCCGTACTGCATGGTCCCAAGTATGATTTTGGACACTTTCAGGCCAGAATTCCCCAGCCTCGCTGAGCATATGGACAGAGTGAGTACCTTCAAGCCTACAATTGTAACTGGCAGACTCACTGTAAGGCACCTTCCTTGGCATAGACATGTTAAGAGAAGTCACTTTGATTTGTCGACGAACAGTGGGATGCGAATGAGCTCAAACACTTGATAAGAATGGCGGAATGGTAGGAAGGGCGTAGCATCTTGATACTATTCTTAAGTACTTATCATTGCGCATGCTTAAGCGCTGTGCATGTGACTGGTCACTGCTCCTCTAGGACGGCACCCCGATTATCCGTCTGTACTCATTGACTTAAGTTGTACCGAGTCACTGTTCGGTATTAAAGAATCAAAAAATTACCTTGAATACTGTCCGAAGTCTGTCACTGCTTCAGCTGGAACTGACTGACCTTCATGGCGTAGCGACCTCGCAAACATGCGCTGTACCATTTACATATGTATCCCACTACCAGAACTCCGAGTCGGGAGCCTGCTCCTTGCACCAGGATTAACAGATGTTTAATGGTGCGCTTCCAGGAACTACTGGCGTTGATAAATCGATGGGTAATAGCCAGGAATAGTATGGGCCATATTCTCGTGGAGTTGAGATTGAGATTTATTTATTTCTGAGAAAGAGCATGCCAGCATCACGACTCACGTTGACGAGCAGTAGACCACCATGGACCTGACCATGGTCTCTCGAGTCCATCAGAACGTGAGTTACGACAAGGTGAACTTTAATGGCTTCTTTTCAGTCGACCCCGACGTGGGCGACGTACGTCCTCCCACTTTCAGTTAGACTCAACACTAAACGCCGCGTAGTAATTAACAAACAGGATGGCTCGCCTGCGACGTGACACGCTTTCGACATCCAGTACAACCCACTCTCCAACGTCCACCTACGTCAACCCGCCTATGCCAAGTCCATCGATCTCCAAACCATTTCGAATTTTTTCGACAGGGACGATATTCTTGACGTATTCGCTGGACCTTTGCTCGCATCCAGTTCCGGGTACTGCGTCTCGGGCACAAGCAGTCACCATCGCACGTGGCGGTAGCGCTGGACATATACTTGGTTTTTTGGCAGCGCTTCCTGCTGCTGTGGAACCCATGCTCATCGCGAGTTTGGGCGCGTCGCCCGACGGAATTCGACTGCGAGATGAGCTAGAGACAGGTGGAGTGCGCACAAAATACTGTAAACCCTGGCCTGGTCTCGGTGTTCCATCTGCATGGGTAATGCATGCCCGTGATACTGGTGAAAGAACTGTTATAAATCACAATCCACTTCCAGAGGTGTCCCATGAAGATTTTATTGCCTTGCTGGGCCCTGTTCTTGCACCGGAGAACTACGTTGGCATTTCCCACCCACAACTACCTCAACCACCTTCGCCCGCTGCCGTCTTTCCAAATGCATTTGTTTCTACTCCACCACCGAGAAATAGTTTGTCTTCCAGACCTGCCACAGCCCCTGCAGGGAGCACCGCTCCACATATGGCGATCGTACCCACTCAAAGTTCACTTTCGCCAGCGCCTTTTGACTGGATGCATTTTGAAGGACGGAGTATCAAAACCACGCTCTCCAACATTCTCGGAGTAGACGGTCTTGCACGTGAGCGAAAGTGGCGAGCACATTGTGTTCTCAGCGTGGATCTCGGCCGAAGGGCACGAGAAGGTGTCGAAGCTGTATGTCCTTGTGCTTTTTTGAAACGTATTTTATTTGATCATTTTTATGCAACCAGCTCATCCCCCATGCAGACGTCATCTTCCTTTCAGCGCAAACATTTCCCTCGCTCTCTAATCCCCAACTTAATGCTGTCAACCCTGGCCCACCTTCTCCGCGCGCTATCCTCCTTGCGCTCGCACGACATGCATCTCCACACGCGCTCCTTATATTATACGGAGGTGCCCTTGGTTCAGCCCTCCTCTCCCTTCCCACTCGTGAATACCTCCAATCCTCTTCCTGGTCTCCACTCCCGATGGGCAGATCCCATGCACACACCAACTCCAACTTACACTCCATCATGTCCACCGCTGAGGGTGTCGAGAGCGTGCGCAGCGGCTCAGAATTTTGGGCTGGCCGCCGCAGCCCCGATTCAAGCGGGTTCACCATGGGTGATAACCCCTCACCTGCCCGAAATCGTGACAGCGGATACTCAGAAGACCACGACGACGAGCCAAGAAGGCGCACGTCGTCGGCGGGAGAATCCTTCCACCCACTTGATGATGACGACGACGAAGATGACGCAAGGTCTACGCATACCACCCGCGGGACATCCTTGCCCCACTCACTTCCTAATCCTCATCTTCGCACTAACGGTCATGGCCACGACCACGCACATGCACGTCCTCCCCAGCACGTACAGAGCTCTATACCCGTGCAGCCTCCACCGCCGCCTTCGGAGGACCTACAAGATGAAGAGGGCGCGCATTCCGCGTTCATCGCGGGAATGATCTGGTCCCTCAGCAGGCGCACCCTTCCAGGGGCGCCATATACCCCCGTGCAAGCGGAGGAGAAGGAATCAGACGTCACTGCGCGGTGGAGGCTTGACGAGTGCCTGCGATTTGCAACGGAGTGTGCGGGGCGCAAGGCTGGCGGATGCGAGTGGGGAAACTTGGCTGTGGAGATGGGAGACGTGGGGTGGTTTGATTGATGACGAACTTTCTGACAAAAAGTATTCCACCACTACTTCTGTGTTTGACAGATTGTGATACCTTTTACTCATATACCCTCACGCACATCTAGTTTTACACGGTACCTATACCCCCATTTTCAGAGGTGATATACCAACTTTCTTGTTTACTGAATGTATATATTTCTTGAGCAGACAGATTGTGGGGCAACTGGGCAGTATGATACACCTGCCGTAAGATATTGATTGATAACGACCCTACAGAATATCCTTCAGGAGCCCTTCCGCGCCCACATATCGAATGTCGTCATGATCACCAAGAATACAAGTAAAACATATCAAATGTGGATTCAATGAGATCCACGAATACTCATGATATGATCATGGGAATGGGAATGGGAAGCAATGGCCCGGGGTACAAAGTACTACTGATCAAAAAATACCAACATGCCAGTATATATCCTTCGGCCTCTTGGCCACGACGGGACCCGGGGGCATAACCGTGGTCTGTGATAGCAACTCTTACATATAAAGTGTGTGAGGGCGAACAGTCAGGTACAAAAAATAGAGCCTCAATATGTCGAAATGGAGCAAACCAAAGTCGTTTCTCACCCCTTCAACGACTTTCCTTCGGAAGAGTCATTCATATTTCTCATATGGCTCCCGCACAATCGGATTTATGTCGTCCTACTGGCAGAACATCGAGTAAGCAGCATGAAAGCGGCTGGTCTAGGTTACTGTTTGCATTTCGAGTGCTGTTGTGCAGCCTGGTAATCATTTCACTAGTGCTCTATAAGTTCTGCGACTTCGCTTTCTTGCCGCGGCCAATCTGTCATCTTTCTCGTTTGTGGCCTGCAGGTCCTTGTAACGGGCTTGCCGGGTCCCTGTCCCCAGGCGTTAATTCTACCACATGCCCTCAGTGGCCGGCTTTACATCCAACCAAGCATCGTGGGTTGAGCGAAGACTTGGATGTGGCATACAGCTCAGGAGACTTTAAGCAAAGAGCCATTCAGGTCCTTGGAGAGGCAGTCCGTGTACCGTAAGTCCTAATGTCGCATATCACTGTGGAAATATGGACGCGCTCTTAGGACCGAATCGTACGACGATAATGGACCAGTCGGTGAAGACAGTCGATGGGATACATTCGCAGAACTCCACCGAGTTCTTGAGGCCTCATTTCCTCGCGTGTACGTTGGGGTCTTCGCGTCTGAGCTGTCGTTCCATGGCTCATGTTTTGTTTCTAGTTACGAGTCCCTCAATGTCACCAAAGTCAACACATATGGTCTGGTTTTTCACTGGCAAGGATCAAGCACGGCAAAACCTTACATCTTGGCCGCTCACCAAGGTTATTCTCGTTTGAACATTCTACGGAATCTCAGTTGACTATCGTCTCAGATGTTGTACCAGTTGAAGGTCAGACAGTCAAAGACTGGAAACACGATCCGTATTCAGGGTACTATGACGGTAGGCACACTTTCAACCCCTCGAGGTGCTACTTATACCTGTTTTATCACAGGCACGTGGATATGGGGTCGTGGTACTTGCGATGACAAAAGCGACTTGATACAACAATTGCTCGCCATCGATTCTTTGCTAAAGCAAGATTTCTCTCCTGCACGCACCCTTATACTCTCGTACGGATTCGACGAAGAGTCCAAAGGCACAGAGGTCAATAAAACCGCTACATCCAAGCTCCATTATTGATAGGTCGCTTCAGGGTGCTGGTCATCTTGCTCGATACTTGGAAGAAACGTATGGGCGCGATTCTTTTGCCTTGCTTCTTGATGAAGGAGGTGCGTGGACTAACTGTTGCAAATGGCACGACTTGAATCTGCGTTAGGTCACTACACAGATATGGGTGGCATTGTTTTCGCGGCTCCCTCAACATCTGAGAAGGGATATCTTGATGTCGAGATCACGCTTTCAACTCTGGGTGGTCATTCGAGCGTACCACCTTCTCATACAGTGCGTGTTGATCGCTACACTTTCTGACTGATAATTGATTAGCTGTACTGTACAGAGTATCGGTCTCCTCTCCCGTTTCATAGCAGCGGTAGAAGATAACCCGCACCAAGCCAGCCTTTCTCGAACAGGAACCCCGTTTGCGACGACGCAATGCCTTGCGGCCTACAGTCCACTGTACCCTGACGACTTGCGAAGGCTCGCAAGACAAGCGGTCACAAATGATGCGGCTCTGAAGGTGCTTCAAGAGCGACTTCTGGCTTCGGATCCCCTGTACAAAGCAATGCTCGGGACTACACAAGCAGTAGACCTCGTCCAAGGTGGCGTGAAAGTCAATGCTCTTCCAGAGCGTGCTAGTGCAGTGATCAATCACCGCATCGCAGAGCATAGGTTTTGCCTCTGTTGTAGGATTTTCAGGACTTTGTTCACTTCTTACTTTTAGTTCTGTTGGCGAACTGCAACAGCATATGATCGACCTTTTGACCCCATTGGCAGCCAAGTACGACCTCGCACTCGTCGCGTTCGGCAGCAACGTGACTTATGGTAGTGCTGGTCGAGTCGTTCTGTCCGACTTCCTCGGGACAGCCTTGGAGCCTTCGCCTGTGACACCTACCGAGTATGGCCCTTGGGCACTCTTGCAAGGAAGCATTAAAGCTACTTTTGAGAGCTCCCCTACTCGCAACAGCAGCAAGGTCGTAGTTACACCCTCCCTATCTATTGGTACGTTGTTTATCTAGTTTGTACTGCACGATTCTAACGAATGGTGTCAACCAGGCAACACTGGTAAGCAACTGCAATCTACTCATAACGAATTATCCCTTCATGTAGTCTCAGACACGCGATTCTACTGGAATTTAACCAAGCACATTTTCCGCTTCTCGCCGTCCTTCGACACTGATAGTTTCAATGGAGCACACACTATCAATGAAGGCGAGTGCTACATAGTGTTACGTTACTTTCCTCGCTCATGCAATTCTCCATACCAGCTTTCCGTACAGACAGCTTGAATGAAGGCGTTCGTTTCTACACCAAGTTCATCTTGAATATGGACGAAAGTGATTTACTGTGAACAACATTGTTTTATTTTGCCGTTGTTGGTGTCGCGAGTCTTAGCACGCCTCTTTGTTTTGCTGTGAGCAATTATTTGTAGTAGTACAGATACCCAGCACGCATTCCACCAGCCAAGTCAGCGCTAGTCAGCAGGAACTTTGCAAGTAACTAAAATGCAAAGGAATGTTCCACATGCCGTGACACCGTGACACCGTGTAACGGTTGGGCCGTCTAAACGGCCCTCGTCCAATAATTGCCTTGTTTCTCTTTCATTTGTTTCTGTCAATTTCCTGACTACGCTCATTTACTCATACAGTCGTTCGTAGTCCCTTCGGCCGAGCCTTCAGCCCCCCGTTGCTTTCACTCTTCCGAAGCCACCCGATATCGGACGTATCTTTGGGCTATTGAATACTGTCCATAGTCGTAGAGTTACACTAGTGTCGTTTGAACCCCCAGAATTCAGACTTTGATCCTGTCACTTTGTTCGAACGCACTCTTCTCTAGTGTGCCGTTGTCTTCGAGCCTAACACGCTAAACAGTCAGCGTCACACACTGCGAGTCATTTCCATCAAGTTACTTCCCAAGGCCCAGCCTTCTTGATTCTTCCTCCTCGCACATCTCCCCATGATAAGGTGATCTCCACTGCGACTCAGAGTGTTGAGACTCGGGCGGCACCTACAGGTAGCCTTCACTCCCCGAAAGCTCAAACAACGGTGCTATAGCAAGGATAGACGAATCAAGCAAAGAAACCGTGGGCCAACCAACCTAGCAGGCTTACTAGTACGGGCGTAGCTATTTTGACGCGGTCGTGACGCAGCCGTGACGCGCGTGTGACGTGGCACTAACGCGGCCATTGATATTGACGCGCCATTCCTATATGCTTAACATTCGACTTCCAGATCAAGTTGGATGAGTTCACAGCCATTCCTTTGTTATTTTATTTGCTAGACATCTACAACTAGGTACATAAGCCAATGACTATTTTATTTTCCCACCGCCAGATTTGGGACGTAGTGAGTTGGATGATCTATCCAGACCACAGCGTTAATTTACTCGGGCTGCAGAAGGACTAACACTTCGGGTACGCCGGCGTGGTATACACTTTGTGTCTGTGCAGAGATTAAATAACTCCTGTGAGTGGTATCTCATGTATCGAGCGAGGGGTGACGCATTTGAGACAGAGTGTGCAGTGACATGTGAGGGCTGTCGATGCATCGATGAAGACCAATGTGCGCTTAATACAGATTGCTGACTCAAGGATGCATATTGTTTGGGTGCACACTCCTTCACATGCAACTACAGACTCGAGACTCACAGCACCGAGCTCACCATCACCTTGGATCAATAGATCTCAGTTCACACGGCCTATGAACCCTACAAATGCTATTCAGTTTAGCCAGTGGTACAGCACCTCCAAAAAATGTATCAAGAGTGGCTAGTGGTACGAAACACTCAGGCAGTGGCTACCAGAAACGGCAAGATGCACTCGGACGAATGACTCAGACATCAAAGAAGTCAATTGATCGTGTGCTGGCTGCCAAATCTGCCTCGAGTTCAAGCAGTGCTTCCGAGAAAATCCCTGATGGCCCGATGAAGAACCGGAAAAGACGCGTCGCAAAAAAGGAGATAGGTTTCCTCAGCACAGCCTATATATGCCGTGAAACATGTGTTGCGAAGAAGATTGATATGCACCAGCGACCAATACCTGCACAAGAGAAGGAGCAACTCGCGAAGCCGCCTCAGTGCCGCCTCACAGGCGCGTCACGACCGCACCTAGCCCCCTTAGTACCAGAAGTATCTTTACTTCTTCAAATCTGGCCTCTGGTATTAAGCCATCGACTCCAGAATGACTATCCTTCTCTCTCCCTTATCTCAATTCCATTCCATGCAGGAACGACAGACCGACGACAATGTTACCAGTAATAACGGTGTCATGGACCTTTCACATCACCTATCGGATGAGGCTAGGAATCGACTTGCCAACCCACTAAAAGATATCATGCGGGTGACCAGCGAGTGCTCAGTCACTGATCTAATCACTATGGCAAATGGTAATATCACTATCATGCACAGTGGTGAAATGTATTCAAACTAATACCTTCCAGGCGATCCTCATCATTCGCTCTATCCTTTCCAGCAAATCATGTACGAAGTACCATCTGTACAGGACCCATCTGATTCAGTCACCTCATGGAACAACTCTGGGCGAACGCAGATCATCCGTTCTTACAGAGATCAAGAGTGCGCACTACCCATTTGTAATGCCTTCCTGTATTCCCGCGCTGCTGGACTTGTACAGTGCAAAGATGCACTCACCGATTTCACAAACTTGATATTCGCTCCGCCGAATCATCATGTCATGTTGACATTCGGGAACTCTGATGGTCTCACAAAGATTTTTCGTCTCTTCGGCCAGAAGGGAGATCATTTCTTGACTGACGAGTTTTCTTTTCCTGGTCAGTGAGTAGACTATTTGATATTGTTCTGAGCTAATCTCGTTGTCCTGTAGGTATGACAAACTGTCCTCTCGCATATGGCGTCAAGTGGGTTGGTGTTAAGATGGATTCTGGTGGTATCATTCCTGAGGAGCTAGAAAAAGTCCTCATCAGATGGGATGAGGCAAAATTAGGACGACGACCTCGCCTTCTCTATATCGTTCCGTAAGCTTCTAAACTTCAGTCTGAATGCACACCACATAATGTATCATCAGGGTTGGCCAGAATCCGACTGGATCAACATTGAGCGTGGATCGTCGCAAGAAGATCTATGCCGTCGCGCAAATATGGGACTTAATTATCGTAGAAGACGGTATGTCGACCCAGCGGTGTCATCGCGCCTCGTCTGACATTCTTCTCGCAGATCCATACTATTTCCTGCGATACGATGTCCCTCAAACGAACTGCGCGTCAGCAGATCCTGATGAATTTATCAAGAATTTTATAAGCACTTTGATACCTACGTTCCTGTCAATGGATGTCGACGGCCGTGTGCTTCGTCTCGACACGTCAGCACGCCTAGTAACTGAGCTTAATCACTTTTTTGATCGTTGTCTGCAGGTTCAGCAAAGTGCTTGCTCCCGGAATGCGATTGGGTTGGATAACAAGCAACAAGCTTTTCCACCTGAAATTGGGAGAATATACGGATTCATCGACCCAGCCGCCGCACGCCTTCGGACAGATGTTCGTCACCGAGATGCTTAGCGAACACGGCTGGAAAATCGAGGGCTTCTGTCGGTGGCTGAGAAGCTTACGCCTGGACTACCAGAACCGCCTTGATTTCCTCCTAGACGTTTTCCAGCGCGAAGTAGAACCCACCGGTTATGCGAGCGTAAACCGACCTGAAGCAGGGATGTTCGTGTGGATAGAAGTATTTTTCGAGAAACATCCTCGGTTCGTTCGCGAGCGGTGTTCTGGTGGCTCGCCTGTTGTTGCGCGGACTAATACGGAATGCCTCCTAAAGGAGCTTTTTGAGAGGTTGATGAATATTCATGGCGTCGTGTTCATGCCAGCTTCTACGTTCGCTATCCCAGAAAATGCTCTGTGGGTGGAAAGCGATGGGCATGTGCCGTTGAGCGATGTGAGTGTCCTGGATTCAGCAGTACTTTGATTGACTCCGCGACAGCGCACCAGGTTTCTACGCGCAACGTTCGCTGGTACGGAGGATATCATCGAAAAGGGCATGATACGCCTTGGCAAGGGTTTACGAGAATTCTTTCAAGAATAGCAGGAAGAGCATTCGCAGTGATTACAAGTACACGCAACATTAAACGTACATGTGTTCACGAAGCTCGTGATGAAAGAATGAATCGCGATCACAAATGTACGGGATCTTCGAGCGTCAACGTCTTGTCAGCGACACGCCTCATGAACTGTATGCCGCCAGTGAGAAGACACCAGTACAGTGCATGTGAGGAATATTCACGCTGATTGCAATAGACAGCTTATTAGCACAGCACCACCCAGCCAGCATTGCATACGTACACCACATACAGCATCCTAGTGTGACGCATCTAGTAGGCCATTTGAACGTCAGTGCAACTTCTCACCCATGCTTACAACACAAGCTACATACACTTGAGGTCATTGGTGACCAGTGTTGCCTCTGTCCTGAATTACCGGCTGTTCTTCAAATGGGGGGACTCTGCTCACCCAGATCAATTCGGTCTATAACATCGAGTTACTCTTAGCGAGATGGTTGCTCCAGTGATGGCTGCTCCAGTGATGGCAATTAATTTACCTCTCGTCCGAGCGTAAGTACTAGAAATATCTGGTTCATCAGCGTTTTCTCGAATACTCACTTCATTACTCGCCATAATCATATATCACCACAGCAGAGGAGGCAACTATGAACCCACAGTCCGAATTAGATCAGGACGTCACCGACATCATCCAACCGATTTGTACAAACCTAGCAAATAGCTGAAGAAACGAAACGAACTGACTGCTGGCCATCAATTGGGATCATTTGAGACCAGAGTCATATTTGAGGGATGTGTATAAGTGAGTGATGAACCTGGAGTGATGGATCGTGATGCCACTAATATGAGGCTCGAAAATTAGCTGCTTTTAAGCGTTTGTTTAATAACTTGTAATTCGGGCAAGCACTAGCGTATGTGCCCTAGGTCTTCAAGGCGCAGTACTTGGAACCATCGATTGATCGTACGATTGATATTTGAGACTCCTTTGGTGCTAGCATGTTGGGGCTGCACGGATGAACGTAGGCCATCACGAACCCAAGTCATAATGACAATTTCCGACTCGTGTGGTCTTGCAATTCTCTGGCGCATGCGCCTTAAGCCCATAGACTTTAACACATTGGATATCATTCCTTGTGTCATTATCAGACATGTCAGCACAGCGACGGTTGTAGGGTCTTCACATAAAACGCTTTTCGCAGGATGAATAAGGCATGGTTTCTGATTATGATAATAGTTGTGACTTACCAACAACTAGCCTGGCCCGCAAAGAGGATCATTAGCAGGGATAATTTATCTGTAGCATTGGTTGGCACGCTTTATGTTAGTGGTGCATTCGATTTCTTACGCTTCGTAAATCACTGGCACTGCTAGCTGTTCAGAGAATGTCAAACGAATTCACAAGGCGCACATTAGTGAGATTGAACAGATCGTGATGACTACCTGAGTGATTGTTAAGGCCATCCGCTCAATCCAGTAAAGGCAAATGGTCGATAAGACATATCCCTCACAACAAAGACACTGGAATAATTGCGCCAGGTAAACTGATATGAAACAGCTGTGAGGTAGAACACGAGCCACAATTTGTGACATCGTGTTATGACATTTCAACGTCCTCATCATCGCTGGCATCCTCCCAACCATCCCCGTCGCCCTCTTCATCATCTTGGATCGGGGACGGCGTGATGCCTAGTGCATCGAGGGTTCCAAGAAGTTCTTGGACATGTTCTAATATAGGCGTGTCTGGATCTGACTGCGACTTGTGCAACTGGATCCGAAAAAGTCAGTACTCAGATATTGACTCGCAATGAATGAAAGGAGGCTGCGCGGTCATTACAGCAGGACTTGCAAGATGCGTATAAATGAGACTGACTGACCATTTGGCAAGTTTCTAAGCAGTCCCTTGAGTCTCTAGCTATATCCTCCCAGGTCAGCCCTTCACTTCCTTCTACTTCACCTCCTTCTTTCTGGCGTTCGGCCACCAGCCACCACCCCCATCCCATAAGGTACCAGCCTTCTACTGAGGAATCGTCGGACGCAAGAACATTTTCCAAAACATCAAGAGCATCATGGTAAGCGCCGCACTCCAGGAGTAGCTTGGCGCGCGCAAGCCGCACGGAAAGAGGAAGTGCCGCAACCAATGCTTGATTGCGCGCAGGAGGGGCGTTTGGAGAGGAGGGTGGGAAAGTAAGAAGTGCAGCTAGGGCCTCCTCCGTTTTTTCTTGACTGAGGCGGACGCTAGCAAGACATTGCAAAGCCTCAAGATCATGTGGATCGATCTGTAGAGCATTGGCCAGAAGGGAATCGCATGTTGACGATGCAGCAGGATCGAAGCTTTTGTTCAGAACATGTCAAATCTTTCACAAAGCTTTCCGATTGGCAAATTGAGGACGCACCATAGATCATACTCAGGATCCATCCATACCTCGACCATTCCAACGTAAGCCCTCACGATATTGCTTCTCACCTCATCCTCTCCTTCGTCATGTTCATCCTCCTGGGCGGGTAGAGGTGCTTTGCCTTTGAGTTGTGTCTGAAGGATGTCGATGGCTGCCTGATAGTGTTTCAAAGCAGTGTGCGGATCCGCAGAGAGTTGTGCAAGATAAAGATGCGCTGAAGGTGGCGGAGGCGTAGGAGCTGTTGGATGTGGCGGGAGTAATGATAAAAACAACTAAAGGCAAGTAAATGATCAGGTGTATAACCCAAGTCAAGAGATAACATCTACTTACCTCTCTCGCTTCGTCCACTTCCCCGGTTTCGAGGAGCACTACGCCCATCATCTCCTTCGCTTGATTTTTTTCGCTCACTGACCCATCATCCCTGACAAGAGCACGATCGATGAATTTGCGTGCCAGAGGAAAGTCGCACTGTACGATGAGCTCTTGAGCCTTGTCAAGGAGAGCAGAAATGGCTGGAGCTGCTGAGCTCGACGAGGATTGTGAAGAGTTCATCACAGCGGATACAGACTTCTTGGCTTTCGTGCGTGTTCGGCCCATTTTGAGAGTCGCAATCAAAGGATATGCGAGATTCGAGAATCGAGAGTCAACATTTGATTGATCGAGTATAAGTGGTAGGACCCCAGAAACCACAGTCAGCTCTAAGGAAATCCTTGGCAGCCCAATGGCAGCCCGAGGTTCACCCAAATTCCTGCCGTCGCTAGAGGCACCCTCAAATAATATTAATATCGCATTCTGTAGTGTCACGTCTATGCATGTTTTTCCAACTTGGCTCATGCACATGTTTAGCATCATGCTCGATGTGCCGCGACGGTCAACCATACCTGGAGAGAGATCATGTTACCTGCCTGGTTTAACGTGAATGTTTGAAAATCAGTGTCAGGCTCGACCATAGGGAACCGAAGGAAGATATCTCCCGTCTCGCATTGAGCGCACAATATCTCTGAACTTGTGAGCTGCTGATTCTGCAACACTTCTAATTCTTCGAACGATTGGCCAGCAGAACAAAATCCCAAATTCAAGCACATACCGTTTTGGATTCCTTGTGGGTGTGGCGGCTGTACTCACTCTCAAGATACTGCATCCCGCTTGGAGTTCAGCTGCAATATCCATATGGTCACGCAGTGCCTTGTTCCTCGATTGCGCTGGGCTCATGACAAGCTTATAGAGTCGCCAGTCGGTCCATGAATTATATTCGCCCTGTACCAGGCACTTTCCAGTAACTTTTGTCTTCTCTTTGATCCACTACAATCGTGTCCCAGTTGCGTTAATAGGTCTGTATCGATAGGCTTCCTTGCTGGTAGGTCACCGTTCTTGTGTTTTCAGCACCTGAATGGCTTACTCCGTGGTAGAAGGATCATCAAATGTGGAGTTAGGAGGACGAACAAAAAGCAATTCTCGCGATCACCGACAGAAGATTCTCGACTCCAGCCCAGCGGGTTTGGATAAGAATAAGTGATAGCGTACGATCGCACGATTCAGGGCCTTCACACCAAATTCGACCAAGCTATGCTGAAGGAGTAAAGCTTTCCGAATGAGAATAACGACCCTGCAGTCAAGATCTGCGATGCGCAGCATGAAGTCCGAGTCGCTGATAAGCAGAAACCCAGTGAATATACAGCTTATTGTCTATATTGGCAACACCTGCGAAAGGGACGACCCCAAGGTAGCTGAAAAGAGATATTTGACGTCGCTTTCCGCTATACCATCCGTCATCACGGAGGAGCCCAAAACGCTCGACATCAGAAAACTGCTCCAACTGGATCTCTGGCGGAGATCCCAATGGTCCACAATCACTTTCCGCCGCATCATCGTCTACAAAGCCACAGAAACTGATCTCTTAGAAGGTTGAAACTTCCATGGTTGGCATTTTCACGCAACATGTCCTCTCTTTCCTGCACTTCTCGTGCAGGCCTGACAAGATCCCTTCGGCTCCGCAAAATATGCGGCCGACAATCTAGACATCAAACACCTATATACCTCAAATTTTGTATCTCCACTTATATTCGTGGGTCCTGCTTGTTCGGGATTAACCAAATCGCCGATTTAGTAACTCAAACAATTGACTGGGTTCCTCGTCTTTCAGTACTCACAGGAGCGATTTCTCACCGCTGGCAGATCTAAGATACCTCACTTCATCGCCTATGTCCTCCGCCACACTTTGTTCTAACTTCTCTGACACTGGTCCCTTTCCAGCGCGTTCCCACCGCTCGCAGGAAATTTGACGCTGTAAAACGCACTACACAAGGTAGGGAAAATGCGTCCGAGTCCAGTATGACCAACATACATTCGCATATAAGATATGCATTTACACTGCCAAAGCTTTTAACAAGACTTGTGGACCAGGGGGCAGTGTTTGCAATTTGATTCACATACGCAAAAGAGAGGACGAATTTCACCAGCAGGTGTTGATGCTGTCAAAGCAGCAACAAGTCAACGCCTAGGACAAAGTAGAAACACATTATTTATGAGGATTTATATGTGATCAAATCAATCTGACGGCCGGGACAGTACGAAGACATCTTGCTTTTGTGTGTTCTTTATGGCAATAACCTATCCGCCGGAATCGCCTTTTGAACCTGTGATATCCTCAATTCCATTATATTCCACCTAAGCTCTATCCAGGAAGCAAAATCGATTAGTGGAACGATTAAACAATTCATCCACATAAGTAAGCTGATAGACAAGTGCCATGCTTGAATGGTTGTTTATTCATGTTTAATTGTAAAGCCTTTACACAACAAGTGCAAACAAATACGACCTCTTCCGAACCTCGAAGTTGCAGCAGGCCCCCAAATCCTGGTGTCTGCATTGTTCTCATCTCATGGCGTCCATTTTTTCTCCTTTCCGAAGAGGCTACAGGCATCTGGTACGTACTATTTGACCTGAAGTGTTAATATCCTTGGCCAACACTCCCTAGCAATACCTCGCACATGAACAGCCAGTCATCTTTTACTCTTGCGTCATCGGGCTCGCAGGACCAGTGCTTGCTCTGACTGTACCCGCAGTCAGAAGGAATTGGCTCGGATACACTCCCGCGGAGCCCATACCTACCTCATATCCTTGTACGTCGTTAGCCATACGGTTTTGGTTCGCATCGTGTTGATCTAAATGCGACTCTTCACCTCAGTGCCGAAACGGCCGAGAAAGCCTGTACAAGGCTATGAGGACGAGTAGAGTAATTGATGGCTGGGATAGAATCATAGATAGGTATGTTTACTCCATTGCTGCTATGCATTTCATTGACAAACAATCAGTTCATAAAAGTCGTTTCATTATACCGACTGCTATACGTGTGTATTAGGCAAGCTATCGGAGTCTCCTTTCATCGCCTTGACCAAATACCATGGATTTCCTTGCGAGAATATACTAATGGTGTGTGTCAACCGGTGTCACTCTTGCATTGTCACCCGGACGGACCACCAATTACGCCGAATGTGTGTTGTCGTGCTTGAGTAGCGCAGCCCCAAGTCATGGGTTCTCCCCGGACTAGAAATCTGATGGCGTTCGGGGCCCTTTTTTGCGATTTCACCTCAAATGTTAGGAATGGCATTTCCATCACATCAGCCCTTGATGAGCTCTCCGAAGCGTATGGTGCGTCAGCGGAGCATGTATAGACACCGCAATCATACCAACAAGAACCTTATCAGGTCAGTAAATTCTCCCTTTAAGATTCTCATACGCGCAGCCGTTTCCGCGGTCGGAACTTTGATTGCATTTCACCCTCTCCATAAATCCGAGCTCACCGAGATAAATCCACCCTAAAGATGAACATAATGAAATGGTTGTGCAGATCAAATCATCTGGCATTAATTGAGTCTACGTCCGATGGCTTGCTATGGAGTTTTAACTAAAACAGCAAATCTCATGCTGCTCGAGGGTTATCGCCGTGCTCGCTCCTATGTGTCAGCGAGGGAGTCTTGTGGCGACATAGTATGTCCATTCGCATAAGAGGGTGTTGTCACCGGAATGGTCGTTGTCCAGAGGAGTATGATCCCGATCTTTATTTCCCAAAAGGTTCGTCCAGATACTTAATTGCTGCTTGTCAAGTTGGATGAACCATGAAATAGCAGCATTACTTACATAACTAACCGCACTTTGGACAGTCCGGGACTGTAATGGTGAAGGAGTACTGAATGTGGTCAGGGAAAATTCATCTGGATGGGCATAGTCTGCATTGTATTTCCATAGCGCTCGGTGCATCCTTGTGACCAGCGCGGCATGGACGGTAATTTGTATACTTCTTAGGCGGTCAGCGTGGTAAATTGTCGACAAAATCTGACACCGACCTGGACACCAAATCAGAGTATGATGGCTGTACGCCGATCAAATCAGTAATATTCAAGTCAACTTTAAAAAATCAGGTACTGACAGGAAATATTGCAATCGCAACTATGAGCACGCCGGAAGATCCTACGAGTCAAACGCGGTATTACACTTTGTGCCTGAGGGAAAAGAATGACAAAACTTACCAACTCCGCACAAAAAGTAGAATATATTATGCTGCACAAGGACCCTAAGCACGTTGGCACTCCGTTCACGTCGGTATCTAGCAATGGCTTGATACAACGTCAAACACAATATTTCTGGAATCGGTTAGATGGTATTCGAACAATGTCGCATGGCTCTCACCTAACTCGGCGATGATCATAAGGACATACACATAAAGTACAGCAGAGGTTTCACCCGTCTTGGAACAGCCCGGTAACCCGGTGGCAACCCAATTGGTGACTAAAAGTCAATATTCATCAGATGGTTTACGGAATATCAGGAGGGGCGCCTACTGGTCGTCGAGGCATTGTATTTCACAAGAATACCAACTATGGGCGTCAGGAGAAACTAAGGCGATTAAGCGATGCGAAAAGCACGAGGACAGGGACATGACAAATCTTACAGTAACACTGACGATGAACGTCCATAACACCCGTTTTGAGCGGTCCCAAATGACATATGTGCGTGCAAAAAATATGCCTTGATACCACATGATCAGTCTTGTCTGTGGCACATGACGCAGATAAGGCATACTCTCTGCTGAGACAATTATCACGATACCGAGATCTGCGGAACATGACTTGGGTCAGATGACTGGCGTTGACAACCAAATTGGCCACTGCTTACACGAATTCATGGAATACAACGTTTGACACATCTACACAAGGGTCGTTTAAAGGGCACCAAGTCCGGTGAGAGTCGACGCGGACTTACGCTGAGCGATGGATTTTTTTCCAGTGTCCCTTGATAAGATTGATAAATGGGGCATGTCAAGACAGAGAAGGCAACTCAAACAGACTCACGGCTTGAGATTACAGTTAGATAAAGGAAAGGTACATATCGACACACGAGATAGAGATATTTGACGATTCTCCAGGTCGATCCCGTAACAAATGACAGCTGACAATGGTGTCATCGCTGATAGAATTGCCTTCATAGTGGAGCTCGCACCTCTTCATCCAATGTAATGACGTAGTCATAAGCCTCAATTGACCGAAATTTTAGTTGGAGAAGGAGTAATATGGCCGCATTACCTACCCACAGGGTACATAAAGCCACTGCCAAGACGGTTTTGGGTCAGTATGCGGTGTGACATGGCGTAGCATGATAAGACATACCGTAAGCATACTACGTCGTCGAAGAGCCTCATCAGAACGATTCAATATCTTACGAGATCGCCGATGGGTAAACCCACCTTGGTTTTGACGAGAACATCGGGGTTTGCCACGTTTACACTCAGTTGCGCTATGGAAGTAAGCATGAAGCGCTGAGCGAAAGAGAGGGTGAAGCCCCAAAGCATTTTTCCATCCGGGACATTTCCGATCCTCGCGCTTCGAAAATGCTTTTCGCCTATTTGCCAGGCGGATAAAAGGGAAAGTCATCGCGAAGACAACGGTCCGAGTTCTCCATTTGCCTAATTGAGGGATGCGCCACAGCAAGTGCTCGTATCACCACAAGAGCTTCATCATTCGTTCATTCCTTCGCACTCGAATTTCTCATGACTGCGCGGATATGAAGTGCCTACAAGCAAACATGGAAAAGTGAGGACCTTGAACGGAGGTTGGATATTCAAATGGCGCTGACTTCTGAATCTCTTGTACAACGATGCTCTTAACGTTGTTCGTATCAGCTATTGCCGGTATCACTATCGAGTACATCGTCAAACGGAGCCGCGATTCCAACTACCAAATGCGCGGTCGTGATACCACAGGCAATCAATCTGTGCGATCTAGTCCAGTCCAATTCTTTTGAATTAGACTACCGGGATAAACTGACCTATCTGCGTGAATGTAGTTCCCCGATCAATCTATATCTTATTCGAAACCACGAGCGCCAGGAGGCACCAGGCAACAGGACATCCGTCACCTGAACTCTACAGGGCTGCCCGAGATCTGCGAATCATGCACCATCGAAGTTAGTGTTCTTCATGTTATACTTACTTGCGGAGGATATCAAAACTCTTTCCTGTTTCCGGCGCCACAACTTGATATCGACAATTGATCGTCCAAGTACGTACTTCTGTACAACGAGTTCACAACGCCTGAGTAACTGAGCAACAAGTCAATGAAGCAGGGCAGGACGCAAAACGCCGAAGTGGCCTGTCAAGTCATTAATTTTCATTTCGCCAGTCACTATGCCATCGCACCTTCAAACTTATTCTACATTCAAAAGGAGTTAAAACATTGCGGTGGAGCACTGAGAAGTCGCTAGGGGAAAAATGGTCTGCCTAGTAAGTCTGCCTAATAGTTAGCAGACGGAGAATACAGAGAATACGGGGAATTCTAGTTCCACGGTGCTCCACGCCGTCAGTTGACGATTAAGCGACCTTAGCGAAGAAGTAGTAATGACCGGCCATTGCTGAACGTCGGACACATGGTAAAAGGGATCCATAGCCACTGCGAAGCCTCGTGCACTACCTCGTTCAACGGTGAACTTTGAAGAATGCCCAAACGTGGCTAGCGAAGCACTGATCATTGGATGATGATCAATGATGGAAGCTACGAGTTTTCGACTCCTTTGATCCATTGAGCTTTTTCGTTAAAGTTCTCAGCGGCCTTGCAGCGGTCCATAAAACGATATGACTGCTTCTCGCCGAATGGTGTGATACTGACCTGACCTGACCTGCTTTTGTATATATAAAGGATTTAGATATAAATTAGATGTCATCCAAAATTTATGTCAAAATTTCATTCATTGCATTGAAACATTTTGGAGGAGAAATACATACGACGCGGAGTATTGGTCGGCCATAGGCACTACCGCCCTAACGGCGCTTTGTTATAGTTTTTTTTAAAGAGAAGCCTTACGAGCGCTTACACTGACGTTTGACGAACTCTTTCTCGACCTCCAAGCCATCAAAAAAATTTATCGCCATTCATACCCGCGTAGAAGTCTTTTTGTTGCGGAACCGTGTAAGAAAATATTAACAACTGCAGGGAAACATGCTTCAAAGTTTCGAATATTTGTCTATTAGCCTACTAGGTGTGCCCTCACTATAGCTAGGTACCAATTCCGAATATGTTTATCCACCCCTTGTGGTTTAGCCTGTGACGTTCCGTTAGACCTCGGTTACTGTAAGTCGAACAAGGTCCGTCACGCTTGCTCCTCCCCATACCGTGTGTTAACTTATTCCCGTTTCACTTAAAAGGGCAGACACCCAACTTGTCCTCCCCTTCCTTACTCCCGGTTCTAGTTCATCGCTGGCCAGACCATAATTATGCCATCTATTATCGGCTTTGATACTTTTCGCCTTCGCTGGTGGTCAAAGTCTTCTGCCAAACCACTTCCACCTCCTAGCGAGGACGACAGCGACCGCTCATGTTCACCTGAAAAGGTCGAGCGTCGTACGAGTTTCCACATCAGCACTCCAAAGAACGTCCGCCAACCCCCGCACCGACCCCGGGATGTTCAAAAGGCACTACCCGGAATACCTACAACGAGCACAAGCAAAGTTTTTCATGATGAAGTGGTGAACGAAAAGTCTAGTGATCATTTCCTCGAGCAACCAGTTGAGGCAACCGAGAAGCTCGTCGGTCTCCTAAGGTAAGTTTCGGTCATCTCTTACCATGGCACTTGTGCGGAGGTTGTTGCAGTAATACATGTTCTTGGAACTCCAACTTCTCTTCTCTCTTATTCGCTTTTCATCTCGGACTCTGTTCCGAGGGTTTTATCTACCAATTAGTTGACATTTCTTTTTACAGGTCAAATACTGATATCCATAAATCATTACCGCCCACAACGAAACCATCACCTACCATGAAACCGTCGTTGATTCGTCGCGTAACATCTAGGTTACACATCACAGTTCCGGCAACTTCCTCATCTTCGCAGCTTGGGTCGTCACCCCCGCGTCCAACACGTGCCCCAGCTGGTGTGGGGCACTCGGGCTCTTCCCGACCTCCTCGATCACCACGCGTCACTCCTGTTCATTCTCCCACACTTCCTAACTCTTTTGTCTCTCGTGAGAATCGTCAGGCTGCGCTGCGCGAGCGTGGTTTGCTCCCGCCTATGAAAGATCTTAGCCAACAAGAGCGTGAGGCCGACGAGCGCTTAGCTCCCGTTCCCGCCCCTGACAAAGCCCAGAGTGGCTTCAGTGCGGCATCAAGGATCAAGGAAGAATGGATGTCCGCAAATCGTTCGTCTGAAACACGTGCCTCGGATTCTGTCTACCCAAGACAGCTGCCCAGCTTTAGTGCGCTGGCATCAGGGGTGTCATATTCGGCATCTTCTTCACTACCCCAGTCCTCAGCATGTGATTCCGATTGCGCTCGCGCGGACCTTGGTGCCGAGATGCCATTCAGAGCAAGATCCTCAATTTCCAGTAGCGTCCCACCACTATCCCCATCTTCACACCTAGAAGTACTCGAAGAGGAGCCTGCAGAGCATGCGCTTCCAACACCGCGGCCGCCACCGCACCATGTTCAGCCGCCCATAATTACGTCCACCCCAGTGGAGAATTCTTTTCCCCCAGATCACGCCATTCTTGTCGAAAGTCCTATTTCTTGCACGTTCTCTAGCTCTCTAGGATCACCATCTCAGCCGGACACATCCCCTCCGGTTATACTAGACAAGGAGAACTTGTGTTCTCCACTCCCGGTCCCTCCATCCCGGCGGCGTACATCAGAGTCAAATGTTCGCAGGCGCTCATCGGTCTCAACACATCTGTCCAGATTCGGCACTAACTCGCTCACCAATTTGCGGCGCTCGGTGACTGGGAGTTTAAGGTCCAATGCGGATCTATCCAGTACTTCCAGTCAACATTCCTCTCCACGGGTATCTATCAGGCCGACGATGCATAACCGTGGAAGCATATTATCTGAGACCAAGGGTATCCAAGACGCAGAGAGTCGCCGACTGAGTGAACTTGCATTCTTGGATTGATCACGCGGATCTTCGGATTCAAGGGTTGATGCTCCTTGCCTCGTGACTACTGTTAAACAAATTAGCTGTTCTCGCGCATCGTTACAATTTGAAACACGCCCTCCATTCTTTTACGGGTCACGCATAATCCTTGGCACTTCCTTTTCGGACACTCACACACGTCGCCGTCCACATTCATTCCCAAGGCTTTTAAAGGCATACATAGCGCCTATTCATCCATCCAATATGAAAACCTCGTTGCATACTTTTTGCATGTACTTTTAAACCCGTTATCGGTCGAATCACTTTTGCGATCTGATATCCCCGCTCACTACATTCGTCGGTCACGTTAATTCCTTGGGTTAGTAATAAGCACAACCCGTTCTCTCCTTTGATACAGATTAATTCACTGTATACTAGTAATCGATTACGTTTCAGCATACCTAATGGATGAGATACCTACCAGTCCAATTTGAGATATCTTGATCATAGTCTGAACGAGCGCTAGAAACACATCACGAGTACGGCACCATCGTGCATCATGGTTAGTCGACGCATAACTTGTATCGTGAGTACGCCACTTGCCCGCACTAGAGTGTAATATGCCGGCCACGCCTAGACGAGTCGACCTCGCCGACACGTAACAATTACAGTAACAAACGCACCAGCCCATCGATGGTCTGGCCTCGTGTAGACCAATTGCCCCCGCCTCAAAGTCTTGGGCTCGTCAGTTAACGTCAGCTTCCACCACCACATTCCCAAAAATCTGACTTTCTTCGCCTTAGCGTCTTCCGGGCCAATCATCTCATCTACATCAACGGCAGAGACGCCACACATCAACTAGTGCTCGAAGCTTCCTTCCTGGTTTTCGAACATGCCCGAACCAACAGCCGCACAGCTCAAGGACGAAGGCAACGAGTCATTCAAGAAGCACGACTACATCGGGGCGATCATCAAATACACCGAAGCCATCGCTTTGGATGATAAGAATGCTGTTCTATATGCAAACCGCGCCGCTTGCCACCATGCCTTGAACAAGTGAGTATGGTGTTATTATTATGTTATGTATTTTAAGCTGTGTTGATTTCGATTTTTAAATAGATATCTAGATGCTGTGGACGATGCGCATATGGTACCCCTTCTACGGTCGTGGATGCTGCATGGACTGTTAATACGTGTGTTAGGCTACAGAGATCGATCCGGGCTATGCGAAAGCGTGGTCGCGATTGGCGGCGTCCAGAGACGTATGTTCTTTGAGTCCCGATTAGGCTGGGCTTACTTGCTGTGCGTAGGCGCTTGCGGATTGGAGGGAAAGCGCTCATGCTTGGCAAAAGGCGTTGGATGCGCTGCCAAACACTAATCTCAGCCCCGTGGAGCGACAACAAAAAGAGCAGTATAGTGCTAATCTGAAAGCAGCGAATGCGCGTTTAAATGGGCCGCCTATCGTCCCTCTCTCGATGAATGAGAAATTGGGCAAGTTCCCTTGGCAGATCGCGACGGATATGCTTCCTGAGCTCCGGAGAGCGGGTCCTGCAAAAGTGTCTAGCAGCGTGAGCTTGAGTCGTAGTCTTGTATGCTTTCACTGAGTGTTGTCGGTGGGTGCAGGCTTGGGTTATCGCACTTGCGTATGAGGTGATATTTGGGAATTTTCCATAAATGGCGGTATGCTGACAGAGAAGTCTTTACTAGGAATTCAGCAAAGGGGTAGAATCGATGAAGGGAATGAAAATAATTCCTCAGTCTGAAAAACCAGGCACTTTTGTGCACCGCGGAAACCTAGAGGCGAGTTCAGATTGTTCTATGTCCTTGTTGTATTTTGGTGTTTACACGGCGCAGGGGCTGACGGACTTGAGCAATGGTTTTATGCGTGACGATCGCGTGTTCCATATCAATCAACCTAATTGGATTGAGATGTACAATCAACAAGGTGATCTTATGCTATCATCGCTTGTCGAAATTGTACTAATCAAAGTACAGTCTATTTCGAAGTCACGGCTCGCAAGGCGTGGGACTCTGAAGGACTCGAGACCGTCAAGAACTGGCACAGAAACGCTTGAAGGAGAATGGCTGGGATGATGTCCGCCCCGCATTGGCCGTGACCGTTCGGTGCGCAAGGTCGGGTTCTATCTTCAAAAACTTTGCTGATCAGTCGCTTTAGCGCATGGTTAATGAGAGCTGCATTCGAAGGCGGTTTAAGAGATCAACCTCAGGCTGGTGTCCAGTATTACAGACGAGCTCTCGACTTGGTCGAATGGGGCAGAACCATCTGGAAGGATGTTCCCAAGTCCAGCAGAGGAGCGATTTTCGAGCATTCGTTCTTGATAGGCATCCGGAGTATGTACCTCAAGATGTTCATGAACGTAGGTCGCGCATCGCTATATTTTTTGGACGCAAATTAAACCCCATGGCAGGCTTACACCGACGACCCTGGCTTGGACTCCAAGTTCCCTCTTGAACAGCTAAAGGAAGAAGCTGAGTACCTTGTCAAAGAGAGCGAGATAGCTGTACAGACGCGTGGTGATGAGCCGGTTGACCCCGGCTTCATATCATCTTTCATCGTGTACCCCAACGGACTTGCTCATGCGTATGCTCTCCCTCTGCGCGCCTCCGGTCCTGTGCTAACCATCGCCTCGCTTCGCAGGATGATCGGATTCTATCACGTGCAAATGGCCCGATACGCTACTAATCCTGTGGAAAAAATGTTTAGCTATGTGAAAGGTGCAGGAGAGTACACGCACGCATCCAGCAAATACCCCGAGGATGACGAATTGTGCGCATGTGGGTGATCCAGCGCAGACTGCACGCGTTTCATGACCATTTTCCAGGGTACTTAAATTGCACGATGGATTGCATGCGAAATGCCGGCGTCCCGATTGAAAACTTCCTCATGATAGCGACCGGCTTACGGGATTCAGTACCCAAGATGCAAAAAATATGGGCGGTCTCTGAGCTGGCGATGGGTGGCAGAGACCAGAAGATACAAGCGAATCTGGATAGGGCGGATGAACTCATGAGGCGCGTCGCTGACAAGACGTTGACGCTCGAAGATCCTGTGCCTTTGTGATCGCGATTCATTCTTTCATCACGGATTTCATGGACGCATGTACTTTTAATGTTGCGTGTACTTGTAATCACTGCGGATGCTCTTCCTGCTATTCTTGAAAGAATTCTCGTAAACCCTTGCCAAGGCGTATCATGCCCTTTTCGATGATATCCTCCGTACCAGCGAACGTTGCGCGTAGAAACCTGGTGCGCTGTCGCGGAGTCAATCAAAGTACTGCTGAATCCAGGACACTCACATCGCTCAACGGCACATGCCCATCGCTTTCCACCCACAGAGCATTTTCTGGGATAGCGAACGTAGAAGCTGGCATGAACACGACGCCATGAATACTCATCAACCTCTCAATAAGCTCCTTTAGGAGGCATTCCGTATTAGTCCGCGCAACAACAGGCGAGCCACCAGAACACCGCTCGCGAACGAACCGAGGATGTTTCTCGAAAAATACTTCTATCCACACGAACATCCCTGCTTCAGGTCGGTTTACGCTTCGCATAACCGGTGGGTTCTACTTCGCGCTGGAAAACGTCTAGGAGGAAATCAAGGCGGTTCTGGTAGTCCAGGCATAGGCTTCTCAGCCACCGACAGAAGCCATCGATTTTCCAGCCGTGTTCGCTAAGCATCTCGGTGACGAACATCTGTCCGAAGGCGTGCGGCGGCTGGGTCGATGAATCGGTATATTCTCCCAGTTTCAGGTGGAAAAGCTTGTTGCTTGTTATCCAACCCAATCGCATTCCGGGGGCAAGCACTTTGCTGAACCTGCAGACAATGATCAAAAAAGTGATTAAGCTCAGTTACTAGGCGTGCTGACGTGTCGAGACGAAGCACACGGCCGTCGACATCCATTGACAGGAACGTAGGTATCAAAGTGCTTCTGAAATTCTCGATAAATTCATCAGGATCTGCTGACGCGCAGTTCGTTTGAGGGACATTGTATCGCAGGAAATAGTATGGATCTGCGAGAAGAATGTCAGACGAGGTGCGATGACACCGCTGAGTCGACATACCGTCTTCTACGATAATTAAGTCCCATATTTGCGCGATGGCATAGATCTTCTTGCGACGATCCACGCTCAATGTTGATCCAGTCGGATTCTGGCCAACCCTGATGATACATTATGTGGTGTGCATTCAGACTGAAGTCTAGAAGCTTACGGAACGAGATAGAGAAGGCGAGGTCGTCGTCCTAATTTTGCCTCATCCCATCTGATGAGAACTTTTTCTAGCTCCTCAGGAATGATACCACCAGAATCCATCTTGATACCAACCCACTTGACGCCGTATGGGAGAGGACAGTTTGTGATACCTACAGGACAACGGGATTAGTTCAGAACAAATATGGAATAGTATACTCTCACTGACCGGGATAAGAAAACTCGTCGGTCAAGAAATGATCTCCCTTCTGGCCGAAGATACGAAAGACCTTTGTGAGACCATCAGAGTTCCCGAATGTCAACATGACATGATGGTTCGGCGGAGCGAATATCAAGTTTGTGAAATTGGTGAGTGCATCTTTGCACGGTACCAGACCAGCAGCGCGGGAATACTGGAAGGCATTACGAATGGGTAGTGCGCACTCTTGATCTCTGTAAGAATGGAAGATCTGCGTTCGCCCAGAGTTGTTCCATGAGGTGACTGGATCAGATGGGTCCTGTATAGATGGTACTTCGTACATGATTTGCTGGAAAGGATAGAGGGAATGATGAGGATCGCCTAGAAGGCATCTGTTTGACTACAATTCGCCACTGTGCATGACAGTGAGATTACCGTTTGCCATAGTGATGAGATCAGTGACTGGGCACTCGCTGATCACTCGCATGATATCTTTTAGTGGGTTGGCAACTCGAATCCTAGCCTCATCCGATAGGTGATGTGAAAGGTCGATGACACGGTTGTTACTGGTAGCATTGTTGTCGATCTGTGGTGTCTCCATCGAACGGAATTGAGAGAAGGGAGAGAGAAGGATATTAATTCCGGAGCCGATGATGTAGGGACCGAGGCCGAAGTAAAGATAGTTGTAGTGCTAAGACTGCTAGGTTGGTTGGCCCACGTCTTCTTTGCTGAATTGGTCTATGCTTGCATTGCTTGAAGGCCAAATATAGGTGCCGCCCAGTTGAAACTGTTTGTTACCATCAAACTCGAAACCACCGCGGCCCCGAGTACGATGAGACGGTTCTGCTGTCGAAGAGTGAAATTCTAATGCCGCTGTGCTGTGTCGGTATGGACGAAGACGGTCCGGTAGCGAATACTGCGAGCCTTGTGTGCAGTATTTGCTGGTGGAGCTTGAGCTGACGAAGTTCAGTAGAGCGGAGATAAGAATAACGGTTTGAAATTGATGGCAATTTGCAATCCCCTACAATCCACGCAGTCACGTCTTGTTGGATAAGAGCTACCCTCATCTTCCCCAACCACGCTTCTAGCAAACACGTACTCGATTCGCCGTCTGCCTGCAGGTCTTGAGGCTCGTCCGACTTGTCTACGCGGTCACCTGAGCTGCTAGGACTAGAGCGACGGATAGTCCAAGTTGCGGCACCAGGCGGGCAGCTGGCTATGTGAAGGGCCGGTTTCGAGGTTACCTGCACGTGGTTCATCTGCACCTGTTCCGCGGCACAGGTTGGGATAACCTAGTTCTAGATCCGGCAGCAACTGACGGCATTCGACTTCAAATACTCGTCCCTGCGAGGGGTCGTGTGTCATGTCTACTGCGGATCCTGCAGCGGACATGTACAGGGTCGCAGTTTACAGGGATAAGCTAAGTGATTGAGAAGCAAGTTCCAAATTTAGAAGATTCTAAATGAATCATAATGAGCTGATTTGAAATATCTGGGCGTTATGAAAACCCCTTACACAGTTAGAATGACGCTCCAAGTGAATAACAATGAGGCAAAGATAAGATAAGCAATACGTACACTTCTCAACAAACGTTGCTTGCTCAGCGCTTCGAGTTAGCAGAGTCGATTCTTGGGGTGAAACACAGAAAATCTCCCCACACAAGTGACAGATGCTGACAATACATGTGTGAACCATTGGTTGAACCGCAATTCTATTTCCAAGGACGTGATACCAGTATGGAAAGACTTTGCGCCATCTACAACATTCCCAATTCTGCAATTTAGCTCCGGATTATCGGTTCAAGCTATCATTCAATTTGCATTGCACAGACCGCAATTACAATTTCTATAAAACAGTTGATTCAAGCTGAGCTCACCGGTGCGTATTGATCGCTGTCCGAATCGAGTCCTGACAAGTACATGTCTCATTCTGAGTCTGCAGCTCCGTTTTCGATCATATCCCCGCATTATCTACTTACCCCACATTTATTCACCTCATTGCCGTGATTCATTACCATCTCCCTACCCTTGCACTTGCATTCACCACTATAACACTCATTCAAGAAAGGAGTTCGCAGCGAAAAGGAGAAATGATCGGTTCGATCGATGAACTAGCAAAATTGTAAAGCGGTGACCACGTGGGATGACACACTCGGGGTTTGCCATCGCCAATTATAAAGGTCGTCTGACTGATCTGAGAAATGTAAAACTCTTGCTCTCCTTTCTTCTACTCACTCCGTCCCTTATACCACAAAAATCAACATGAATCGAGATAATCATGCAAAGGACGACTCCGTGAAGCACTCTCAACCAATTCCGATGGCTACTCACCACTGGAGGCACCGCTCCATGTCCGTTTCCTCGGAATCATCAACTTTACCTGGTTCACCTCCCCAGCTACAGACTCCATTGAGTCTAAATTCTCCCCATGTTCCGGTTGCCTCCCCATCCAGTTCTCCCATCCTTTCGTTTCTGTCTCAGTCTCCAACCTCAAAATCCCCATCTTCGGTTCCTTACCGCAGCTTTGGTGGTCAACCTTCGTTTGATGGTCCGTTCCTTAGTCGTTTGCCCTCTCCCCCTCACTAACTCATACCCATCCCCACAGAAGACGCCCTCGACGAACTTCCAGCTTCTGTTCATCCCCGTTGGGCTGGTACATCTGGGCGGTTTGCGCCCGCTCCACCTGCCCCTGAAGCCCAGACCGACCGTGGAGCTGGGTTGTTAAGGCGTCTATCACTCGGAAGCGCACTTGCAAAGGTATATATTTAAAAAGTAGATGTGATGCGCCATTCATCTTCTTCTTTCTTCAGCCTCCGAACTTGGATAATACGAGCAATCGAAGTCCCACTATGCCTGCTACTCCACCTAACTCCGCAGTCTCCCCTGCAACAACAACTTTACCCTCATTTCCTGTTCGCAAGGCAAGGCGCTCGGCAACGGTGAGCATTGACCCTGGACGCCGGCATCGCGCCCCTTCTCCCATGGGCGAGAGGATCCTCAAGGGTCATTTCGACGGCTTCAATTAGCAGGCATCATGCCCACCGTCTCTTCATCTTTTCACATACCCCTTGGGCTCTCGTGCGAACGCTTTTCTCAAACTGTACCACCAATAATGGCCTTGATCGGAGTTTCAACAAGTCCTCGGTTATGTCAACAACTAGCTGCCGCTTCACCAACCCTAATGCGCTCTTCTTATATCTATCGGTTGGCTCATATCACTCTGTTCAAACTCACTCCCAACTTGTATCGCCACTGTCGCTTGCCACATTTGCATTGCATTAAGGCGTCCCATTTGGTGAGCACCGCAGTTCTAGGTAGCGAGCTCAGCAGTTGATTCACACGGTTAGATCACCATATACACCAACACTTTTGCGTCTCGACTCTGTTCTTTACTGCACCACTTGTAATTCGTATCGCCTCTATATTTGCTTAGTGCAGCTTCGTTTTCTACTGTACATGTACTACCACAACGATCAAAATTCATAGGCCCACACTGGGCTATATTTGAGCACTGGCTCAATGTTTTCGCTCCGCGGTAGCTTGGCATCATGAGGATCAACGCTGCACTGCTTTGAATTTCATTGAAGAAAGTAGTGGAACTTTCTAGCCAAGAGGCTCTCACGAAATGCGCCTCAAGTAAAAATAACTCGAGTTATGAAATAAAGGTGTTTTATTGTCACTGCAATAAGAACGCATCTCTATATGTGCCTACAGGTATCGCAAAAGCGTCCATACTGCGAACCCACGAAAGATGACGTGGCAATAACGCTTACTGAGCAAAAGGCATCTCCGGCCAGACAGAAGACCACTCGGGAGATAGAGCTTGATATAGATCTTTGAAGAAATCATCTATATCGTCGAAACTCTGCGCCGGCTCCTCCCCAGAAAAATATATCGGATCAGGTGTTGAATTGGCGCGCGGTGGGCGTGTCCAAAGGCGACGATTCGCGAGATGAGTCATCACTAGCACTCCCCAACGAAGGACAAGAGGAAAGAGGGGACGGGATCCATTCAACATCGCAGTCCGAGTCATACTGAGGACTCCAACCAGTGGGAGAAGGCGCGCTCCGACTAGAAGACGCATTCGAAATCGTACTAGCCTGCGCTGCAGACATAGCATCCTCGATAGACCAAATGGTCATCGGATTCGGGAGCATAACGCTCGGATAAGTCGCCCTAGGCGCCACAATAGACGGGGCAGACTGGCAGATGCACTTGGTCGAGGGCGGTATTCAGAACCAACGTCGTAAGGTTTCCGGCTTCGCCGCTCTTTAGTGGTTTTGATAGGAGTCCACTGGCACACCTTGCCTCTTTTCTTACAGCCCGTACACACCGGCTGATCCCCCGAACACTATCCCAAAACGTCAGACAAAGCAGAATGAATGAAAAGAAACGCTCACTTTGTTTTTCTGCGCCTGCAGTAATCGCAGGCATGAGCTACCCGAGGATGGGAAACTTTTGTGCGAATGGCAGCGGTGAAATCGTTTTGGACGTCTGACTCCGCAATGGGAGGAGAGTCGACATGCATCCAATATGCACCAGGCGCAGATGAGGATTGGAGCCCCAGAATTGTGAGCCAGTCATCTTCAGGTATTAAATCCAGCGCAGCAAGGTCGGCGGCTTTCTGATCATATAGGGGTTGCTCCATAGGGGCTAATGATATCTGCTCGGCAGAGTAGGAGGATAGTCCAGGGAAGCCAGCTCCACTGTTCAAGGTGTGAAAGATGGGGAAGGTGGACATGATTAAAGACAATAATTAATTTGAGGAGAGTGATGAGGTGTAAGATGAAGAAGAAGGGAAGAGACGTCGTTGGCAAATGCGATGCTTTCGCTTAGCTTACTTAATCACATATTATTGCTGATTACGTCATGGCTGTTTTACGAAAATTCTCAACTGCTATTACTAATCAACCCAATTCGCTGAAGCGCTTAGCGCTCTACCGCGACGATACATTTGCCGAGTTATCCATTGCGCGCTTTGTGAGATTTATACGAAGCTTGTCATTGGATGCCATTCCCGAAGTTCTTGTCAGGTACTATGTGGCTGTATCACTGTCACAAGCAGGCGTTGCAGTGATTCTTTGGTTCATGACTTTAAGCTGACGCCCATGTTCAACACAGGACTGCATGACTGCGGGTCGGGATACCTTACCTCTCCTTTTTCTTTGACAGATACAGGCGAACTTTGAACCGGTTGCCCGATGGACCATGGTAAAGGTCTCTCAGACCAAGATGATCACCTTCAGCCACTTTCACGATGCTCGTAGTATGACTATCAAGCGAGGAGAATGTGGAATGATCATTGATGTGCGAGCAACTTTCGTGAGTCTTCAACCATACCGGATCTGGTCGACCATGTCACAAAAATGCAATCGACTTCTGCCCCAGTATGCGAAACTAGGACCAGCTACAGAAATATGCGCCTTTATCAGCTCAAATGTCTAAAGTTATGCTATGCCTCGCCTACGATCATTGGTTTCATCCAATGCGCATCAATAAAATGGATGGTCGGCGGACTGCAGATATATCCGCCGTAGCGCCGTACGCTGCTCCGGACTGGTCTTAGCCGGAGGGATGACCCTTTCGGACAGGTGCTTGGTACCTCACAGAAGCAGGCTTTCCGTTGTGAAAACCAGGGCCCGGAATCTATCAAAGTATTTGCCAATTGAACGTCGAATTTTGATAGGCTGATCATATAGTGGAACGTGTCCAGGTCCAACGTTCCCCGCATGACGTGCCATTTATGCATTGCATAGGCGCTCTTGAGACACTGGTATGCACCGGAAGCGCACCGACTTGCTTGAGTTATATTCAGTTGCTTCAACGCGAGTAATATTGCATCCCTTAATTCTTAACTCTCCTATATTCAGTTGCTTCAGCGCGAGTAATATTCCATTCATTAATTCTTAACTCTCCTATCTACGACTACTAGTGATAATTGCGATGAGCTCACTCTCAGACTACTCCTCACTCGAATTAACCGAGTTGAGAATTATGTTATTACGCCTGAATGTAAGTACTTCCAGTACGAGTTAGTGATGGTGGCTCATCGACTCGGCCAGTACGCTAATGGTAACCGTCTCTATGCACACTTGATATGGACCGCAACTGATCGTCCAAATTAGTGGCCATAGCATGTGTCTTGGTGAATACTAGCGCTCTATTTTTGTTGGGTATTAAACAACTTCTTTGATATAGGTGTACGACTACTTGATCACGATCTCGAGCGAGGTACGTTACTAGGAGTTCGTATGTCAATCGACTGTCTGAGCATTCGTTTCAACCCCAGGTCACTTATCTGTTCCATGGACGATGGTGCATGATTAAATTCCTCTACTTGATCTGTCGTTATCTCCCGTTTGTCTTCGTGACTTTGGGGATGATCAGTACGTCGAATATGCAATCTCTTCGCTGTCTAATTAGTAAACTTTGGGTTTCCTAGTGTGGGTACAACCCGCTTCATCACAGACCGTATCTGTGAGTTCAGCATACTTCTTGCTACTTCCGAGACTGATTTTCTGGGGTCAGCTGTGCCAGATATTTTATACTCTGAACACTTGTCAGTATTTGTGGCAGATCGTTCATTTGAGACATTAACACCTACGCGCTCCTAGACATCGGTGGTGTAATATTGGTCTGCGCGGAATGTATGGTTTGAACACGTTCCATGTTTGCAAATCTCATTCACGCTCTTTTCCAGGTATATTCGTAGCACGTACATGTGTACTTTGGGGAAACAAACGATCGATTGTCCTATTTTTTACGATCAGTACAGCAGTATGTGGCTAAATCTTGTGCTTTTGTATTCAACTCAATTCTCTTAGCTCTATATCATATTGGGTATCGTGATCATGAACATGCATACGTCGTCAACGATAAGTAAGTACCCCATCCACCTGCTCTCGTTGACGTTCAACTGATCATTGATTATATACATCTAGTGATGATGTTACCGATACCCTCTGTAAGCTGCTTTGATTTCGGGGGGAATGACGTCATCGTCGCGGCATATAGTCTCCTTATTCTTGCAGAATTGCGTGAGCTTTCATCCTGTCAATCTTGAAAAGCATATTTTGACGCCGTACAGAAATCGTGTTATTTTCCCTATACAAAGCCACCAAAAGTTTGAAAAAGTGGGGTGGCGAGAACCGATTGCTCGAGATTCTCATCGAGCACAACATATTCTACTTTGCTTGTGGATTGTGTGAGGAATGATTTGTTTAGAACATGAAGATTGGTTACTGAGAAATCTTTTAGGTTCTTCTGCTCTTGTCATCTTAACGACGGCCCTAATGCAGGTGAGAGCTTCCTCTTTACTGGAAATCTGTGTTGACGTGACATCCCAAGGCATCGTATGGTAATTGGATGGCTAGGTACGTTTTGTCCATCAGCTTTAGCTAACCGAGCTCAGGCATTCTCTAGTGCTCAAGTCGTGTTCCACGCGCTTCTAGTAACAAAGATGAATCTCAAACTATGGGAATCAGACCGACATTCTGACCTTCCATGATGTTCGCTGTAGAATCTGGATTAGTGCGATGAACAAATAATAGCATACCCCTGCGCGCGTGTCTGTTCATCGTCAAGACGTCACTCTGGCCCTGGCATGTCATTCTATGACTGTCATGGTACATGGCATGTCGAACCTCTACTACACGATACGGCATAGGGAAAGATAGGCAATAGAGCGATTCCGATTGGCCGACTACACTGTAAATGGGTCGAGACTCATAGACCGGCTCTTACGCTCCCTTCTAAACAGAATGTCTAAGGAATCAAGTTAGAGAACGGAAGGCCTACACTGCTTGCGTGCAAGTATGTAGTCTCGGTGTTGCCCCCAGTCGTATCGAGTGATATACCCCTGAGACACCAAGTAAAAGGATGGGACAGCGCCAAGAGTCTCGTCGGTATGTTTTATGTAAAGCGACTCAGGTGTTTTGCTAGTATGCCATCATTTGAACCCAGGCTGCAGTATGAGCCGACAGGGTCCCATAATTTTGAGTGATGTGTGACCTGTTACCACTCCGAAAAAGATTGACTCTATATCTTTCGTTATTGAGTAAAGGTCCCAAGAAGGAGCGGGATTGGTGTCTTGATGCAAAGAGATGACGATGTTCACAGGCACCACTAGGGTTGCACAGAAAATGACATGCGCAAAGAATGCGAACATGACGAGTAGGACAACGAAGACATGGGACAAAATACCTTCAAGTTTCTTCCGGCTCGGACACGTTGGCGCCGGGGTCCGACCTGCTGCAGCCTAGCATGTCGTCACTGTCGGTTGATTTCTGGCGCATCAAGACCGGGCAGCACGTCCGCATCAGATCCCCATCGCGCTCGTCGCCTCTCCTCTTCTCATCAACCCTCCGTGTCAGTTACCACTATTTGACACGTCCTCCACGTTCTTTCCTCAGTAATTTCTACTGCATCCTAAATCTCTTCTTCTCCCAGCTTGCAGCTCTACCTCGTGCGTACATGTTATTGTCCTTGGAAGTCATAATTTTATCTTCCACCCTCATCTCATAACAAATCAAGGACACGAGAATTTAACTTCGTTCAAATATGTAAAGGACAAAACACTGTCGAGGAGGGAGATAGGGACACGAGGATGAACCTAAAAAGTGATATGTGGGGAAGCCCATTTGTCCTGAAAGCTCAAGCGAAAACAAGGGACGCGCTCGACCGTAAGCGTCGATGCGGCGACTTCAATCGATGTCACTGTAGCCGTCGGTGCTGATGTCCGTTGGGTGTAGGAAGCGAAAGCGCATGGAGGGGTTGAGGACAGAATTTAGAGCAGCTAGCTCCGTGATGGCCCGGGACGTTTAAAGGAGTGACGCAAACGTGGCAGAGCAGCGTAGAATAGGTACGTGCGAGGGTGGTGAAACTTCAACTTAAAAATGACCAAGAAATATGCTTACCGAACGGTGGTTGAGGTCTTTGGCACATGTAATTCAGTGATACGTTCAGGGATTTGTGTTTCCCAAGGCGATCTACTTCCGAATGGTAACAGGGGTACTATGCACTCTAATTTACTTTAAGCTTAAAGACCGTGGCTGCACCCGAGGTTCATACATAAGTGCCAGAGTCATGAGAAGACTCTGAATCCCCACTTCCGCACTGTAAACAGCCGTGCACGGCAATGAATCCCCCTGACGACTCAGACGTGCTTCAGCTCGGACGGGTGCTTTGGAGCCTCAATGTGAGTAATTCTTTGTTCAGCTCCAGCTGCTTATGATGTCTCAAGTATGCCAATGGTCTGCACCCTAGTTCAAGTTGTGTGGCCTACGACTGATATAATCTCGTCTCCGACATCCTTAATCTAGTGGCTGTAACTTCGCTCTGGGTAAATTCACATGAATCACTCTTACTTACAGATATTAGTGATCTTTGTCACTGCAGGCATATGACTACTTCCTCACCTTGGCCGACGAGGTACTTTCGTTCTACCTGTCCAAATCAATACTGAGAGACATAATCGATTACAGGTTGCATTTTTGACTCAGTCACGATGGAAACGGGCGAAGCTGCTTTACATTGGCTGCCGATACCTTACCTGCGGTTACTTGTCATCGGTGATGCTTGGCAAGCACAGTCCTCGATGACATTGATTATCTTTGCTTATGATACTTGCAGTGGCATTGCAACCCAGGATGTCGATTGAGGTGAGTATTTTAAAGGTCCTCAAGTCACACCTCAACTCAGGTATCACGATAGACGTGTCACAGGTTGTACTATATAAACACATGTGCGATCTTACATATCGTTCAAGTGAAGTCGTCTCTGATAGGGATTTTTCATAGATACAGGATGTACGATCATGGCGTGTGCCGAGGGTTTGTTCTTTCATATCCTCATATCTGCAGATTCACTGACAAAGACCTGCAAGGTATCTTCTTGACTCGCGCTTGTGCAATTTGGGAACTTAGGAAGCGCGTAACGGCTATGCTCGTGATCAGCGGATTGGTCAGTCGCAAGCTTTACTGGGTTCACTCCATGTCGGTTGAATTGCAGCCGTCAGCTATACCTTCTTGCTACTCACGTGGTGCTCTCAATCAGCCGATCTGCACCTAAGAGTGTGTTTGTTTGGAATTTCAAAGGTGACTTGCGCTGAAACGTTGTTGCAGTTACTAAGTCTCCCATCCCTGTCACGAGTTGCTTTGAGACTGGTGATGGCAGCACCCTCATAATCGTCTACGTTATATTGGCTACGATGGAGATACGTGAGTACAGCTTCACAATCTCATTCATTTCCTATAGTAATTGGGGATCCTCCAGAAATATGGATATTTATGCTATACAAGGCCATAGCAAGCTACTGGCGAGAGGGGACCCACAATCGCCTGTTGGGACAACTGGTTCTCCACAATACGATTTACATGACCTGCGGACTCAGTGAGTTGCCTTCACATTGACAGATTTTCAAGTATATGTGCAAATTTTCTGAATCATGATATAAAGTCTCCTCACTCGCAGTCATATTAACGACAGCACTTTTCAAGGTCAGTGGTGCGAAAGATGGATAGAGCCGTGTGTATTGACAAGTAAAACTTCACAGGAATATTATGGTTTCATGATTGTGAAGTTTGTACGCATCTGGCAAGTTACTATTCATGCCTTTCTTGTGACAAGGATGTCTCGCGGACTCTGGAAAGTAGACCAGCAGCGTGCTTCATTAGAATCCTTACATACATTTTCACCTGAAGCAGTAACTCAGGTGTGAAATTCTGTCTTTCACTCCTTTCTCTTCATCCTTTTCGAGCAATGAACTGGTATGTTTCTCACCCGTCACGACATGTTGGAGGCATGTCGTGGTATCCGTCGAAACAGCGGCTGCTCCTTAAGAGACCCGAATTGCATATTGGCTGTGCCTGACCTATAAGTATCTAAGAGTATGAACGTCATTCAAAGAGGATGCACCAGGGTAGTTTCTTGAAGCTGAGCCTGTCACGGCACAATGCTTTATAGTAAGACATTCTTGGTTCATTATCCCATCGTATATGTCACCCTGTCGTTGCCACCGGATATAATGCTATTCCCCCCGAGGGTCAAGTCAAACATCGTGTATAGAAAATAGGTCGTGACCTCAGTCGCAGGTTTGTTCGCTCTGTTGGCGATAGACTGGTGATCGTGGAAGCTGCTCTGGCCCGGGTAGCTTCGCTGAGTGATGATTCCTGTACATTGATTGGAGTATGCCAACCCTATGCCAACCACACTTCATCGCGGTCGCACGACGAAAATCGTATCAGAAATTGTACATCCAATTCAAACCCTGCTTCTACCGTCCAAGTTCAGGATCGGCATGGGTCGTTTGGAGAATACAATCTTTTTTTTCACCACGGCGACAATGCCCCAGCTAACGCCAGGGTTCCAAGTGTTTTCCACCGATCTAGAGCCATCTCCGTCGCTAGGATAGCCATGTCTCTTGGAGCTTTCCTTGCGATGCATCACGCCCAACGGCTTAGGTAAGGTTACGACCTTGCCCTCAAGTAGATGATGCCCGATTGTCAGCGTGGGTTTACTCTTACAAGTCTGTTAGATACTGCCAGATCAGTGACTATAGATAACTTTACTCACAGCGTCGTTGAGGTTCAATTTGCCAATGAACTGCCCGTCTCTAGTGGTGTCTTCATCGCACTCGATATCGAGCGTGCCTTGTAGTTCTATGAGAATAAGTTCGTCGTGACCGAGCTTGGCGACGCATGACGGAAGTTTCGGATTAAAGACGTTGGACAGCGAAACAGATACATCAATCACTGGCATGGTTGATATACAATGCGAGTATGCAGTCGAACCAACTGACAATACCAGTCAACGCGTCCAGGACCCTAGAAACTGTGTGGCTGAGTTGATCTGGATTCTGATGGGGTATTTTCGTCACGGACTGGTGCTGTGTCATCATGAACGGTTCTCACGAGTTCTTTCTTAGGTACACGCAAACATCTCCAGCTCGATTCCAGTGATTCGCTGGGCAGACTCGACAGCGACACGAGCTCACTCTATCGAGCTTAGAAGGAAGATGGACCGATGATTGTTCTTTCGTGTTATCATAGTCGGGAATTGCGACCACGCGCCGGCGTATCATGATCACTCCGGGTATTGCGCCTCGAAAATATCACCTACTAATATGATACTTGACAGGCTATAGTATCATGTCGCTCCAGCTGATAACGGTGGCCCGCTATTGCAGAAAATCATTGGCCAATATTAATGGCCATCATGTTCGTTATGACGCTCCAAAGCGAACTTCAATAAATTGCGATACAACATCAGTGCGCGATAGTACTCCCGATGACTCGCGTCAATCGAGAGAAAAGCTGCACAGAATGCACACTGCACTTCACGCCACCCGCCAGTGAGTTCTTTATTTCATCGTTCTATATGAGAATTGGTCCAGGCCTGTGTCAGATCAATGTCAGTGGTTACAAAATTTCACTCGTAAAATTCTATATCAATACAAACGCGGCAAGATTATCTCGAGAACGAATACATCAGGTGTGGGTGACACTCAAGCTGTGTATAGTATCCACAACCCCAAATCCTCCATTCCATCAAGGACTTCTACTTGAGGTCGGAATACAGCCTTTCCATCAGCCAGCAACGATACCCAGTCCTGTCATGCTGACTTTGGCGATACAAGCGCTGGACAGTGGAGATGGTATATCTAACGTGAACGCCATAGTTATATGACCGCAAGATTCCCAGCTCACTGATACACGTTCCTCAAATATGACCATAGTTTCCAATGATCCTAGCTTGTGGCCCACAATCTATCTCATTCGTATTCTCAGTTATTTTTTAAGTTCGCGCTTATCTCATTGTCGGTGATGTCACGATCTAATGTTTCGCAGTTTCTGCCTTTGCTGCGGTGGTATACGATTATGGTGAGCGATATGGTAAGTATTCGAGAAATCGCTGAAATCCTAATGTATTTCCAGTCTTGACGCTTGGAAAAGAGGTAAGTGGATATCATTACTGAAGCAAACATCTTGCTCAGAGGGATGTTATAGATCGAATTGATTTGGGTGAGCAGAGTCCCATATCCAAAGAACAGCAGATAATTCAGAACAGAAGCAACGTTGGTCCTTGATGACTGTCTTATACCTTAGTGCACGTAACTTGTGTTATGAGCGCAGTTGAGAAGTTGTGCTGACTCGAAAAATACCCTAGATACGTTATGTTGGACTACTGAATGCTGTGTACGTGTGCAAGGCTGACAAAGTGGTGCCGTGCTGATGACCCATTTCTCGCAATCAGGGTATTTATCCTGAGTATGTCTCATATACACTGGGTTGCTTTCTTCAAGTTCTGACCGTCGACGCACTCAGGCGCACCGTCAGTCTCGGTCTCAGATGTGGTGAGTATTCTGTATCCATGCCTCGTATTCTCCTCTGATTAACTGCACTTCCTGTGTAGGGGTGAGTGAGATCCTCTACGAGCATGTTGGTTGACCTTGGCTCAATATAATGACCCAAAAGATGTAATTTTTTTGTTTGATCATTTGAGGAGATTAGTAATGGGGTGTTTCAGGCAATATCATGTTGTCCGCAACAAACTGGATGATTGTGATCGCAGCTGCCATGTTGGACGGTGAGTCCGCGACTGCGATCCTCAGCGATATTGACTTGATTGAAACACTATGCTAGCCATCATGGTTGCTCGTTTATATGCCATGTATCATGGATCTAGAAAGATGCTTATCTTTCTTGTCGTAATCTTCCTGGCTGTGAATATTTCCTGTGGAGTGATGGCGGCGATAATATTGAAGCATACTTTTGGGGGTAAGATTTACTTATTGGACTGGAAGATGGGGCTCATTGGACAAATACCAGAGGAGGCGATACTTTCTGGCACCTATGCATGCAGTTATGACGTCGAGGGAAATTACCAACTTCTCTCAGTAGTAACTTGGATCATCACAGCTGCATGGGAGGTCCTTGCACTGTGTCTCGCACTCTGGATTACTGCAAAACAACTCCGTGACTTGCGACGACTTGAAACATCGATAGGATCAACCATCGGAGACTGTCTCACAATGCTGATCAAATCCCACTTGCTTTACTTTGCAGGGTGAGCTCATAAGTTCAAAGCGCCTATCTGCTGCTGCTGAGCACGTGCTAGCTTTCTTGCTGTTGCTTGCCTCGAGCTTGGCCGTAACTCTTCACAAATCTCGGTTCGCCAATCTGTCACTGACATTGCATGTGATCCTGCTCATCATTTCTGTAGGACTTGACTACCATGGAAACCCAGATATATGAAGGCTTTCTTCAATTTTTCTTGAACGTGCAGATGTTTGTGTTGGGACCACGCCTCATTCTTAGCGTCCGAGAATATAACGCTAAGCTCGTGAACGACTCCGACACAAGCACGCACATGACTTCGGTTGCCTTTCAGGAACGTACATACGTGTCAACTAGTAGTACCGTGTAGACCAACCAGCATAGTATTACGCATGCGCCTCGAAAATATCACATACTCGTATGATACTTGACAGGCTATAATATCATGCCACTACAGCTGATAACAGTGGCCCACTATTGCAGAAAATCATTGGCCAATATTAATGGCCATCATGTTCGTTATGACGCTCCAAAGCGAACTTCGATAAATTGTGATACAGCATCAAGTGCGCGATAGAGTACCACCGATGACTCTCGCGTCGATCGAGAGATAAGCTGCCCAGCATGCACGCTGCGCTTCACGCCACCTGCCAGCCTGAGTGAGTTCTTTGTTTCATTGTTTTTATATGAGAAGAAAATAATGAACAGCAGTGCCCATCGATCATCATTCTGCACTAGAGTCTTGTCGAGAATTATGATTGATGGACTTCATATTAATTATGTCCAGACTTTGTCCAGACCTGTGTCAGATCAATGCCAGTGGTAATTACAAGATTTCACTCGTAAAAGTCTATTAATACAAGCGCAGCAAGATTATATCTCGAGAATGAATATTATTAGGTGTGGGTGACACTCAGGCTGGGCATAGTATCAACAACCCTTGATTCCATCAAGGACTTCTACTTGAGGTCGGAATACAGCCTTTCCATCAGCCAGCAACGATACCCAGTCCTGTCATACTGACTTTGACGATACAAGCGGAGATGGTATATCTAACGTGAACGCCATAGTTATATGACCGCAAAGCTCCCAGCCCACTGATACACATTCCTCAAATATGACCATAGTTTCCAATGATCCTAGCTGGTGGCCGACAATCAATTTCATTCGTATTCTCAGTTATTTTCTAAGTTCGTGCTTATCTCGTCGTCGGTGGTGCCACGATCCAAATCGAACTATGTTTCGCAGTTTCTACCTTTGCTGCGGTGGTATACGATTATGGTGAGCGATATGGTGAGGATTCGAGAAATCGCTAAAATCCTTAATATATTTCCAGTCCTGACGCTTGGAAAAGAGGTAAGTGGATATTGGCATTACTGGAGCAAACATTTTGCTAAGAGTGATGTTATAGATCGAATTGATTTGGGTGAGCAGAGTCCCATATCCAAAGAACAGCAGATAATTCAGAACAGAAGCAACGTTGGTCCTTGATGACTATCTTATACCTTAGTGTACGTGGCTCATGTCATGAGCGCAGTTGAAAAGTTGTGCTGACTCGAAATACCCTAGATACGTTATGTTGGACTACTGAATGCCGTGTACGTGTGCAAGGCTGACAAAGTGGTGCTGTGTTAATAACCCATTTTTCGCAATCAGGATATTTATCCTGAGTATGTCTCATATACACTGTTGCTTTCTTCAAGTTCTGACCGTCGACGCATACAGGCACATCATCAGTCTCGGTCTCAGATGTGGTGAGTATTCTGTATCCATGCCTCGTATTCCCATCTGATTAACTGCAATCCTGTGTAGGCGTGAGTGAGATCCTCTATGAGCATGTTGGTTGATCTTGGCTCAACATAATGACCACAACAGATGTGATTTTTTTGCGATGTTTGATCATATGAGGGGATTAATAATGGGTGTTTCAGGCAATATCATGTTGTCCGCAAGAAGCTGGATAACTGTGATCGTAGCTGCTATGCTGGACGGTGAGTCCGCGACTGCGATCCTCAGTGATATTGACTTGATTGAAACACTATGCTAGCCATCATGATTGCTCGTTTATATGCCATGTATCATGGATCTAGAAAGATGCTTACTTTTCTCGTCGTAATCTTCCTGGCTGTGAATATTTCCTGCGGAGTGATGGTGGCGATGATATTAAAGCATGTTGTCGGGGGTGAGATTTACCTATTGGACCGGAAGATGGGGCTCATTGGACAAATACCAGAGGAGGCGATACTTTCTGGCACCCATATATGCAGTTATGACTTCGAGGGAAATTACCAACTTCTCTCAATAATAACTTGGGCCATCACAGCTGCATGGGAGGTCCTTGCACTGTGTCTTGCACTCTGGATTACTGCAAAACGATTCCGTGACTTGCGACGACTTGGAACATCGATAGGATCAACCATCGGAGACTGTCTCACAATGTTGATCAAATCCTACTTGCTTTACTTTGCAGGGTGAGCCCATAATCAATGCGCCTATCTGCTGCTGCTGTGCTGAGCACGTGCTAGCTTTCTTACTGTTGCTTGCCTCGAGCTTGGCCGTAACTCTTCACAAATCTCGGTTCGCCAATCTATCACTGACATTGCATGTGACCCTGCTCATCATTTCTGTAGCACTCGACTACCACGGAAACTCTGATATATGAAGGCTTTCTTCAAATGTTCTTGAACGTGCAGATGTTTGTACTGGGACCACGAATCATTATTAGCGTCCGAGAATATAACGCTAAGCTCGTGAACGAATCCGACACAAGCACGCACATGGCTTCGATTGCCTTCCAGGAACGTACATACGTGCCCACTAGTAGTACCGTGTAGACCAGCATAGGATTACGTATCACTTCAGCTCAGTGCACGTATGTAGTAGGAAATAACTAGTGCTTTGTGTCACATAAATTGCAGTCATGCATCGAACTCGTGTGCAGGTGGCTGTGGCTATTAGTATGAAGATGAGAGAGTTCGAAAGCGAGTGTGGCAAACTCATGCAGTACTATGCACAGACCTTGTGTCTTCTTGAAGGATTGAAGGATTCCCCTACTGATGACCTGCGCGCCTTCGCTGACTAGTCCCTGAGATTAAGGACCTAGCGTCACAAATTCAGCCGAATAATGAGATAATGATCACACTGGACTCTGCTGCATTGGCCCAAAGTTCTGGCCTCTGGAGATGATGGGGTGCAAGTTGGAGTCAGTATATGGTGACTTCAATATTGAACCAAGAGGAGTTACTCACGCATTGGCATGGGAAGTGAGATCAGGTTGGCTGAGGGTAACTCCGTGAAGGACAATGAGCGTGTGTGCAAACGAAGGTGCGCGTTGTGCAAGCGTGAGAATGACGTGCGGAACAGGGTTGCGCAGTGGGTATTGAGTTGAACAGCGAACAAAAGTTTACGCTGAAAGGAAGATTACGTCTGCATGGGGAAGAGCTAGAAGAAACAGCCCTTCTATTGTCTGACTGGGAAAGTCGGGCCTGCTTGTGCACAATTGGTCAAATAGAAACCGCGCGTTTCAAATCAGCACAAAGAGGACATGCCGCTCTGACGCCCCCTTTGAGTTCCGGGGATACATACTATAGGGACAATAGATCAGCGAACGAGGGAGATCAAGGAAGGGAGATTATATATAAGAACAGATGGTCATTCAAGGCAGGGTCAACGCTGGTCCTTCCAGCTCCAGGTCCCATCACAGCTCTATACCTCGACGTGCATAACATTCAGGCCAGATGCGTGGGACTAGGTGTCGCTGCGTAGTAATAGTGGAGGCTAGTCATCAGTTAGCTCAGACTGAGCACCGTCATGCGTTGCATGCCAGCATATCTCTAATACACTTGTTCACCTTACTCGTATGTCACTGCAGCATAGAAGGCAAAATTAGATTCCACGAGGTGACAATCAGCCAACAAGAGATTAAAAAAGTCAGAAAGAATGGAAAAAGGTTGATCTGCAGCAAACAGGTGAATCACCTATTCCTGGAACAGTTCACCTCTAAGCATATTCCAAGTGCGCCGCTTTCCTCCAAAGTGCTTGCTGCTTACAGATTACAGTACCCGACCAAAGTTTGTCAAGCTTTGTGATAAGTGCTGGTATGCGTGATAAGGTAGGGTATGGGTATGTTCTGGCTCACGACTGCCGCATTATCTACGGGGGGAAATCGCCAAACTCCCAGCTATAACATTCCTGCAAGTTCCACAATGTCAGCTGAGTGCCATAGGGACTACATTTATGACTACTGACCACACAATCTTCTTCAGCTGCAGCGAGTGGAACCTCCCGACCGACATTTTCGCTGGGTTGCCAGGTCTTCTGCAGTATTTCTTCTATAACACTGACGATCCCATGTTTGCGTATGTCTACCGACCAAGAAAGGTTTGACACAGTGTCGTAGACAATGGATTTGCCTAGATGACACCTTGGCCATATCAGATACGCGGGTAACACAAATGCCAGAAGACGTACTTGGTTTCCATTGCGAACCCGCCTAAGGCGCAAGAAGATAAGATTCCATTGCAGGTTCCCATCGCAATGGGATCTGCAGTGTGATATACGTGCGTGACATGATGAGTCGATGGCTAAGACTGATCAATTACTACCAGGATGATAGGCACATTGGGGTTACACACCGGAGATGGCAAATGCAGCCGCCTAGCAGCTAGTCGCTCCCCTGGTGACTCAAAGGCAACAGCAGGGACACCAAATGTGACACCAAGAAGGGAAGCCACCGCACCACCTTCTCTCCCAGGTAAACGAACTCATCGCCAACTACAACAAAAGATACTCACCTAGCGAGTGCCCTATGATCCAGATATCCGACGTCGGGTACATATATGTTAGATTATTATACAAGTTCTGATTTAAATGAGTAAAGGAATCACACGTCAATGATAGGCCTACCGTTCCAAGGGGATAAAATAGACTATCTTCCACAAGAGCCTGCTCTAGGCAATCCTGGTGGCATTTCCACCCTCCACGATAGCACTCACATACGGTCGTCCAACTCCAGTCAATTCTCGCACAACAGCAACTAAACAGTAGGTTATCGTTCAATTTATCCTTCTTGGCAGTCGGACCTGCGCCTCCCCATACAGCCGCAGAAGTGCCTTTGATGGATAGAATGATGGTAGAATTATCGGGCGTCGCAAACACATGACCCCGGAACCCATCAGCATCTGGTTCCCATCCAAATGGATAAGGCTTTGAAAAGTTCTTCAGCGATAATGTGCATGCAGAATTTAAGGAAAGCTACGAACATTGGACCAGTTCTTGCCAAGTTCGTACCATTGGCTATCGTCAGGGGTTACATAGGCATTATTTGTCATTTTTGCGAGTTCTAACAGTGTTTCCCGTTTCTCGATATTCGGTCCCAATATTTCGGTTTCATACCAGGGCAGAATCGCACTTTGTGCGTGCCGCATGGAACGGATCCTCGCATCGTTGTAGGCGCTGAAACTTGATGGATGATATGAGGTCATATACTGTGTGTCTATCGAATAGGATGATTCATTGCCATGGACAAGGCTCACAGTCGATGGCACGTCGGAGAACATCACACGTGCATCGGGTGAGACAGCATGTTCGTGCCGCAACTGAAATTGCAGGGATTTCTCAAAATGTCCCTGAGCTTTGCGGCCGCTGGCCATGGTCAAGAAAAATATCAAGGAGGACGAGGAGGGCCGTCAAAGTTGTTGGGAGCATCGGACATCACAGCGAGCCATAAACGTTGCAGAAAAGCATGTGTTGCTGACTCATCAAGATATTCTCGGGGCCTTTTATTTAAGCTTTATTCGTGATATAAGAGGCTGTGACTATGTATGAGTAAGAAGATACAGGTGAAAATGCAAAAAAAAAAGAAATGGGAACTCTAACTCTGATCCAAGATGCATTAGATGAGTACTGTTGCAGAGCACAGGGCACATTACATTAGACATCACATTATAATACCAAGGCAAAACAAAACAGACATCGTGCTGAATGCTTAAGCACGTAGACTGTCGATGTCCAACGACTCCATTGCAAGGCCAAGAGGATCAGTGGCAGCATGTGCCGCTTGAGCGACGGCATTTTCAAGGTTTGCTGATGAACCAAAGACGACTTCTGGGCTGGTGCACGTTGCGACTGCGCGACGCATGTGGATCGTTAAGAAAGACAGTCCCACCTGGTAAGCGGCTGTGATCATCGATTAGCTGGCAAACATGGGGATGGACCAAAACGCACAGTTCATCCAACCAAAGCCTTCACGAGGAACCATCTTAAAATCTAAACCTTGATTGCCGTACTCAGCATCCACCAAGTGCGAAAGTTTCACTGCATCAAACTGACGAACATTCTCGTTAGTAGCATACAGAAGTCACTGCTGGTATCACATACCTTCTCAGGTACAACACCATTAAAGTCAACGAACGCTGTAGTCATCCTACAGTAATCAAGTTAACCCAGTACGAATCAGAAGAAGTAAGGTCACGCACATGTAAAGGAACCTGTACGATAATCGCTGAGCATCTTCTAGGTAACCGTAGCGTTCTAGCCCGACCCAAGTCATGATTTGATGAGGAGGCCATGCATAGCTGGAAATTATTAGATTTACTGTATACACAATCAAGGAGATATCAACACACGGATAATCCCACTGCCGGTTTGGCCTGTCCAAGGAAATTTTACCCCTAGACTCTTCGGTCCCAGAAACAAGACCCCCGAGTACTTCAAACCTCTTCAGCGACTGCGAACTGCGCCAAGTTAGATATGTTTACGAAGGAAGCCAACTGGACTTACACAAGTTTCCAGCACTGCTCCTCACTCGCGCAACCAGCCCAGAGCGCCCAGAACGCAGTAACACTTTCATACAGGCTCTGCTTCTCTAAAACTGTATCGTAGTCGAAGTACAGCTTCTTGTTCTCGTTCCATAGGTACTTGTCGATCATCTCCCGCCTGTGATCGGCTCTCTCAAACCACTCTTCGCTATTTTGTAACCGACTGGTTGAGCACTCGCGGTAGGGGTTGCGATATGCTTCAACAGAAGGTGGGAAGGGTGCCAAGTCGAATTCCTCCTCGAGCTCGAGTTCATCATCAAACACCTCCCGGATGGCCGTGCCGATGTCGACTTCATACTTGTACAGTAGTGCCTGTAGATCGATCGTCCCAAGGTTCGCACACCGCTTCTCAAACCTGTACGTCGTATCATGACCCGATTCGCGCACAGCTCTATCATGCAAGAAGTACTCGTCCAACGCAGGCTCTTTCAAAACTCCGTTGTTGTACTTCTCGCCGAACTCGAGTACCGAGATGCCGTGCTTCTCAGCATAAGGCTCAAGGATATGCGTAAAGTGCGTCGCCTCAGTTTCAGGAGGAATTCCAAGACCGTCGGGGCGGTACCTAGACAACCCCGTCTTAGGATCGATGCGGGGCTCCGCGACCCAGATGGTATGGTACTCTTTGATGGCGGCTTGAATTGCGCGTTTCAGCCATTGTCGATTAGACTCCACATCTGAGCGATCTAGCTGATTGTAGATTTGCAGCGCCATGTCCGTCAAGAACGGAGGCTGCGTCCTACACAAATAGTAACTCCGGCTTCCATTCAAAATCTTGCCGTAATGCTTGATTTCAAATATGAAGTGATCAACCATGCCCTTTGCCATGGTCACTTGGCCATCCACAAGGAGGCCTAGGGAGATAAAGTAGGAATCCCAGTTGTAGAGCTGACATCGAATGATGTTAGTTGGTAAGAAAAATCTAGTGAATTGAGCAAGGCACCTCATTAAAGCGAGCGCCAGGGACGATGAAAGGAATACCTTTCAGGGTCCGGCCACCCTTGCCGTCATCAACCTCATTCATAGCGAGCGCTAAAAGACCCGGCTTGGAGTTCAAGCTTTTGACAAACACAGCATCATCAGGCTTTGGAGGTAGGACCTGTACATCAAGGTTCATGTGTGGTTTCTCACGCGCCACTTTTCTGTAGTATTCAGCCATTGCGGGTTCGCCGTAAGGGACGTAGATCCGAGGTTGGACACGGCCCGTACGGTTCTTAGGGTCGGCAGTGATGATCTCGAGGCCATCGCCATCAATGCGGCGAGTCAGCGAGTGCCAGAATGAGTTTTTGATCATGCGAGAGAGACGATCGACTGGATTCTCCGAGAGACGAGCCTCATCGAGGACGATACGTTTGCGTCCATGATCCCGGGCTAAGGCAAGCTCCTGCAACAGGTTGGATAGCATGTAGGTTCCCTGGATCATAGTTAGACTGAGAGTGGTACGATATCATGAACATGGACACTGACTCGAACATCAAAAGTCTTGAAGCCATTGCTCGTAGCCGTACCGAGGGCCATCATCTTCGGGCCCGCATCAGTGATACTGATCTGAAAATCACCGTCTGTATCTTCCTGCTCAAGGACAACACGAATGGTCTCTTCGACATCGATGAGGAAGCGACGAGGGCTGGTGACGCTCTTCTCGTCGTGCGACATGCGCCGAGCCCTCATGTGCGTATCCTCTTCGAAGAGTGGAGTACGCTTCGGGTTATACCCATGAATGTGTGACTATAGACGTGGCATGAGAAACTGACAATGTGCTCGCCGAAAAGGATGCCTTACATGACTGTAGGTTCTCGAACGAGTGAATGCTTCGCCGCCGCCATAGTATGTAGCAGCATCTACGTGGACTGGGTTATGGCCATCATCGACGAAGGTAACGCCGGTTGGGTGATTGAGAGTGGGAGCCATGGTGATGATTAGAAAGAAAGGAACGAACCGAGCAGAGAAGAAGTGAGCAACAGCAAACTTGCTATACTACTTGTGGGGTACAGGCTAAGCTCGAAGCGAAAGACAGGATTGTGGTCTGAGGGGGTTTAACCGAATTTATTGCCTGGAATTAATTACACCACGTGTTGCGGAAAATAATCGTGGAAATTATGTCTAGACGCTGATGAGAACAACCACAGAGCAATCCTTGTTTGGAGCTGATAACAGTCTGCGACTGAGCGCTGTGCAATTGTGCAAGTTACTATCAGGCTCTCTTCTTTCTCCACGGTCTGCCGCACCTCGAACCTGACGATCTCAACTGCATATCAATCTACAGTGCGGCCCGCTTTCCTCGGTTCTCCTTTATACTCGGTATGCGAGAAGTCAGGGACTTGGCTTACCTTTTGTCTCACCTTCATCCCGGCTGAGTGGTAAGCCGGATCCTAGATAAGCCTTATAGATCTGTCTTCCTGAGTTCGCCCTTTCTGCTTCAATGTTTCCTGCTTCCGCACCTTTGTGACGTAGTCCATTCATGATCATTCACCTTGATTCATGAACCGACGTTGTATGCCATCGGGGGCGACCTTCTAGTATTCGATCCTCCTCCCTCCCGAGATTCGAATTGTTTGCGATGACACCCACGGATGAGGGAGCCGTTTGGCTGAAGTCCGTCTTTCCCAGATTTTCAACGTGGGCAAACTCCGTATCACCGGTTCCAACATGTAGGATACTTGAACTTGTAGTCGAGGGTTTTGGCACACTGATCTCAAGACTCAAGCAATGGAATCGCGTATTTTGGTGTCAAGGCAACCTCCTGCATGGTACCTCCGCGACTCTTGAGAACGTTCATCCCATGCAACTCATTCTCACTAGAAACGGAAGAAGCCATCGTGCATCGCAATACATAGGAAGGTGCCTGAACCCGTAGCGCCCTTGCTATAGCTTATGAGGTAAGATATCATATCATTGTCGTCAGAGCACTTCTTGTGTACCTGACCTTTTCACTTGAAAGACTTGTGCCTTATTGGGAATTTGCCATGCTTGAGGCAATTGTTATTCACAACCTCCCCTTGCAATTACCATAAATCTCGTATGAGGTGTGAAAATATTGTGCCAATTCCATGATAAATGGTCTAGGCTTCCCTGCTTCGTGGAAGTAATAGGTATGGGCACACAGAAGTCGTGTAAGATTTCGGGATGAGTCCATCAGCGGGCACTACTAGTATGACGTTGTCAGGGTTCCAGTTGACGGGCTGACAGAACATTCGCAGGCAACCAATGAAGATTTCGATAACTTGATCCATCCCGGACCTGAAGGATGTGGCGTGCTAATAATGGTCTGGCGTTTGACAGATTACTAACATGCCCGGGGCCGCCAGACTCCGCCCTGATAAGGCGCTATGTGGACACAGCATTGCGTTCCAAGTCCAGCTGGTCAGACACGACCTATTTTATAATTACTTGACCTGTGGGCTTTGTGAGTAAAACATTTTCCACCACAGTTGTGGTCCTCGTGGTTGCTCTTCCTGTGCGTGTCCATCACATCGAGTTCAATATCTAACTCAAGATGTGATCGCAGGCATCGTATGGAGGCACGACATCAGAGTAAGGGGCTATTTCTTGCACTGAACATATTGACCGATTGTTTCGTAGTTTACAGTTCGTGATACACGGAATACCAGCGACGCACATGTACCACGAGCTGTGCAACACAGCCCACCACACTGAAGAGACTTTCACGGAGAATATGTCCCTTCTTCTTGTTTTTGAACCAGCTGCGTTGGAGACGCAACCCAATGGTAGGGGCCCTTCTTTTCTTCCAGCATCGCCTACTCGTACGGACCCGCACATTTTCCGAAAGGTTGCATTAGGGTTCCCATGGTGTGTGGGCCTCGTAGTTGGATAAAGGCCCAACCTTGTAACGAAGCTCCGTTCCACCCACAACCCTCTGCTCCCCAACCATGCACCAACTCAATGGTGGGTCATGAACACTGACACGTCCTGGCTGGCCCTAAAGGGGTTGCAATTGCAGTATCGTGCAGGCCATTTACTCCCACTGTTCATACAGGCTTAGTAGTAGTAGTCCTAAACGGAACGAGAAGTACGAGCGGTAGCGGTAGCGACAGCCTCCCGACGAGAGCTTTCGCAGGCTCGAAACCGATACATTTCCCCCCGCTCGACTAGCCTCCCTCTAGTCCAGTCAACAGATCCTTATCTTAGGAGACGGATGCCTGCGGCAGGTACTAAGGAGGTGGTCAGACTCGATGGCGCTCTGCTGGACGCTACTGATGAGGGCTTCGCTTTCCACGTCAGTTGGCTAATTACCATACAGAATTATAGTCTAGACCAATAATTTCTAGATAGGGAATTCGTATCTTCTATTCCTTTCCTGCAATCTATGAGCCTACTGAGTTTGCATTGAGCAAAAAACTTCCCACTTTGCAAGTAGTCTCAGAATGTATAATCCATGGAGAATATAACTTGGGCAAATTCGAAGAACGCACCTGGCTCCATGAATTGAATGAAAATGAAATGAAAGTCAAAAGCGAAATGGAGTAATCAGCGTTCAAGTTTTCAGATTCAAAAAAACCTCCTGTGACGGACAGGTGCTCAGTATCACTGGTCCATTATGTTCAGGAAGCCTTTTGTAATGGGCCTCGCCAAACGCTGTTGTTGTCAAATCACTCTAGTGCATGTCATTCTGAATGGTAACCTCGAATACAAACAGAGCTAGTCCCAGCCACTAAGCTAGACAAGACATACTGGCTGGTAGTGTGGGTAATCGCGGCTAAATTTTGATACGCGGCCTACGCAAATAGGATAGAAAGCACTGAACCTAAAAATACACACCATGGTCCATAAAAGAATCTGTAACCCTTAGACATTGGTCGGAGGGGCATCTCCCCTGGTGGGTTCGCACCAGTGCTATAACCAAAATAAATTCGATCCTCGACACTAGGGCAGTTTGCAAGAACTCACATTCAATTTCTGCGCGTGTGCTAATCTGTGTGTTTGTGTACGACAGTTATATCCGTACCAGCAGTTGTTTGGAATCACGTCTCCTCCTGTGGAGATCAAGCAGATCAAGTGAGTGGACATCCGTGAAAGTGATCAAGGGCAAAGGCTTACGTTTAACCTTCTGGCCCAAGTACCAGATATGCAGATGGTCACGTACGAACTTCTCCAAGCATTGTGGGCATAACCAGTCTGCTTTGTTCCATGTGCTATAAGCCGGCGTCTTGTAGTCGAACAATCCTCCGACAAGCTCCTCAGCTGGTGTCTCGCACAACAAAGCCAAAAAATGCGCTCTGTCTGCAAGATTTGCTCCGACATGACCTTTCAGTAATTGTACGATTGAGTGGAGGGGTGGTGTGCCCCAGAGGTAGCCCCAGTCTTCAGTGATCATGGATTGAGTCTATGCTGTAGACTATTATGTTTGACTTACTACTTGGCCCCCATAGATCCAGGCACTTGACAGTATCGGATTGACACTGCGAGCCTGTCACCAAATGAGCAATCATCAACCGAAAATCATGGAGGACACGAACACCGATCATGCTCTCCAACGATTTCGTCAATTATAGGCTGTTTTTGTGTGACAGGAAGGAGAGGCTGTTCTGTCCTGTCTACTAGGACAGAGGTTAAAGGCTCAATGATAAAGTCGTCATAGAAAAGAATTTCTTCAGTGATGTCGGAATCCCATTCGGTGATGCAGTCCAACCCCCTCTTATATACATCAATCACGTGGTGCCAGGGAGCACAGTAGAGCACAAATGATGACTCAAGGCTGTCTATACGAGCTTCATGAGTGGGTGGAGCCTGAAGGGCGATGCTCGCGCTCACAGGTTTCAGGTGGGATCGTGGCAAAGCAAACACCATAATCACGAGTGATTACTCCTCGTAAAAACGTTTCAAGTGATTGAATATCCCTCAGCTCAGGAGTGGAAAGACTTCCGAAGAAGCCTTTTCGTAGTGTCTTGGCTTCTTCGAGTGCCGAATCGATTTCTTCTTGATCTGAGTCGGATCCAATAGCTGACTCGTGAGCATTGCAGCCATAGACAGCCGAGAACAAGGACATTCTGTACATGGCTTTCTGGAATCGTGTCGACTCCGCCAAGGAGAGCTGGCTTGTCTTGAATCGTCGGTCTTTCATTCTAACAAAACATTTGAGACAAATGGGATTGTAAAAGATGACAGAAAATACCTCCAACTAAACAGGCTTTCGAGCTCTTGAATGGAGGTGAAAATGCCCACAAGGCTTGTAATGTCCTCGCTGGAAAGTACTGGGTTTTTCTGAATATCGTCCTCACCCAAGAGTTCACCAACTGGCTTGTAATATAGTTGCGCATTCTTGCATCGGACGAAACGTAGTGCTTGTGGCAAGGCTGGTCCAATCAAGTTGTAAGCTACAGAGCGAACAACCGAGCGAGGATGTTGTTGAAAGACGTTGTAGATGGCCTTTGAGGTCAAGATTATTGAGGCAAGGCATTGAAAGTCAGGCAGAAACCTCAGAAAACACTCTACAAGGTCAGCATTCACGAAGGAACTATGCATTGGGTGAACTGTGTTTCCCATCTGGTGATTCAGGGGGTTACGAGGTATCGGAAACTAGTGGGTCCTCCCTCAGTTCGTTTGGGGCACAGATCAAGTCTATGGTAGACGATGGTCAAGACAATTGTAGAGCGTTTTATGGTGTCCAGTGAACAAATAATGTGACTCGTCGAGTAGTGAGTCCGAAAGGTCTCGGAGTACTTTTCCTCGGAACTTGCCGTACAAGGCACCACAAACTAGGACCCCGGGACAGGGCCAACCTGGTAGTCTTGCTCACTGTTCAGAACAGCGAGTGGTGTCAACGCACTAGGTCTTGAGCTTCAGCCTCAACGAACTATTCAGATTAATCTTCAAACATGTCGTTCGGGGCAGGGTAGGCTCTAATTCATGTTTTCAAACCTACGGCTCAAGTCATCTAGTACCAATGTCTTTGGCACTAGTAATACCGGCGTGTCCATCTTCGGGCAATCTAACGCGCCAAAGCCCACCACTTCGCTCTTTGGAAATACGCAGCCCTCCTCCGGAGCGGGAACCACAACGACGGGCTTCGGTGGTTTCGGGGTGCAACCCCAAACCCAGACACAGCAACCTGCTCAAGGAAGTTCTGTGTTTGGAGGAGGTGCTTTCGGACAGACACAGCAACAACAGCCGTCCGGACCGACTTCGATGTTTGGGCAGCCCGCACAACAGCAACAGCAGCAGCAGCAGCAGCAGCAACAACAACAACAACAACAACAACCTACGTCTCTATTTGGGCAGCCTCAACAGCAGCCATCGGGTACATCTTTGTTTGCAAACCCTTCAACAATAAATACGACTGGGCAGCAGACTGGCGGCGCATTTGGAAGCACTCAGCCGCAACAGTCTACTAGTCTCTTTGGGAGCACTCAGCCGCAACAATCTACTAGTCTCTTTGGGAGCACGCAACCGCAACAATCAACCAGTCTATTTGGAGCTACGCAGCCGCAACAGTCGAATAGTCTCTTTGGAACCGTGCAACCACAGCAACAGACAAGTAATTTGTTCGGAAACACCCAACAGCAGCCGAGTGGACTGTTCGGGAGCACGAATACTCAGCAGCCTGCCGGCGGGCTGGGGGTGAGCACAGCGGGGACATCGATATTTGGGCAACAAAGACAATCATCGTGAGTTCCTTTCGTTCTAATTCAAATTGGTGTTGACATATCGCAGGATGATGAGGTTAGTCAAAGGTACTTATATTCAGGGTGGCTTCAATGACATTCGAGTAGTACCACACCCATAACCGGACCTGCACCTTTTTCAAAATCTACGAAGTTTAATGATCTTCCGGATGATATCAAGAGGACGTTTGAAACTATCGAGTACGCTAATCATAAGTGCTAACATGTCCCAGGACTTACTTCGCATAGCTCGCACATTCAGGGACGTATACAAATAAGCAACGAGCTTAAACAGCGAAAAATGGGGGAAGAGGCGATCAAGGGCCAGGAGTTAATTCGCGAATTGCACAAGGTGCGCCTCATTTTATTGCATATATCCAGTATGTTCGGTTACCGACTTTATCGATTCAGGAGCTGCTTGGTGTATCCTCCGTTATTCAGTCGGACTCTCTCTTCGCCAAGGACCTGAAAGTGAAGACTGAACAAGCAGTTCAAGATACGATTGTCGCAACCAACATAATCGAGGGCTTTAAAAACCCGCACCAAAGCGCAGCATATCTCAAGAATCATGCTTCGTTCCCTCTGGAGTACGTGTAGATCATTGATGTGAAGTATCTTGAAGTGTTGACATGTTGCTGGCCAGATTCTTCACCCGTGTCACGCAAGAGATGCAGGAGCGTCTGCAGTGGTTCAAAAACACTATCGAGGTATGGTGCCGTATTTTTGGTAACACCCTGAAGTGTTCTAATACATCGAATAGCAAATCGAGCGGAAACTATCCGCATCGGCATCCCAATCTCAAAATACACCCCAAGGTTAGACTTTCCTTTGCTCCACCCTCATCCTCAGCTTACATTTCCCCAGCAATTTCATCCACCCTCCAGACGCAACATGCCATATTCGTTTCGCTTGCGGCTAGGACTGCGGCTGTTGACGCCGAAGTTCAAAAGGTAAAGGCGTTGTACACACAACTGTGGCGCGCGAAAACGGGGAGCATGCGTGACCCTTTTAATGAACTTGACCGCGGTAGTGGAGGAGAGTTTGGGATGGAGTCGCTACAGGTCAAGTGAGGTAGTTCTGTACATCCCTTGATTAGCGTGATACCAACTGCGGAAAATATATTCTTGCATGAACGTCGCACATCCGATTAATTACCTCTGTAGACTATGAATATCCCCGTGGGGCTTATCCTGTGACACGAAGCTTGGCCTAGCTTGGCACACGAGCGCTCTGAGGCGTTACACTGCCTCCGAGACGTGACCGCCCCGATTCAATAATGTCCTGACCACCATTGGAGGTCTACTCAGCCTGCACATCCTGTGTCTATCAGATACCCATTTTTCCAATGGCCTACATACCCCAGCAGATCGATGCGGTCAGCGGCGATCAGTACCGTTATGCGTTGACTAACTTCGTGCGTAACTATCATCATCAGTGATCTCGATATTGACTTATAGTATCATGTATCTCATCTTTAGCGAATTGCGCACGAGAAAGTCGAAGAACAACGTCGGCAACTCGAAGAACAAGAGAAACAGGTCGCATTACTCCGCGCGCGAATCGCCTTGCTAGAAGGGACTGCGAATGAGGAGCAACAGGAAAGCAGACATCTTGGGGGTAGTTCAGTCGATGACTTCTCTATCAAAGTATGTTTCAGTGTCTCATTGAGTGCTGGGACCACCCTCTAGTCTGCTATACATATAGAATACTGCGTCCTTGTTGGAGCGCTCGATCAATCGCTGGGCAGCAGATATTGTCCGCGCACCACCCTCCGCACTGTCTGATATCCATAGAGCTGCCTTGGGCGACATCACAGGCTCTTATGATCCTATGCCCTATAATGTCTCAGCAATGCAGGTACAGAACATCCTTCGCCATGCAATGTCAGAAGTCATCAGCAGTGAGATCGTCAATAATCTCGTTGTGACAAACTCCCCTGAGGCAAACGTTCAACTCACAAGGATCCACGAGCACTTGTTCGCCCGTACGTGTCAATTCTTATGTTCTCTCAATCCCATGCTGACGATCGTGCCATGCATTAGGCAACCCTGTCGTAGCATGCGTTTGGCGCCGACAAACATTCTCAGCGGCAGTGGAAACTTGCGACCCAGAAATGACAGCCGCTATTCTTGCAGAGACTCTCCCAGGGCTCACCAAAGTGCTTGGGGGATCAGCAATCAACACAGCTCCGATTCTGGCCAGCGCATACACGTTCTCGCGCATGCTGCACGGTGCCCCATCATCATCCACCGACGCGTTTTACCGCAGCTTCGTTCCCGAGCTTGGAAGCATCCTCTATCCGCGTCAGATAGAGCTCGTACGCCGCTGTCTCAAGAGCGAGCGAGGCGAGCAGGATCGTGTAGGCGCGACAATCTTCCCTGGGCTTGTGAAGGTCACAAAGGGCAACGTGGCAGCCACCGAGCAGAATCAGGAGACAGTACATACGGTCGTGCGGCGCGCGCAGGTGATCTGCGAATGCGCACTCGCATTATCGGGGAATGTACCAATGCAGGGGTAGTGTGAATCCCCTGGATCTATGCCAGCTTCGACTTGGATAAGATGGAAAGGATGATACTACGCGGGTGGGATATATCTATATATTGCTAGCATTCAAATCTATACGACAAGCAGCGATGCGATTGTTGCTTGTGATTGTATCACCTATGATGGCGTTAGTGTGACACATGCAATGACTTTAGACATCAATACCTCAAGAGCTTGCAGAACCTCCAGCCGTCTCCGTGCAGCTTCTAACCAATCTCGGAGCAGCTCCCTTGCAGTTCCTTTCACTTGATTTAACTCTCGTGCAGCACTATCAAGATCCTTCTCAGTTCATGTAATACTCCGCTCTGGACAGTATACTCAGCACGTCCGACCCGGGAATGAGTCCATGCCGCTGGAACCTAAACAAAGAAAGAAAGTGCGAAGCCAGGTGCGTGAGTACACCTGCATCCTGATCGGGGACCAAAGCAACGCTCGAGACGCGTGGCCTAACAGAGGTGCTAAACCATGATGCAAGGTCTGCAAACGGCTCAATGCCAATGTCGGGCATGTCGCTTTGTTCAAGGGAGTCCAATGCTGCAGCAATGATTGCGTCTTCCTTGGCGACTGCGATGTGTCGGAGCACACGGAGCTCTTCACGGAATGGCTTGCGTATCGACGCGTCGACAGCGCTCTGCATAGCACGTATGGCGGTCCACATGCTGTGCACGCGAATATTCTCATCGAGATATGAAGAATTGTCGAGTGCGAGACGTTCGAGGCGCTTGAGACTTGTGGCGAGCTCATCAAGCTTGGCGAGACGACCCCCGCGTTCTTGCTCGACGCGGACCTTGACCTCGCGGATCCACCGCCTCTGCATCTCTATACCCTGCGCGATCACTTCCTCCTTCAACCTGTAAAGAGTGAGTAAGGTGACGGGTACCGTGCCCGAGCCAGTGGTGGTCACCTACCGCTCATTGATAATTTCTGTCTGGGTGCGTAATTCCTGTTCCAGCTTCTCACGGTAACCTGAGCGAACCTGCCACGCTCCTCATCGTAGAATTTCCTGAAGCCATCTTGTTGCGAATCTAGTTTATCCTGTGCCTCAAGCTCGAGCTCGAGAAGCTTTGTGGTATACTCCCGCGCTTGTTCGTCAAGCTTTATCTCTAGCTGCAGCTTCTCATCCTCCTTGATCTTCTCAATACGTGCCGCGAGACCAGTGAGGTCAGCCTTGGCCACCTCAAGAACATCTTTGGCTTTTTCAGAGGCAGCAGGGTTGGAGGCAAGGAAAGAAGCGAGGTTGTCGATCGTGGATGCGAGCTGGGTGATCACAGGCTCAGATACGGCGACTTCAGACACGGCTGGAGCGACAAGAGGCAGGGGCACGGGAGTGGGTTCCGCAACTGCCTTCGAGGCAGGCTTTGGAGGTGCGGGGCGCTCATATCCGGGTGGGGGCTCGAAGCCGATAGGAAGCGGTGCAGCATAAATAACGGCATTACTAGGATTCTTGTCGATACAATTATAAGGTCAGTGTCATCGCGTGGCGGGATAGTATCTGGAGAGGACCCGGGCTGAGCCGGTGTAGTCGTCGCCTCATAAAGAGAGTCAACAGACTTCCCAGTAAGGGCTGCCTCTGCTTTGCGGATCAGGTCGTCTAATTCATCAGCAAACTGTGCACCGTGTTGTCGTGCAATGAAAATTGCTTTCGCGGTTGCTTCCGGGACCGTTTCTTCCTCCACTTTCTTTACGACAGTCTTGAGGGATGCAGCGGCAGACTTTACGCGCTCTTTGGACTCCTTGAGTGCTGACTTGGCCGCCTTTTCAATTGTTTCTTCGGTCGGCGCGTTACCCAGCTGCCGTTGTACGAAGTTGTAGACGGTCTTGTAGGCGTCTACAGCAGCTACCACAGTTTGTTCGATGGTGATCTCATCCCACTTGTGCACCTCGCCATAGTCGACGAGTTCCTTCCCCAAAGGAACGTTTGCGGTGAACAATTCACGGTACTGCTGGTTTTCGAAGGAAACGAATGCACTGCCGATGTAGAACGTGCCCGTCGCTGCTACAGTATAGAATAAGATCCTGCGAACGACTTTTGCCGGTTTGGAAGATGGGGCATTGGAGGTGGAGGCGGTGGAGGCTAGTCGCTGCCAGGACAAGTAACTCCCTCATAAGCCAACGTCCCAGACAGAAATACTATAATTTGTTTGCTCACCCTGCGAGATGTCCGTATAAGGGCCTCGTCCAACCGTCGCCGAAACATTCTAGGGACAGCTATGGCGCGATGCATTGCCGCCGTTGTGGTGCTCGATGAGCTCAAACCAAAGACCAGGCTGGCGAATTGCAAGGCAGAAATTGGTCCGGAAATTCCCGTGCTGCCGTTGTACTTCCGTCCTACACCAATAACCATAAACGCATGCCCCAGTAGCGCCCATTGCCCAAGGTCACTAATGCGACGGTCCCTTAGCAAGCACCGCACTTCGGAAACCCGTGATGCGTCAAGCTTAGTGCCCCAAGGGTTGCAGCCACTCGCCGGCCATCACGATTCCCGACTCATCACAGCTTCGCAACCTCATCGTTGTCTGCAAATGACATCGGCGCTACTGGCGAATAGGACGTAATCAACTCCAATCAGTTGAATTAACATTTTGGAGCTGTTTTGAAGAAGCATCTAGTCAGGAGGGCGTAGCTACAAGCACGCAAGTATATACGCGCAGAAAAAAACAACTGTCTTCCTTCCCTCCAGGTCTGATCAGGGGATACTAATACGCGCGTCAACGATGGGGCCTTTCTACAAGGTCGCCTTCGGTTCCCGTGAGCTCGTCATGAAGACAATTTTGTGGTAGGTTACTCTGTGGATGACATTTCGTACTAGATGTGTGACTGAACGTCCGGCGCATGCTTCATTTCTGATTCACCGACCCCATTCTAGATAAAGCTTCTGCAAATAGCAACCACTGATGATATACACTGATGGAATCCCGGACTATATTTTTCCTACGTCGAGGACAGAACCATCAAACCACTGTGGCTTTCGTTATCGCGGCTGAGTCGATAGTGACATGTCAATGTTACAGTGGACTGAAGATGTCGTAGTGAGCTCTTGATCCCATCTCCATCCCAAACGCAGTCCCCTCGACTACCTTTCATACTATACCTTATCTCGTCACGACATCCCCCAGCTCAGCCCTTAGGGCACCGCGTCTTACCAGTTTCTTGGTTTATAGCGGTGTATAAATCCTTTCTTGATCCTATCATGCCAGGTTTCCGCCGGATCAAACCGAGACAAGGCTTTTACGACATGAGCGCTGGGCTGTGGTAAAGGCCGATATAAAAGTGCTCGATGGTAGTAGATATTCCGCATGAATGCTGGCTTTTGGTGGCCCAGATCATTAGTACATCCACTAAAATTGCCACTCACACACCCATCCCTCCATTATGACCATAATTTCAGATGATCCCAGTCAGTGGCCGCTGATCAATTTGTATGATTTCCACAGCTATTTTATAGGTTCGTGGAGAGTTGACGTCGAAAATGTCTTGAGCTAACCTTGGTTGTGGTTTCATAGTTGCAGCCTCCGCTGCGATCATTTATGATTGGGGTGAGCAAGATAGTAGTCAAGAATCATCAATATCCTAACGATATTCCAAGCACTCGCTTTCGGACAAGAGGTAGGCTGACGCAACTAGCGGAATAGCCATCTCACCAAGCATGATGCAATAGGTTGAACTGATCTGGGTGAGCGAAGTACTATATCAACAAAACAACGCGATAATAAATCCATTTTGGGCAGAAGCGACGCTGGTCTCTCATGACCTTTTTATATCTCAGTGTACGTGTTTTATGTTATAAATTGGCCTGTTATGCTAACTTGAAATATTATAGGTGCGCTATACTGCACTGCCATACGTTGTGTAGGTTTGCACGACTAGCAAGTTGGCGCTGTGCTAATAGGCTTTCTCTGACAATCAGGATCTTCATGCTTAGTGTGTTTCTTGACATACACTGCATTTTCTTTTCTGACCAGCAGTGCATAGTAACTCTTCCGACAATCTCGGTAGCAGATGCAGTGAGTGTTCTGTACCGATGCCTGCCGTTCCTGTCTGATCAACTGCAATATACGTAGGGGTAAGTGATATTTTTGATTAATTCGTTCAGCATAATGACTGCAACAGCTGTGAGTTCGTTTGGAGCGTTTTTGCCTGAGACTCATCACTAACTTGTGTTTTTAGGCAATAATCTGTTCCTAGCACTAAACTGGCTTAATGTAGTCGTCACCGCCTTGTTGGGAAGTAAGCTATTCAGAAACCTCAGTAATCCCGCATTGGCTGACTGGTCACACAAGTCATCATGATCGTTCGGTTACATGCCATGTATCGGCGATCCAGAAATATGCTTATCTTTCTCGTTGCAACCTTCCTGGGTATCACGATCCCATGCGTGGGGATTACTGCAGCGGGGATGAGGCATACCATAGGAGGTAAGCTTGAATTATGGATTGAAGACATCAGTGTATTGGGCTTATTCGACGAATACCAGAGGAGTTCATTCTTTCCGGTGCCTACCAATGCAATTATAACTATGAGGGAGACGCCCGACTTCTCAATTCCATGACTTGGATACTCTGCACTCTATGGGAGGTCCTCTTACTATGTCTTGCAGTCTGGATTGCTGTAAAATACTTTCGCGAACTGCCACGACCACTCAGGGCAAGGACCTTCGATGACTGTTTGATGGTGGTAATAAAAACTCACGTGGTTTACTTTGGAAGGTGAGCTGTTTGAATGTAGATATCGTACTTTACTGAACTGCATCTGCTAGCTTCACTGTTGCTTCTTGCTTTGCCCTCGGGTTTTTGTCCCCAACGCTCGTGGTATGCCGATCGATCTGTCACTGACATCTTCGTATCACCGTTATTAATACATTTCTATAGGACTCAAATTCCATGGGGACTATGACTTATCATAGTATTCTTGATGTTGTGTCAGTCATGCAGCTGTTTGTGCTAGGACCACGCCTCATCCTTAGCGTTCGAGAATATGACGCTAAGCTTGTAGCCGATTCTGATGCAGGAACCTACATGGCTTCGCTTGTTTTTTATCAGCACACACATGCTAGTAGTGCTGTCGCGGTGTAACACGAAGACCTCTAGGCCGAGTCGACTAGTCATCAACACACTAAACAGTGTCGGGCACTCTTCAGGGAGCAAGAAGCAAGAAAAGTTTGTTTCGTCGTTTGTGGTAATTGGGTATTTCGTAGTAGATATAGAATAAGCCAATATCATGTTGTACCACCAACAGGACTGGCTGGCCACCCGCACTTGCATCTGATCAAACAGCCACTAGTATACTATCCCTTATGGTTTCATTCCACTTTTTGGGATTCATCGACGGCTGTGACCCGTGTCGAAGTTGGTGTCGAATCTCTACACTCTACAGTACTGACGGTGCTACAAGTCACTTCGCTTGGCAGTGGGTTTCCTGATCTTGAAGCTGAAGGAAGTTGCAATTGAATTGTGATAGTAGTGAACCAGCTAGCCGCAATCAGCGAATATTGAAATTTCGAAAGCCCGCTACATCGTGTTGCTTTAGAAATCTCAGCTGCTCACAACAATAAAATTTGAATTTGATGCTCTGACTTCTCTCGACACAATCTATTATCTTCATCATTCTTCGCTAAACGATTTGCGATTTCGGCGGTCTGCACTTATTATCACATGTTTTGAAGAAGCCGGGAAGGCCTCAACATTCTGAATGATTGATGTTCTTAACTTTCCCGGTCTCGACTCAGCAGCACACTTTGTAAACTCAAGATAATCGGGATGCATCCGAGATGAGCTGATGCTTGTCCGGCTAGGTCCAAAACTAGTCTTAATAGGACTAGGTATCCGCATGGACTCTGCTTATTTTTGGGTATTCTCATCAACCTTTGGTTACCAGGCGCACTAGCACAACACGCTGGTCGTGGAATATGTTTGTTCCCTATCTTAGTTATCTTACCACAGACAACCTCGCAGCTCGCAAACCGACAATCGATTGTTTGTGTCGCAATGAATCACGTAGAGGGTGACAATGAACTTCCCGGATACACGCCACGAGCTGGCAGCAGCGTGGCTCCACCGAATGCCTTAACCCCCGGCTCTGAGCGCACTGTATCACTTGAAGACAGCAAGGGACACAAATGGTTTCTCCTTTCAGTGCCAAAAGGTCGGGCTCCTACGTCGGAGTTTTGGCCAGCAATCTATGCTGGTGATCTCATTTCAGGCAGCGTGACTCTGGACATTTTGAAGTCGGAGTCACCCAAGGCTATCCTAGTAACAGCAAGTCACCATTTGTTTGCGCAACTTTACGATGCTTATGGGCAATACAGGTGACAGCCATGACTACCCTCATTGGACAGGAAGGACAAGATTTTCTTGTCATTGAGAAAGTGTTGTGGACTCCAGCGATGGCCCTTCCCGATGGATCCATAGTTACCAAACTCGACAAAGGCCATTATACATGGCCTTTCGAGATAGCACTTCCAAACGAGACGGAAGTTCTAGACCGTAAAGAGAAGAAGATATTTCCCCTTCCGCCTTCATTCACAGAGCGAGCCAGTCCAGCTTACATCAACTACAAGATTGCTGCCATCATTAAGCGGGGCGCACTTAGAGTCAATTCAACGTATGTTCTCCGTTCTCTTGGACGTTTTCCGGAACCACTCAATAGTCCGCAGTTTAACCACGGATTTTGGATATCTCCCAATTACGAAACCGGAACTGCCATCTCTTATGTTACAGAAGGCATGTAAAGAAAACATTCCATACGTTGGTCCTGAAGGTGGGTGGTCGAGCGATGTAGTCTTCGATACCTGTGTTCAATACTGGCAGGTGATCCGGAGGGCTGGCACATCCTTCCACCAGTCACTGTCACAGGCACTCTCTTTGGTGCCAAGAGAGGGGATGTCGATTTCAATGTACGTCGGTCTCCCGTTTTGTGATTCGCAAGGCCCTAAAACGATAAAACATCTGTAGCTAGCACTAGCCAAACCAGTAGGTCTGTTCCTGACTTCGAATCTCAGGCCTCTCACTGTACCTATAGCTCAATTATGCTCGCGGTTCTGCGATACCACTATGGCTAACTTTCACAGGCACAGACGAGCAAGCTCTCGATCTACTCGCCAATCATCAAGCCATCCATATCTTCCTGAAGCGATCGTTGGCTACAGGCTCGGACGCAACAAGTGATCATGCTGGGAAGCACACAGATAACTTCTTCGTTAGCGCAATGGCACGTGCTATTTTCTGGCCAGCAACAGACGCTAGTACCCCGGGCAAGCGGGTTCTCCGAGGTGAAGTGAACTTAAAAAAGACATTCAAACAGAGTGTCATATTTCCCCGATTTTCTGTGAGGGTGAGTGACTTTTTTTCTTGTCTTTCTGGAGAAACCCGTTCACCAGTCTGCTGTTTGCAATTTGTTATTGGGTCACAGTACCATCTAGAAGTCCAGCCTTTCGAAGCAGTTGGCTTCGTACATGCACCGCATGTCTCTGGCCCACTGCTGACGCAACCAGTTAATGTGACATCTTTTCACGCAACTGGCATTGTAATGCGCTCTTTTGCACCGCCCGAGTATGCAGAGGAACTTAAGAATTTCGACAACTCCGTAGGTTTACTAGAGAATGGAAATCAGCGCTTCTACCATCACGGAGGACTCGGAGTGTCCTGAGACGTCATGGGGAAGTGGAAGTTGTTTTTGAATCCTGTGTTGGGTATGTATGTACTATGTATCTCCTGGTATTTGAATGGGTATTGTATGTACATAAAATGTAAAGTGAATGCATATCACACTCCAAGGCCCATGAGGAGCAAGGTCTCAAATGTCTCATCGCTCTTCTTGTCACACGTCCCCCTTGCGCCAACGCCTCCAAGTAGATCAATATCCTCCGACGGAATCGTCCAGTTTAGTGATTCTGGACGTCTACGTGCCACAAAGATGAATGCCAGATCGCCATCACCCTCTATATCAGATCCGAATCGTTGCCACTCGGAGAGCAAGTTGTTTGCATCAGTCTTTCGTACAATGACAGGTTCAAACGAGAACCACAGGCCGAATGCCAACCAGAATGGAGTCTCTTTAGAAAGACTCCGGATTTTGTATGATATGATGACTCGTGGCTGTGATTCGAAGATGGAGATAGAGGGAGGAGAGGTCAGATGGAGAAGGGTGCGTAGAAGAGGCGCTAGAAGCTCCGGAAAATATACCTGCATTTCTGTCAGTGATTAGTCTTAGAGCATGGAGAGCACTATAGTATTTACAAGGTCACTGCAGATTATGTGCGTGATACAGCCATGCTCATGTCCACTTGGATCGTCAACGAGCTTAAGTTCTCGTACGATGTTGATGGCATGATCATAATTACCCCAAGAAAGAGGTCGTACTAAAGTAACCTGTGTGTTTGCTGAATCGCCCTTTGGCATGACGAAAAGATTTTTCTCCAGAAGCGGGCAGACTTCGGGCAGATCAGTTGCGATGACTAGATCTCGTCCGGACAAAGCAGCCGCTTGAGCTATTTTTGCCGCAACAATGCCCGTGCCAGAACCAAGTTCGAGAAAAACTCGTTTGTGCCCAGATAGATGCTGATCGATCAAGGGCGGATCAAACTCCCAAGTAGAAGGATGGTCGATGTAGCTGTTCACTAGATATGCTGCTTCCCTACATGGTGTCACGCTTAGAGCGAGGGAACGGAAGCATCAAAGTAATATCTAGTCACCAAACGCGACCTGCGATCCCGTAAGTCTCGATCCCTTCTCGTTGTGCCTCGGCACCAAAAGCAAGTTGCTGTTTATCCCCAAAATCGTGTGTAGGGTGAGCATCACGTGGAAGTAAAGGACGGATCGCGAGTTCTTCTGGAAAATTGACATGGTTGTGCACCCCGGTCATAATCGCAGGTGTGGAACAGCATCCTTATTTGTTCGTGTTAGCTTCGGAAGCTTCAGCCTTCTAATTTTGGACCCGTCCTGCAACTTACAAGTCCTTTCAGGTTTGAGGTACTTTCTTGTTTCATAGAGGATGCGGGTCGGCGCAAGCACCCGGAAGCTCCCGCCAAAGTACTTACGCCTACCCGACTGCGGTTTCGAATGTCTCATTGGTCTTCTAAGCTCAGTTTACGTGCTTGATTCCCGCCACGGCTGTTTGCAGTCCACGTGCACCAACCTGTCATGCTCTTCGTTGTAGAATGTGCGAATCAGGCTATCCTGTACCTCAATATCGAGCTCAAGAAGGTTTGTGGTATACTCCAATGTCTGTTTGTTGAACGTGGTCTCCAGCTGTCAACTTCGTCTTCCTGAATCTTCTCAATACGGGCCGTGAGGCCAGGTTACCTTTGACTCCAAGGACCGCGGCTCTTGACATCTTCGGAAGAAGCAGATTTGGAGGAAATGAAGAAGCGAGGTTACCAACTGTGGATACAGGCTAGCCTGAGAGCCCAGTACGGCACATCCAGACAACGCCCAGGATAATAAGTGGAAATGGACACGGGAGTGGGTTCCGTGACTGCCTTTTTGGGTGCAGGATTCTCGTTAGATGGGTGAGTGCTCGAAGGGAGAGTGCGGGTTACCCCTCAAATAAACTGTTTTCAGCGAGGCATCTCGTCGGGATAGCGCATTATCAAGCAGAAGGAAACGGTATATCAGGTTCAAGGACTTTGAATTCTCGCCCCAATTTCAAACCAGCTGCTCGCGAAGTGTGTAGACGAACTTGGGATGTGCTGACAATCCATTTTAGAAGAGAAACACTGTAAATAGTGTATGGTGGTGGAACCATCAAACTATTGCGTAGTGACGAACAGAGGAGATTCTTCGTCACAAATCAGTAGTATGATGTTAAATTCTTTGCTGTACCTGTCTCATTGCTATAGCATGGCCCAGAATAAATATTACTAATCAAGGCGTATCACTCAGCTGCGATGCGGCACCATGTGCATGATGGACGAAATCGATGAAATCTGTTTTCGACATCAGAGTTCTTTTTATATAACCCGATGACCGAGGGGCAGCGCGAGCCTGCCGGGGAGAAAATGCCCTTCGCTGATCCAAACACCCTACTTCGGCCAATCAAGCTCAAGTGTCAACGATAAAAGCTGGACGAATGTGTATCACGAACGCCTTTGCTATACGTCTACCAAGTTGGCTACTCACTCGCATCCATCCCTCAAATGACCACAGTTTTTAATGTTCCCAATTGGTGGTCTTTCCTTGTTTCGGCTCAGTTTTACGGCTATGTTGCAGGTTCGTGCCCGTGGAGAGCCAACTGCATAATGCCAGTGATGCCTCAAACTAACCTTACTACGGTTTCGCAGTTACTTTCTCTACTGCGGTTTTATATGATTGGGGTGAGTGTATAGTAATCAACCACTACTGATATACTTATGATATTTGCAGCGCTGACATTCGAACAAGAGGTATGTTGATGCCATTACCGGAGTAACATAGTCACTAAGAATGGTCTTATAGGTCGAACTCATTTGGGTGAGCAGTGTCCCATAATAATAGAATCGTATAATTGATTCGGAGCAGAGGAAACGCTGGTCTTTCATGACTCTTATTTATCTCAGCGTACGTAGCTTGTGTTTGGAGTTTGGAAGTACCATTGGAAACCTTTTCTGACTCCGAAATATTATAGGTGCGATATGCTGCGATGCCACATATTGTGTATGTTTGTGAGGATAACCACAGTGGTGTTGTGCTAATCAGGGATCTTCCACATTTAGCTTCGGGATGCTGTGTATGCCTCCTCGCATTCAGTGTGTTTGTTTCTGCTGACTGGCGACATACAGCCACTTTTCCGCCGCTCTCGATGACAAATAATGTACGTATGTTGCACTGATAGGCTTGCCATTCTCGTCCAATTGACTGTACTACTATGAAGGGGTGAGTGAACTTCTGGAGCTTGTTGGTGCAATATCATGACTGCAACAGCTGTGAGTTTGTTGGGCATGTTGATCCTCCGAGACTCACCGCTCACTGTGTTGTTCAGGCCATATTGTGTACTTGGCGACACATTGGATGTTTGTAGTCGTAAATTCCATGACGGGTGGTGAGTCACTAAGCTGAAATACCTTAGTGATATTGACCCAGTGACTGAAACATCATGCAAGTTATCATGATCATTCGGTTATATGCCATGTATCAGCGATCGAGAAAGATGCTTGTCTTCCTCATTGTAATATTTCTGGCTATCTCCATCACCTGTGTGGTGGATGTCGAAAGGACTAGCCAGATTGTATGGGGTAAGTTTTGATGAACGAAAGAACAATGCAATAGGCTCATCGGACAAACGCCAGAGAGAACAACACTCCCCAACTACTACAGTACCTGCCTTGAAATCAACGAGGGAGATACTCTGATTCGAGATACTGTGATGTTGGCACTGTACCCTGCTTGGCAGGTCTTTGCATTGTTTCTCACAGTCTGGATTGCTGTAAAACACTTCCGTGAACTGCGACGACCTTCGACAGGACGGATCATTGGAGGTTGGTTTGCGGTCTTGGTGCAACCTCATGCAATGTGAGCTCATAATTTAAATATGATTGTCTTTTCTCTGAAGTTCGTGATGTGCTAGCTATGCTGCTGTTTCTTGCTTTGCCCTCGGCTCTTTATCTCCAAAGATTTCAGTAAGTATCGTGATCTGACATCTACATGTGAACGTTCATCATCCTTTCGATAGTCCTCAACTTCCGGGGGCGCCTTTTTTTATAACGGTCTTGTGGAAATTGCTACTATTTTGCAGATGTTTGTGCTGGGTCCACGCCTAGTCCTAGGTGTTCGAGAATATCACGCCAAACTGGTGGCCGATTCCGATGCAGGAACAAACATAACTACGATTGCTTTCCAGGAGCACGTACATTTGTCAACTGACAGCAGTGTGTAGCGGTGGAAATGCCGTACCTGTCTCATGCACATGATGCACTCACTGTAGCATATATGGACTGGGGCAGAAGGCTATAGCAGATGCAGTTCATGGCGGCTATTCAAATTGATGTAACTCCGATGCGGCACCACATGCATGATGACGAAATTTTGAAATCTGTTCCGGTGACATCAGAGTTCTTTTATATAACCCGATGTGACCGCAAGGCAGCACGAACCTGCCAGGGAGAAGATGCCGTTCACTGATCTTGCCTGCAAGTCTCTACTCAGACATTGGTCGTGGCCTTGTATCCCTTCATGCGGGTAAGTCTTCGGTGATTGTCAATCGTCCAAATCTGTCATCGTTTCTTGTGTCACATTGGGAGGTTGAAGTTCTAAAATTATAATTTGATCAAGGTTTCGAACTTTTGCTGTGTTCAAAGATTTGATTCCCACAGTGCCCATGTCAATGATAAAAGCTGGGCGAGTGGTGTATCATGAACACCATCGTTATATGTCCACCAAGTTGGCTACTCACTCGCACCCATCCCTCAAATGACCATAGTCTCGACTGATCCCATTTGGTGGCCTTTCATTGCTTTCTCTCGTTCTTACAGCTATGTTGAAGGTTTGTGGAGAGCCAACTGCATAATGCCAGTGATGCCTCGAGCCAACCTAACTATGGTTTCGCAGTTGCTGCCTTTGTCGCAGTTTTATATGATTGGGGTGAGCGGATAGTAATCAACCGCTACTGATATCCTTATGATATTATCTGCAGCGCTGATGTTTGAACAAGAGGTATGTTGATGCCATTACCGGAGTAACGCACTCAAGGCTAAGAATGGTCTCATAGGTCGAACTGGTCTGGGTGAGCAGTGTCCCATAAGGATATAATCATATAATTATTTTGGGACAGAGGAAACGCTGGTCCTTTGTGACTCTTATGTATTTCAGTGTACGTAGCTTGCGTCTGAAAGTTCCGTTGGAAAAAAAATTCTGACTCCGTATTATAGGTGCGATATGCTGCAATGCCATATATTGTGTATGTTTGTGAGGATAACCACACTGGCACTGTGCTAATAAGCGATCTTCCACGTTCAGCTTCGGGATACTGTGTATGTCACACATTCAGTGCATTTGTTTCTGCTAACCGGCGGCATATAGTTATTTCGTCAGTCTCGATGACAGATGAAGTACGTATATTGCACTAATGCCTGTCATTCTCATCCAATTGACTGTACTACTATGAAGGGGTGAGTAAACTGCTCGAGCTTGTTGATGCAATATCATGACTGCAACAGCTGTGAGTTTGTTGGATATGTTGATCCTCCGAGGCTCACTACTAACTGTGTTGTTCAGGCCATATTGCGTACTTGGCAACGAATTGGATGTTTGTAGTCGTAAATTCCATGACGGGTGGTGAGTCACTAAGCTGGAATATCTCGAGTGATATTGACTGAGTGACTGAAACATCATACAAGTTATCATGATCGTTCGGTTATATGCCATGTATCAGCGATCGAGAAAGATTCTTGTATTTCTCATTATAATCTTGCTGGCTATCTCCATCACCTGCGGAGTGTTTGCCGAGAGAGAGACTAGCCAGACTTTTGGGGGTAAGCTTTGATGAACGAAAAACAAAGCAATAGGCTCATTAGACAAACGTCAGAGGAGTCAATACTTTCCGGCGTCTATAGCTGCGTTGATGTATATGAACCGGGAGATACTCAGATTCCACATACCATGGTACTGGCACTGTACCTTGCATGGCAGGTCTTCGCACTGTTTCTCACAGTCTGGATTGCTGTCAAACACTTCCGTGAACTGCGACGATCTTCGACAGGATGGATCATCGGAGGCTGGCTTGCAGTGTTGGTGCAACCTCATGCAATGTGAGTTCGTAGTTTGAATATGGTTGTCTTCGCTTCTGATGTTTGCGGTGTGCTAGCTATGCTGCTGTTTCTTGCTTTGTCCTCGGCTCTTTATCTCCAAATATCTTAGTAAGTATCGTGATCTGATATCTATGTGTGAACGTTTGAACGTTCATCATCCTTTCAATAGTCCTCAGCTTCCGAGGGCGCCCTGTTTTATAGTGATTCTGTACAAATTGCTATTATTTTGCAGATGTTTGTGCTGGGTCCACGCCTAGTCCTTGGCCTTCGAGAATATAACGCCAAACTCATGGCCGATTCCGATGCCAGAACAAACATAACTACGATTGCTTTCCAGGAGCACGTACATTTGTCAACTGACAGTAGTGTGTAGCGGTGGAAATGCTCCAGATGACTCTGCAGAGCTGAGAGAATTCGAGAATGTGTTCGGTAATTTCGTCGTACTGATAATAGTAAGGTGTGCAGAAAGAGAACTATAATGTCAATAGATGTCACACTGTATCATCACGAATACTGCCCACCACGATATATAGTACTTGCGCCAAATGGCAAGCTGAGATCCTGCAGACCTCTATCATTATTTGTCTGTGTTAGCTTTGGAAGCTTCAGAAAGAGTCGTACCTATATGGGAATTCATGTGCAATCGACTTAACCGGTCCTGGGGCCGGCAATTCCGTGTGCTAGTTTCAACACGAGGTTGACATATCTCAGTTGCTTATTTCCATTATGTCCACACTGTCCAAACCGGTGAAGCAGGCGCAGCAACTAACGCCTTTTGCATCTGCGTTGGCTGGTGCCCTTGGAGCTTGTTTTAGTAACGCGTGAGTACTCGAGTACCCACGCACCGACTGTCCTCAGGCTGACACATCAACAGTGTAGTGTATCCTCTTGATGTGTGCGTCGGCGGTCGCAATTCATGAGATATATTTCTAATGTCATCGTAGTGCTAAGACCAGGATACAGGTGACCTCATCAGCTGCGCGAGGAAAGCGCAAGGACGACCTGAGCATGCTGTCGATGCTACTCCAGATATTCAAACAAGAGGGAATTAATGGGTGGTACAGAGGCTTTGCTGCAACAATGCTCAACACCTTCTCGATGCGTGTGTCTCCAATTACCTCCTTTACGTTCCCCCATCGAGCTGAACACCCTAAGAATACGCGTACTTCTTCTTCTACTCATTCATACGCTCATCATACATCAAGCGCATAACTTTGAAGCTGCCTCCTGGTTCAAAACCTCCTGCACTATCCACAGCTGCTGAACTCTCCCTCGGGGCAGCCGCTGGAGCGCTATCCCAGATTTTTACGATTCCCGTATCCGTGATCGCAACTCGACAGCAAGTTGGGCGCTCTGTCCGAAACTCGTCGCAGTCCTCCGAAGATGAGAGACCGGTAGACGAATCTTTATTAGCTGTCGCTCGTGAGATAGTTCGCGAGGATGGTGTCACAGGGCTGTGGCTGGGCATTAAACCCGGCATGGTCCTGACTGTGAACCCTGCTATAACGTACGGCGTTTATGAGCGCCTCAAGAGCCTCTTGTTGCTCGCAAGTGCTGCGAATGGTAAATTGACGCCAGGGACGTCGTTTTTGCTTGGGGCGTTTAGCAAGACGCTCGCCACTATCGTGAGCTTGATACGTGGTTGGGTGGCTGAGTGACATCTCCTGACATCGCTCCCTAGGTAACATATCCATATATTATGGCCAAGGTTAGAATTCAGGCCCGTTCTTCTGATACGGATACATTAGAGAACGAGGGTCTGCCTGGTGGTCGAAATGGAAATACCGACTCCAAAGCAAAACAAGCCGGTGCCCTCGGCCTCCTCTTGAGAGTCTTGAGGAAAGAAGGATTTGTCGGGTGGTATCAGGTCGATATTACCAATCTGATACTCGCTATTTCACGCTAACCAAATTGAACAGGGGATGTCCGCGCAGATAATCAAAGCCGTACTTTCTCAGGCGTTGTTGTTTGTATCCAAGGAACAGTTCGAGCATTGGGCCCTGGCCATCATGGTCCTGTTTACAAAGTTCACCTCGCGGCCATGACGACGCACGTTTGTTCTTGGGGAATCAAGATCAGTCAGTAGTTTGCTCTCTCGGGAGGTGCATACCTTTTGTATCGTGTATCATCCCAGAACCTTAGCTAGTAGACAAATAGACGGATCATGTACCCATCCAGATGAGGCGTGTCTGGCTGCAGGGCCCCAGCTTATCTACTCTTTATGTAGTTGTCAGGTGTCGAAGTAACGAGTCATTGGTGATGCATTGATGTATGATCGGGTCAAAACATGTCGGGTCGCGATCGTGAAACGGGGAAATCAAACATAGCTTCAAAAAGTGATGTACATCTCTGTTTCTGGAAACGAAAGTTCGTGCTAAGGAGTGCGTATGATCATGAGAAGTAAATAATTGATGAGTGATACGGTACAAATGCATGGTCGTGTGGGGTATGTTGATCGAAGGAAGCACGTGAAAATAACTAAGTATTGGTACAACAAATAATCCTAAATGGCCAATAATCTTCCGGCATAATAGACAGACGAAGTGGAGGAAGAAGGAAGATGTAATAAATGAATGAAGACATTCCCTTCTGAAAATCCGGTAAATTCAATGTGATTGCTCCCGTACAGATCTGAATCGTTTCAGGTCATCCCGGATCGTCAGATCATTTGTGAGAGCATGATGCGGATGTCGCATAGTAGCATCAGGGTTGCATCACGCACTGCAATCAACCATTTCCCAGTCGTCATTAAAGTTCACTGAGGAGATGTCAGACGAGGTGGCATCAAGCGCCCAGACTACTCACCCTCATGTGTTGACACAAGCATCTCAAGGTCCCGAGTAGCGGCTAATATAGACACAGCCATGCGAGGACCCATGCGAAGAATCTTCGCGCCTTCAGGGGAGCACCGCATACGGGCTTTAATTGCGATACGGTACAAGTCCGGCTCCGGCTTCGAACGAGGAAAAGAAGCGCGGGGTGGAAGGAGTTTCTGAGTGGGCGATAACGGGGAAGAGGTCCGCAGCCCTGTCATTTGTTTGTGTGGCGGGTGAGGGGCTGCTTTACCGGGTTGCTTGGTAGAGGGTGGAGCGATGGTAAATTCGGGACGACTGCGGCTGAGGGCAGCTTTACGTCGTTCGCGCTGCTCCTTGTAGTGATGCAGAGTACGATTGTAGGGAACGAGTGGAAGTTGGGCCTTTGCGTAAAATGAAGAGGGGCCAGACTGTAACGAGGTATCCTCGTCACCTTCATAGTCTGACAAAGAGAGAAAAGAAGCAGTGCGACGAAGAGACATGCGTGAAGACTGCAATGGATAAGGCTGAGAGAAAGATGGAGTGCGCTGGCCGGCTGTGGGGGAAGGCGCGATGGTGACTTTGAGAGCAGGCATAAGTAGGGGAAGGAAGAAGTGAGACCCTGTGGCACAGGACAAAGGGATTCATATCAGTTGTGGATTGTGGCCTAAACAAAAGCAGTGCCGAGCTTAGTGTAAGAATACAGCGATGACTAGGTTCAGATATGATTTGAATGATGACGGAACCAAATTTAGACCAACGTGCCACATTTCCAAATTTGAACTTACCCAAAAATTAACCACTGACAGTCCACTTGCCAGTCTTCTTCGAATCTTCTCCATTTCAGATTTGTGGCTCCATTAACCCGAAACAATAATGTCGCAAACCTACTAGGTCCTCCTACAAAGTCAGCATTCTCCCATATTCATTGCGCACGCAATGCTAGGACGCTCGAAATCTAGAAACACCGATAGTCAACCCTTGTATTTCGTTATGCTAAGATCTAGAACAAAGGTCTTGTAAGTCCTAAGATGGTGATAGTTGCATGCAGACTGTCGCCCTCGTCAAGACGAACATTGTCCTCGATACCAACCAAGCTAAATTTCAATCGTCCGGTCGGTCGAGAGGGCTAGAGCAGGGTTGTCAGAGCGTCGGTGAGCCGAAGAGGTATATTCGGGGCTGTCACCCAAGAGAACCGAGAACTTGAATTCGCTTGACTGCCACTGAGTCAACTTTGAACTTTGAAGTGACGTATGCGCGAGAAACAAAAACGAGAAATTGCAGAATTCGAGATGCAATGAATTAATTTTCAGAAGCGACAGCCGGCGGAGACTCCCATTGCCGTAAGCGCGCGCACCTCTTCGAACAAACATTCCGTACACCTTTCGTACAACGAAGCCATACCTCTAAGCTTAACCTGTGGGGTAGAGTTCAGGATGCATATACTGCCGAGAGAATATGAGAAGCTGCTCTTGCACCAGGTACCCCCTAGTCTTAATTCATGCAATGGAATGATATGAGTCTTCGTTCATTTCTCTTCTCAGGCCGGCTTTCTAGCCCAAAAGCGCCTAGCTAGAGGCCTACAGCTCAATATCAACGAAGCCATCGCCTTGATTGCCTCCCAACTGCAGGAACGTATACGTGATGGACAGCATTCTGTGGCTGAGTTGATGCAGCACGGGAAAACCTTATTGGGGAGGACCCATGTCTTACCTAGCGTTCCACCCCGCCTACACGAGATACAGGTAGAAGGAACGTTCCCAGATGGGTGAGTTGTATACCCGTGCGAGATCATCTCAACTGACAACCCGGTTGAAGTGTATTCCTAGTAACTGTGCATGATCCCATCTGCACGGATCATGGCAACCTAGATGCAGCGCTCTATGGATCGTTCCTCCCTGTACCTTCACAGGACAAATTCCCAGCCGCGGAGACTACAATTATCTCCCGTGAAAACCTTCCAGGAGCTATCATCGCCAAAAAAGAGAGGATTGTTATCAATCAAGGACGTGAACGCATCAAGTTGAAGGTGACCAACCATGGCGATCGCCCTATTCAGGTTCGTGGGCGTCCCTACTGATTTGACATGCGAACTCTCATATCCTCGAAAGGTCGGATCCCATTATCATTTTACCGAAACTAATGGCGCGTTGGAATTCGATCGCGTCAAAGCTAACGGAATGTTTCTTGATATCCCCGCTGGGACTGCTGTTCGCTTCGAGCCTGGCGATTCCAAGACCGTCTCACTATGTGCTATTGCGGGCAAAAAAGCCATAACCGGTGGCAACTTGATTGTCACTCGCCTGAAGGATATCCTAAAGAAGGATAGCCATATTGATAAGTGTTTACTACTAGGGACTTTCAGACACTGTCCAGACCCTGGTGCGCTCGAGGTACGCGAGGACACCACTATTGGCCGCGAGGAGTACATTTCTATGTATGGCCCCACGGTCGGTGACCGTATTAGGCTTGGTGACACTAGTCTATGGGTCGAAATTGAGAGCGATGCGGTTTGTTATATCAATATGATTATGTTTTTTGTGCGGGCTCATATCTAGCACAGGCCTATTATGGTGATGAAGTCAAATTCGGCGGAGGTCAGTGATGATTCCTGGTGCCTCCCCTGATGTTCATCACTAGGTGCAGGCAAGTGTATCCGAGAGGGCATGGGCCAGATAACCAGTCGCGGGTACCTCGAGGGTAACCTAGACCTCGTCATTACCAATGCAGTCATAATTGACTGGACCGGGATATACAAGGTAATTGATTATCTCCACCGATCTTCACCTGCTGCACGCCCTTGCAGGCAGACATCGGAGTAAAGGCGGGCAAGATCGTCGGCATAGGTAAAGCCGGAAACCCCGACGTCATGACCAGTGTCACCGACAACATGCGCATCGGCTCCTCAACGGAGGTCATTGCCGGCGAGAAGCTCGTCGTGACTGCGGGCACTATCGATGCACATGTGCATTACATTTGTCCGCAACAAGTCACCGAAGCGCTCGCATCTGGTACGACGACGATGATTGGGGGCGGGACAGGTCCGAGCGCAGGGACGAATGCTACGACATGCACACCGAGTCCATTCTACTTAAAGATGATGCTTGCGGCCACAGATGGGCTCCCGATGAACTTCTTGTTTACGGGGAAGGGGAATGACACGGGAAGACATGCATTGGAGGATATCGTTCGCGCAGGTGCAGGGGGCCTGAAAATACATGAGGACTGGGGTTCTACTCCAGCTGTGATCGCGAACGCCTTGGATGTTGGTGATGAGTTTGATGTTCAGGTCAACATCCATACGGATACTCTCAATGAGAGCGGATTTGTGGAGAGTAAGAAGTGTCATTCATCGGTCTTTCGGATGCTGATGGAACGCAGGTACGATCAAGGCATTTGGCGGTCGCACTATACATACGTATCACACGGAAGGCGCCGGTATGACAACCGTTTTTTTAGCTCCCTGTTATATGGTCTCATCGTGAAACTATGTAGGTGGCGGTCACGCTCCAGATATCATCGTCGTTTGCGGTTTGGAAAATGTCCTTCCCTCGTCCACCAACCCTACGCGACCTTATGCTAGGAACACCCTAGACGAACACCTTGACGTGACTCATCCATGCACGTTGATTATTTCTGCCTTTCTCAACATATAATAGATGCTGATGGTTTGTCACCACCTTGACAAATCAATTCCCGAGGACGTGGCATTCGCAGAGTCTCGCATCCGAGCAGAGACGGTAGCAGCAGAAGACGTTCTGCACGATATCGGTGCGATATCCATGATCAGCTCTGATTCTCAGGCTATGGGGCGTGTCGGAGAAGTTGCCTCCAGGACATGGCGTACTGCGAGCAAGCTCAAGGACTTCAAAGGTCCACTGACTGAGCTAAATGATACAAGGGAAAAAGATAATGGACGTGTCAAGAGATATATAGCGAAGTATACAATCAACCCGTCAGTTTTGTTGTCATCTCAAGTGGTCGCGCACTGACGGCTCCTTAGCGCGATCACGCACGGTATCAGCCATGTCGTCGGCTCGGTAGAAGTAGGAAAGCTCGCTGACCTTGTCCTTTGGAAGCCCGAAAACTTTGGCGCCAAACCTGAAATGGTGTTGAAATCAGGAGTGATTGTTTGGGCTCAGGTAGAATTTACAGAGGAGCCTTTCTTTTCGATAATAGTGCTGATGTCCTTTGTTAGATGGGCGAGGCAAACGCTTCAATTCCGACCGTACAGCCAACCTATGGCAGACCAATGTGGGGTTCCTTCTCCTCTGCAGCGGCGCTCAACTCGGTCGCGTTCGTCTCCCGAATCTCCATCGCGACTGGTACTATCGCTTCATACGGACTTTCGAAGCAACCAGAGGCTGTTATCAACTGTAGGAATGTGACCAAGAGAGATATGAAGTGGAACGATGCGATGCCGAAGATGTCTGTTGATCCAGAAAGCTATGAGGTGAGGGCGGATGGCGTATTGGCTGATATTGAGCCTGCGAGCAGTTTACCACTTGGGAAGGAGTACAACTTTTTCTGATGGCGGAAAACAAGATAAGGACAAATGAAGATCGTGTATATTATGTGTTGTATGAATGCAAATTGAGTTTATGGAAAAATGGACTGAGCGAAGTTCCGCATGAATGTACATCACATCATCGCCCACTAATTCAGAACCATCACGGCAGTCTTGGTTACGTATTAAGAATAGATGCTACACACCCGATGCCAAGATCAGTAGAACTCCCAACCAATAGACGACACTGACGAGAAAGAGCAGCCTTTGCCAAAAGTGGCCTAATTGCCCCGCTGACCTGCAACCAACATGCCAATGCCGACGAGGGCTTCACCGAGAACCTCAAGGTTTTGTGGATTTGCACCGTTGGGTGCGGGTACGGCTATTGGTACGGCTACAACGCCAGTAGGAATTGGTATATCTGTGCCGTAGGTCAACGAGATTGAAGAGTATGTAGCAGTAGCAGTGGGGCTGGTTTCACTTGTAGAAGGGGTGCTGGTGGGTGTCTCAGAAGTAGTGCTAGTTTCGGTTGTAGAAGGAGTGCTGGTGGGAGTCTCAGAAGTAGTGCTAGTTTCGGTTGGAGAAGGAGTGCTGGCGATGGTCTCAGAAGTAGTACTGGTCTCGGGCGTAGATGTGGTGTCAGCGACTTGATGATGTTGGTATGACACATATGTGAACGTAGGCGTAGGCGTAGGGGTGGGCGTAGGGGTGGATAAAGCAGGGATCGGCGCGGGCGTCCATTCGGGGCTCACGGATGGTGTAGGAAGTTCGCTGATGTCATCATTGAACCACCACGTTCCGTACAAAACACCTTCGTCTTCAGAAGCGAAGTAATCGAAGAGACCCTTAGAGAAGTCAAGCCCGGCGTTCGGGCATCCCATACACTAGAGACAAACACGTCAATAAGAGAGAAAATATCGCGCCGTTGGGCTCACTTTGTCCATGATAGTGGCCTGTGCAGTTTTTCCCCCATAGGAGATAGTAATGGACTTGAAACACAGCGGACCTGGGTAACCAGGACCAAACTGGATGACGTTGATGGCGACCATCTTGTCGTAAAATGAGTATCGGAAACGCTACACCAAGTAATTATTTGGCTGAGACGTACGAAATCACTAGGAGAGCTGTACTGCCCACAAGCACCCCTTGGATTTAAATCAGCTACGTGGCTCAACGAGTGATTCTTTGGTTCAAGTCTACTCACAAGCCAACGTCATAGAATGTGAAGCGTGCGTTGTCGAAAGAGCGTTTATGTATGCCCACATCGCCTCGCGCCCGCTGGGCTAATTCTTGATGGTGTCCACGCTGGATATGCCCAAGCGTACCACCAACTGTGAAAGGAAGGACCGCAGCAACGAGGAGGAAGATAGAAAACATTAGCATTGAGAACTATAGACCGAAAGTCGGGTGAGGTTTAGGATGGTTGAAATTGTTGTTTTTGAGGGTATAGGTATAGCGAAGGAGCGTTTGGACAAAGGAGTGACTGCCGCTACAGGGTATAAAGTCGTGGAAGTGATACAACGACGAGCAAAACACAGAGAAGGGCGAAGCAAGTTAAAAGGAAAAGTCAACCAAGCGAATAACCAAAAAAGTTGATGTGACTTTGGTCATCGCGTACGTATTACTTTACATCGCGCCTTCTACAAATCATGAGAAGACTTAATATACACACTTAACCCATCTTCCTTGGACGCGAACATAGGGCCGCCAGCCATCATGATGATGACCTGGGGCACTAGAAAACGGTGATTTAGGAAGATCGTATTGATAGGGGCTTGTCCGGACCACTAAGACCGTGGTATCTGCGCCGGAAGCAATTCGTAATGACTTCATCACTTTCTGTTTGTGTATGCTTGTCACATTCCGTGGAACACGCGAGACACAAGTTACGTACGAACCCGCTGGTATCAAGCGGCTATAGTAGTAGTAAAGACTCTATACACTTTATAAAACAATAACAAGCGGGTAAGGACATTCACCACAGATCTCCCTTAACCCATCCCACTTCCCATATTCCAGATATCACGCACACGTGTGTATCCTGAGCTCAGGTCCCCGCAGCGTCATGTAGTGACCGCAGACGACATTGGACATCGGGCCACGCATACGGAGGGCTACTGCTCATTGACCCGAAGTGGTGAGTTTTGTAAAAGATCTCGACGCAAGGGAGCATAGAGAATATGATTCGAGCGACAGCTTTTGGATTCATTAACTGACCAGCTAACACGTCCCATCGTTGTAGGGACAGATGTCGAAACGACTCCCCTGTAGGGTCGATATCGATATTCACAGCGTCTATCAATAAATTAAGCGTGTGCAAGTGAGGGCAGTGATGGAGCGCTGCAAATAATCCGCGGAATGTAATGGTACTTAGAGCCTGATTAGAATCTTGTAAATTCAGAACTTGGAGATGTGGCCAACTGGACATGCATTCCAAAAGAAGGTCGTTGCCAAGGTGGATGCAGCAACGGGGAAAATCGAGCCAGAGGATTCGGAGCTGTGTAAAACAACAGAAGTGTGCGATAGAGCTGCGAGGGGGATCCTGGACGTCTGAAGCGCGGCCCTTCATCTCAATTTGTTCAAGGGTGTGACGTGCTTTGCACTTGGACAACACATGAGCGAGCCGTTCAGCCTCTGCCCAAGACAACCTATTGACCTCGATCTTGAAATGTTTCAGGGAAGGAAAGTCTGAGTATTGCATGAGTCCTGTGATGTATGCAGCCGTATTTACGTTGAAAGAAAGAGCTGTGAGGTTGAGGAAAGGACCGAAATCGAAATTATTTTCGAGGTCCAATGAGGAAGGGTCTATCTTCCTTTTATCAATCTCGACTTCGACAAGGGTAGGGGAGATTGGAAAGATGTTTCCACGCAGCCAAGTCGAGTGGTGAACAAGATAGAGTTACAAGCCGCTTGCACAAACGAACGCAGTCGGACAGCAGGGACGGCTCATTTTCTATATTCCAATCGTTCGCGAGGGATATGTGCTCCAAAGCAGCGCAATGGGTCGCGATAACTTTCAAATCCCCGTAAGCGACCCACAGGTCACAACGACGCAGCGTGGGGGAAAGGAAGATGTCAGAGCGGGTTTCCGAACATCGATTCCTTAACGACAGAAGTCTCGGAAACATGCATGGCACCCTGCACTTGAGGACTGAAAGAAGGTGATAGCAGTCGTCTCTTGCCAATACATGTATGGAGCGCACACGGGCTGCGTGACGCAGAAACTGACAACCTTCATTCTCCGATAATGGTTTAATGTCTTGAAAGCTTGGATGAGTAAACAAGGAGAACTGTGTTCAGATGTTCGGTGAGCTGATGAACGAAAGGAAACGAATAGAGCGCACTGACCTCTCGGTCGCTACAATATATGATTGGATGTAGCCTCGTTACACAGCCTAGCAGTGGCGTCAACCCAAACATGACAGCCCAAGTTCATTCATTGCAGGTTCGTAAAATGTTTTGCATGTCACTGCAAGTGCTGCAAGGGATTTCCGTACAGATTTAGGCTGGTGATACGACCACCGGTCACAGACTGCCAGTGAATTCACATGCGCAAATATCTCCAGAAGGATCTCACAAATGTGCAGAGCCCGGTGCATAAGTCGACGGACGATGAGTTTGGAAGGATTTGAGTTGCAATATGCACGCAATTTTGCAATCGGAGTCGGCAAAAAGTCGGAGATCACGACACGACTCCGACTCTCCGACTCTCCGTGCGTCGGAGGTCACGGTACACTAATCATCTGAGCCATCATTCAGGTCTAAAGTACCTTGAGATGAGTCGTGGCCTCTCGAATACAGCATTAACAACAAGAACTTTGATGCAAGGATTCTCCTCATCAGCCACTGTCTTGAGGAAAGAAGTTCCGCCAAAGTTGGGATGTAAGAAGACATCAATGACATCATGATGTAAAAATGAAATAAATTACGCCTGCTCGCGAGAGCTTAAAGTAGGAATTTCCATAGGAGCTTCCGTATACTTGAAGAACGATCGCTAAACCCGTGCCGTCATATGAGCAGTCAACCGTGAAGTCGTTGGGAAAGAGTTGGTAGATGTAGTGCTAGTGTCGGTCAAAGAAGTGGTGGGGGTTTCGCTTGTAGATGTGGTACTAGTGTCGGTCAGAGAGGTAGTGGGGGTTTCGCTTGTAGATGTAGTACTAGTGTCGGTCAGAGAAGTGGTAGGGGTTTCGCTTGTAGAGGTAGTGCTCGTGTCGGATGCAGATATGGTGGAGGTGGTGGCGTTTGTGTCAGCAGCATAGTGGTGCAGGCCTGACTGTGTGTAAATAGGCATGGGCAAATCAGCACGAGGAACCGGCGTAGGCGTCCACTTGGAGCTCGCGGGTACTGCACGTCTGCTGACGCCATCATTGAAACGCCACGACCCGTAAAGAACACCACCACTTTCAGAAGCGAAGTAACTGAAAAGACTTTCAGAGAAGTCAAGCCCGCCGTACGGGCACCCCATACACTGGACAAGAATGCGTCAATAAAAGAGAGAATAGCACGTCCTCGGGCTCACTTTGTCCATGATGGTGGCCTGGGCAGTTTTGTCCCCATACCAAATTGTAATGGACTTGAAGCACTGCGGACCCGGGTAACCTCCACCATATTGGGCGACGTTGAGGGCAACGATCTTGTCATATAATGAGCTTCGGAAACCCTATACCAAGTAATCGCCATGGCTGAGACGTACGAAATCGTTGGGAGAGCTGTACTGCCCACAAGCACCCCTTGGATCCAGATCAGCTAGATAGCTCAACAAGTGATTCTTCGGTTCAAGTCCACTCACAAACCAACGTCATAAAAGGTGAAGCGTGCGTTGTCGAAAGAGCGTTTGTGGTTGCCCACGTCGCCTCGCGCCCGCTGAGTTAATTCTTGATGGCGTCCGCGTTGGTGATGGACATGGGTGGCGCCAACGGTGAAAGGAAGAATCGCAGAAACGAGGAGGATGACTGAGGACACTAGCATTGGAAACTATAGGCTGACTCCGAAAGTCAGAGGCTTTCGGGTGGCTAGAATTGTGGATATAGCTAAGGAGCGTATGAACAAAGGAGTGACTGGCGGTATAGGGTATAGAGTGATGAAAGTTACACAACGACGAGTAGAAGACAAGGAAGGGTGGAAGCAAGTCAAGAGGAAAGTGAACCAAGCTTCGAATAACCAAAACAGTTGAAATGGCTTTGGTCATTGTGTATACGTACGTATTATACTTTACATAGCGCTTCTTACAAATGAGAGGACCGAACACGACTGAAAGCTTGGACGCGAACATCGGATGGCCTGGCCTAGAAAACGGTGGAGTGAGAGGAATCGATAGGGGCTTGTCCAAATGCTATTAGCGGTAGATCTCACTGAGGCGCTGGGTTTTGCGCCAGATGATATTCAGGAATTCGAGTTCTTGGTACATGATAGAGTTAGCGCTTCAGCCTTTGTGTGACTTCTCCCGCCCATGATATATTGATGTACAAATAGAAAATTCGTGTACAAGGAGTAATGATACAAGCACTCGTATAAGTAGCATCAGGTTAGTAGTATTCATGAAATCTTGATGATACAATGCATGCTATCCGAGCATCAGCAGAGAAGTTCTTCTGGTCAAAGCTTCGCATCCTCTTCGTCCGAAAGCAAATTCTCATCCGGTATCTCCGGGTAGTCATCGTCGTCGTCATCACCAAAGTCATCCAAGTCGCGCCAGCGAGGACTGCCCGGGAAGGGCTCGCCAGAAGTGGCAGCTGTCACCTCTTCCCAAAGACTTTTCTCGTCTTCATCGATTTTGTAGTGGGGCGAACCTGACGGGTTGTGCACGATGGGGGTCCTCGACATGCTAGCAGTATGGCGCATGCATCGATAACCACTAGCCAACAGTCGTTTACATAATGTGTCGCGTCGACACTCCTGGCAGTGCGCGCACTCCGATGCCACTGCGAGTGGCTGGTAGAATTCGCAGATGCTATGTGACAAAGAAACCAAGTTTACATGAGAATTGTGTAGTACATGCGTATGCGAAAGTGCCCTCACGTTCTGAGTCGCTGCTCTGGCCCTCTTTTAAATTTCCATAGTTTGTTGGGTATATCTTGAATGGATGGAAAGAAGTACCGATAGGTTGCATTGGTAGTCAGGGAGGAGCTGGGTCGTGGGTTTCGGAGGGGGTTGAGAGGAGAGAAGATATTTGAAGTATGTTTATTGTAATGGGCTTGTCGTAAAAGTCGACGGAATTCATCACTAGTGATCGGTAGATCAGACGGGTATGCATCCAATACGTCACAAGTAAGTGGATCTCCCGGGAGGTAGGTACCATGCCATGTACCAATGGAATCTAGATGGAAATGTGTTCGTGTACTATTACCTGCATCGCTTGATGAAGATGGCTGTAAATTTGCAGAAGGCAACGATCTGGATCTTCGCCGTGTCATCGACACTACTCTGCTCTGCTCGGCACTTATTGGTCGCTCGTATTCGGAGGGTTCGTCAGTACGCAGTGGCAGACTGCCTGACATTGGTGACCAAGAGCGGTTTCCATTTATATCAGGCACGGATCCCCTGCGTCTTGTAAGTCCAGGTGGCGCAGAAGTATCAAACATTGAATCACGGTTGTCCACGAGGCCATAAACTGTCCGCACAGGTTTGCCAGACGAGCATTTGGCCTTCCAGAGATCCTGAGGAGGACGCCGGACATATGGCATGGAGGGGGTACGCGATGTTATGGGTTGCGTCACCTTGTCCACATTCCGCTGAGACGATATCCTGCGCTCTGGTGAGGTGAGGTCAGACAGGCTCCTTGATGGTGATGGCCACCCTGCCGCGGATCCAGGTGCTGAGGCACGAACTAATTCCCGTACATCAGAGCCATACCTTGCGCCACGGGTGAGTGGCGGACGCTCTCTGCGACTACTTCCAGCTGCGCTATCGACATTGCCACTCTGAACAACAATCGGCCGCAAATAGATAGCTTCATCCTCGGTTCCGTCTTGTAAGATGCTATGATTCGCATCGCACGATTGCGGTTCAGGGGAAGTGGCTAGGGAATGCAATGATGTTTCCGACCATCTTGGATATCTGGAAAGCCTGTTACCATTCTCTGAAGATGAAAAGGGTTCCGCGTTCACAGTGTGAGCACAATAGCATCAGGGCTGTGGCAGGCGCTAAACTTACCAAGTGGTGCTCGTTTTGCGGCTTCGCCATTATTTTGGACGTGGCGACGTTTGAAATAACCAAGAGGGCTTAGTGCATGATCTGCCTCGTCGGTGAAAGAAAAAGATCGTTTAGTAGGTGACGGGGGTGGCGAAGATGGGTTATCATTTTCTGGCTCATTGCGAACAACTTTTTGAGGTGGAGGAGGATGCGGTGAAGAGGTCATTTATTATAGAATTGGTCAGAGAAAAGGCTGATCAGCTGGGATGATATGTCGTATCGATTGGAGGTGCCAGTACTGTGACGTTGTCAGTCCAGCGGAAGTACTTATAAAAGCTCGGAGCCTGACACCGCTTACAATCGAACATCCACATGTGACCACAAGACCACTCACGATTCTTCTTTGCGGCATTGTCTTCAAGTCTAAGATCATTGTGGAAGTTTTTCATGGGGATCTGGATCAGGTCCACTATCATTCTGGCAGTGCTTGAATGCGAAGCTGAAGTTTGAAGTCTCGAAGTTGCGAAGAAAACTGGACTATTGCCATTGGCTGCGGACATAATGCGACATATAAGTGATCGCCATCGGTAACTGCATAGACAACAGTCAAGCAGTGCTTTCACTGGATTACTTGTCAGCGATGTTCAACCTCTTCATTCCCGGATTATGATCAGTCATTACTGTAGTGGAGCCAAAGTATTCTTACCAGAATAATGCGACAGTTCACCGTGACGAACCCAGGTGAGGTTCTTCCCTTCCATATTCCTTATCATAAGGAAAGAATCACTCTCATACGTCAAGGCTTCGCGAATACCGACGACCGTGACGGTCAACATCTTTTACGTTGTATCGGGACCGACCTTTCGAAATGGCGTGCGCTCCACGAACTGTGGCAGAGCAAATTCAAAGGCCCTCCTGCAAATGAACTCAAAGAGGAGGCCGATCAGGAAAGGAACTGGCAAAGATGGTATCTTTCGTAAGATGTAGGTTTCCTTCACCATGTTACAAAACAAGCTGATCAATTCATACATCTGATCTCTTGGTGACATTCCTCATTACTTTTCCTGGTTCGTCTTCACATTGAGACGTCCAGACGTTAGCATTGCGGTTTGACCGCTGGCAGAATATCATCATACCAGGTCCTTCGGCTTGCGAGAATCGTCGTGAATTCAGGAATGCAACGGAATTGGTCATGCACTACCGGTATCATGGCGGATATTAATATGGGCGCAATCGAAGCAATTATGCAGTTTGTCTTGACAGGGTCCACGGGCGATCTCGAATCATACCTGTTTGCCATCTGTACGTCGAGGGCCGTGGTACTCATTAACTAACGACAGGAAGTTACACATTTCCTAATCTTAACGTGCTCGGACGTCATCGTGGTTCGGCGAACGATGAGTGGTGTTGATGAATCTGGGATTAGCTTCCTGGTTGGTAATTTCAAACTTCCATCTACACAGTCTATTGATAACTACACGGATATGACCTGCAACAGCTACGTCTATCTTTATGTTGATCTGCTGTGATCGCACCGATGCTACATCATCACATGCGTGTGCCGGCCTTCGCTCATTATCCAAGGCCGTAACAACTCTAACTGTGCAGCCTCGATGATGTCAATTCAGCACACTTATCTCGGCAGAAGAACCAGCATCGACCTGCACTGGTATCCCGCGTTCACTTATCCAGGTTGATCGGGCCCCGCATACATGGTACCACGATCAACAATTCGGTGACAGCCGTATCACCAAATTGCCACTGTTCGCATGCGTGCAAGAGACTTCGGATGCGCGGTGAGTTCGTCGCCAATGGATATGAATGCCGAACAGTGAAAAATGAATATTGATGAATCTGCAACCTGCATCCAGCGTGAAGCACCGAGGGCCTTGGTTGCGTGACACCAAGTCAGTATCACAATCAAACAATTTGAGTAAATTATTTGACAAGCCCCAACTAGTGTCTGTTGTACACCCATCAGCTGTTGACAGGCATGGCGGACTTGATGGATATGTCAGCTCATGTTAGATAAATATAGTACATACTCATACACATCACCCGTCACTAACTCTGTGACGTCTACATAGTCACTTGGTCCGCCGAAATAAGTGCTATCATCGCCTTGCTTGCGAAAGTTAGGGTAGAATACTCTTGGAATACTCGGTACTGACCTCAGCTTGGACGTTCTTGAGACATTGATGACCTGGGTGCTTATCTGCAGGAAGCGATAAGCGGACCTGCGGCAATACGTAGCTTCGGATACCATGATCAAGTGACCGCCTGGATCAGTGAATGATAAGGTGTCAGGAATAACTGTTTAGCGCGAGAATAAGCATGATTAACGATACAAGTGAATTGATACATAAAATGATCAATGGGAACGAAAAACTAATTATATTCGTTAGATGAGTTGAACATAATGCTAAGAATATAAAATGAAGGGGTCATCGTTATGTCGTGAATCTAGCGTAGAATGGTCATAAGAGAATCTTATGTTGGGTCGAGCAAAGTTAACAGTAATATAGAGTGAAGGAGAGACAGCGAACTTGAGCCCTGCAGACTGGCTAAAACAGCTCAATTTTCAACGCCGAGGAAGGACTGCAGCTCATTTACAGGTTGCATCCTGGCCCTGGTGGTCGTGTCCCGAGGTATTGCTGACCTGTGCCCAAACTGGACCTCGTTCAGGGAGCAGGGGGAGAGTCGGGTGAGTTTGATGGCTCGTCAGGAATTGACGACAAGAAAGTAAGGACAGCCTCTCCGCGGGAGGATACACAGTTGGGATCGAAAGTGAAATAAACGTTTCCATCATTCACGTCAATCCCTAGTACATGTAAAGCCCCATCGAGCGCATCAACAGGAGCATTGGTGGAATTTGTGGGCGTGGAAGGAGAAGCAGTGGTCTCGCATGGAGCGAATCGCACGGAACGAGAGATCTTTCGTGTACCAGCATTGGCCGTCGCGTTTAGATTGGGCGTTGTTCTTGCTGCTTTGCCTATGTCGAAAAATTTATGGAAGGGGGTGGGCCTTGATGTTTTCGGTTCTTTCTCTTGCAGATTCTGAGCATCTACTAGCGGTGTCCTGTGCACAACGTGAATCGATTGACATTAGATATTTGGTTGAGGTTGTACATACTTGATAGATAATCCCTGTGTCCGGGGGGTAACGTTATCGTATGCATGCGAGGCGCATGAAACAAGATTTTCTACTTCAGACATTGGCGGGGGGAAAGAACGGCGGCAATCATCGGGTGCTGGCTTGCGCTGGAAGCGAACTTGCCGCTGGAAGAGAAGAGTAAGCCGACATTGTCCATATGATAATACATGTATCACACACCGCTGTGGTGGCATCATGCCAGGAACTAATAAGTGCAAGCTCTGCGAATGATGGAAATTTTTCGAGCACGAGTGTTGGGTGAGGGGGCTCCATATTAACCCGGCCACCAGTGGACGAAGGTGTCAAGGGCGCGCCAGTGGGTGTGCTTAATTCTTTGGACAACAAACGAAGTTCCTTGTTTGCGTTGAGAGACATGACAGCAAACACAGGTGGTGAAGATCTGAATTATCGAGAGCAAGACTGAGATTGTAGAAATACCAAGGCGATTCCACAAAACATTTGAAGCCGTAGTGTGGACACTAGGCCGTAAGGTGCCCTTTGTGGCGTTGTAGACAGAATACAGGAGACAAAGAAGGACTTTGTGGATGGAGCGGCATGTGCACAGTGTCCGAGATGGCAGGCTCACTTTGACCAAGGTCTGAGCCTGCCTGCCAGTGGCAAACTGGACTGGAGAGCGTGTTGTGGCTATCCATGCTATGAATGCAGAATATATGATTAAGCTGTACCAACTTTTGGAATTCACCTTCGTATGGTCGAGTCGAGTCGCGCGCTCGCAGTCAACGAGCGCGCCACTGTCACGTGCAAGAAAAGCAGCGGTGACACCTGACTCGAACCTGTCAAACAAAATCACATGGGGCCGAGGCAGCCGGAGGCAATCATAACTCCGCTTGTCACTGCAAATTTGAATTTGATGAGCAAACATATCTGCGAATATCGGACAATATTCACCTCAAGAGTCAACACGCTTGTGGCTTGGTACTCATGCATACGACCAGCAGACAGCAAGTGCTGCAGCTTCAAGCTTGGCTCAGCAATCTGTATGGTCTGTGCTATCGGAGAGCTGACATGGACACCCGTACCTTGCAGCTCAGACTCGGAAGTAACATGTGTGAGTCATGACAAAGAGAGAATACCAGTCATTGTTTTGCTTATGTATTACACAGAACAGGCTATGGGTACAAGTTCCTCGGCCGATCTATCTTCAGCTCTTTCTTGCGAACCATCATGTCCCAACAACAGATGGACGAGGAGACGCCATTATTACAGCCCGTGAAGCAGAAGAAGGCTAGAACACCATTACCTTGGCGTCAATTCTCTATCATACTGTTTCTTCAGCTCGCAGAACCGCTCACTTCACAAGTCATCGCTCCCTTTGCACCTCAGGTATGGCTTTTCATGCAGCCCAATCATTTGACAGCTTCTGATGGGCTCGTCGCCACTCTCTTGCAGCTGATAAGAGACATTGGCATCACGGATGGCGATGAAACTCGTGTAGGGTACTATGTCGGATTGATGGTGAGTTTTACTTTATCAATTAATGGGTATATCCTCATCTTCGAACACACGCAGCTCTCTCTATTTTTTGCCACACAAGCCTTGACCGTTCTCCATTGGAGTCGTATATCGGACCACATCGGACGGAAACCCGTCATTTTGACAGGCCTGTTCGGATTGTCCATCTCAATGTACTGTTTCGGCCTATCTAGAACCTTTTATGGGCTCGTACTAAGGTTTGATCGTTCTATTTTTTGCGAGTTCTGATTTCTAACACCTATCAATCAGCCGTGCTCTAAATGGTGCTTTGAACGGCAATATCGGCGTGATTAAAAGTATGATGGTGGAGCTCACCGACTCCACTAATTTGGCCCAAGCATATGCGTATATGCCGATAGCTTGGTCAAGCGGTGGGGCCATTGGGTACGTCCCTGTGTAATCTTTTCACATCGCTTTGGAGTTTAGATACCCTTTACAGACCTTTAATAGGTGGTTCATTATCAAGACCGGCGGATCGATTTCCGAACATCTTCGGACATTCACAATTCATGAAGACCTATCCCTATTTCCTCGCATGCGCTGTACCTGCTACCTTTTCTGTACTGGCTTGGATTGTTACTTTTCTTTTCTTGCAGGAGGTGTGTTATTTTAAGCTAGCATGCGACAAGTGAAAAAAGGTTGATGACGTGATTGTCAGACTGTACCTACTAGGGTGACCCTCTGGCAGTTACTAAAGGGGAAAAATCGCGAACATTCCGCTTCTCTCAAGGGCCCCGTAACTTCCACAGGGTCAACTGATTCCCTCAGCACAGAAGATACTTCTCAGCGTGCGAAAGCTGGTGGCTCCAAGCCGCTACCCCTTCGTTCGCTCTTGATACCCAGAGTGATCATAGCTGCTGGAAATTATGCCGCTTTGTCATTCTTTGACATCGCATTTCGTGCCGTGCAGCCTGTGTTTTTCGCCACACCGGTAGAGCTTGGTGGGCTGGGTTTAGATCCCCCGCGCATCGGCAACATTCTAGCTATCTATGGTGTGATCAACGGCTTATTCCAAATATTTTTCTTCGCCGACCTCCATGATCGTTTCGGTTCGAAGACAATCTATTCTGTCTCAATGGCTGTTGCAATTCCGATGGTCATCACTCTTCCCATCCTCAATGCTGTAGCCAGAGTGCAGGGTTTAAGCCTCGCAGTGTGGGCGATTGTTGGCCTGCAACTTGTCCTGTCGATGATATTAAATTTGGCGTATTGTCAGTTTCTGCATCATATCACGATTCTTTGTGTTGACCATGGTTCCTTCAGCTTGCGTATTTATTTATATTGCCGCGGCCTCTCCAAACCAGGCATCGCTTGGTGCAACAAATGGGATTGCTCAGTTGGGTGTTTCGATCGTGAGAACGATCGGCCCCGCATCGGCCACGTCCACGTTCTCGCTCTCTATTCGAAACCCCCACCACGCCTGGATAGTCTACTATTATCTGATTGCCCTTGTTTGTATGGGCATCTGCACGTCCCTCTTACTTCCTCGACAGTTGTGGAAGAATACCCATTAACCAATCTCACGCCCCGCCTATGGTTTCTCCGGGGTCGCTGCTAGAGGTTAGGGGGAAATTATATCTGCATGAATCAGACGTCTCCATAGACATTGTCATCAAGTTTCATGTTTCAATAGTCTTGATCTATCACATATTTGAAACAAAGTTGTACATGCTTTTGTTATTTCAGTCGTGTCTATCAACCGGTCATTGTCAATTTGGCGGTCCACCAAACGTGATGATTTGTTACAAAGTGTCACGGATTCCTGTGGAAAGTGTGACATCCTGTCCACCAAGGCACACTGCCACGCGCCACACAGTGGCACATACTTAAGCCAACGGCACACCATTCGGACCCCCCATCATTTACTGAGCGCACGTCTTCCCCTCATCCTGGTTTCTGCTTGTGTTATCCTTAGGACGAGGCCTGACTGTCATCATGTCGTTCGCTGCCTTGATGGCGCTTAGCGCCTCGCAAACTAAGGAGTCTCAAAGCGCCGTCCAAACCGCACTACTACAGCGCCAGCGCAACGAGGAGCTCCAACGGAAAAAGCGGGAGGAATTCGATAGAAAGGAGCGAGAAGAAGCAGCGAAGCTTCGACAGAAGAGATTTGAGGACGAGAAGAAGCAGCGAGAGTTGCAGCTCAAGAGAGAATCAGAAATGAGACGCATGGAGGAGGAGCAGGCAAGGCGAGAGGAGGAGCAACGCAATGCATTGCTCTACGGTCCCAAGAGGGCCAAGTCGGGCTCTAAATGGCCATCGTCTAGCGGAATCTCGAAGGAATCCATCCCCAGGCGCAGACTACCGTCAGATGAGGAGGATGGCTCTCGTTCCGGATCTCCAGCAATGGCTCTCACTCGGGAGGAGAAACGGCGGCGCAGGGTCGAAGTCGAATTGCGCAAGGGTTATCCAGGCAGGCGGCCCGCCTCATCCTCCGGCTATCACAAGGCTGGCAGGCGACTTCCAGGAGGGGCTATTGACGCCACGTCAGCACCAACTTCAGACAGCGGTAACGGCTCACAGTCTGTCAAGGCTCGCCTTTCTGCACTCCCCAATACTTTGACCAAGCTCAATGTCCACAAACGAGACACACGGACCATAGACGAGATATTGCAGGACAGAGCCAAGGCGAAAACAGCCACATTGGACGGTGACGATGCCAAAGAATTTAACGACTGGTTTGGGAAGGGGAAGAAGGACACTGGAAAGACCAGTGCCCAGATATCTACGGCTGCACCATCCAGGGCGTCTTCCGGCTCCAGCTCCCCAGTCCCCTCAGCGTCCCAGTGAGTGTTTTGATGACAGAATTCCTTCTCATCATCATTTCATCTTCCATCTCGTAGGATCAGTCAACTCTGGCACGTCAAAGACATCAACCGCCTCGAAATCTGCTGTCTTGTCATTTTCAAAGACCTCGCAGTCCAAAGGCGCAGATAGCTCTCAGTCATTAAAGACTGAAGTGAAGTTCAAATCGACTTCAATTTTCACTCCTTCGATGAAGTCGCAGGCTTCTAAGCCTTCGTCTGCAGCACGCTCCGCCGGTCCCACCAAAAAACGGCCCCGGTCCCCGTCGTCACTATCCCCCCCTCCTCCAAAGAGGCGCCCTGCCTCAACTGAAGTGGAATCTTACAGCAACGAAATTTGGAAACTGTTTGGCAAGGACCGGTCTAAATATGTTGAACAGGATGTGTATAGTGACGAAGAGGACATGGAAGTCGATGCCGGCGTTCTTGAGAGGGAAGAGCTCAGAAGGTCAGTGATTACTCATTTATCAAGAGTACACTATTGACAAAGATTCCTTTAGTGCGCGTCTCGCTAGAAAAGAAGATGAAGCAGCTCTTGAGCAGGAGAAGCGCCACGAGGAAGAAAAGCGCCGCAAGAAGAGGGAAAGGGAAATGAAGGAGAGGCGGGGATAAGGCAAGGAGTTTTTCTGACATCGGCATGCTATATTTCCTGGACATTTCATACCCTCATGGATAGTGGGACCTATCCCTTGTTTTTCTTGATGCTTTAGATGGCATACATTCATACCATACACATCGCCACCATTCATGTTCTATCAGCCAGCGCAATTTTGTTTATATGTTACACCATGTATTCGCAGTCACTCTGAGTCATGCTCATGCTTTTTCGTGTAATGCAATATTCCATTGCTCACCACCAAACGATGCGTGACGGAGACAATGGACGATGTACGTATCAAGATTACAAGGGTAGGTTATTGTTCATCAGCAATGTCAACAGTGACAACGGAAAAGTAAATATCAACAAGTTAAGGCGCTGAGCGCATGATGCGAAGGACTGGAGAATAGAAATAAACAAATAATTAGATACGTCGATCCACGGGTGTTTTGAATTGCAGGTGTCTTAATGCACTATCAATGGTCGTCCGCTCGGAATCGCTTCCTGTCTGAGCCGCCACCAAACTGGCCGCCTTGCTGGCCTTGTATGAATGCTGGGTTGAAGTGACCTTGCATGCCGAAGCCGCCGCGTCCTCCCATCATTCCCATACCTATAGAGTACATCAAGTGCAAGTAAGAACAACAATCCATATGCATGAGACCGTTAGAAGCCCATACCCATTCCTCCCATGCCACCACGCCCGCCCACCATCATAACACCTCCTCTGGGTCCCTGGGGAACCATGCTGCCGCGTCCGCCGAAGCCGCCCATGCCCATGCCCATGTTCCCCATTCCCATCATGTTCATGCCACCCATGCCCATGCCCATGTTACCCATCATTGTGGGCATGCCGCCGCGCATCATGTTGTTCGCCATACTACCACCCCCGCGACTTTGTGCACCCATCATGCCTCCCCCCATCTGGTTCTGGTTGGAAGCATTACCGCGGAAATTCCCTGTCGAGCCGCGGCCCATGCTTGTCCCTAATGTGGATATGGGGGTTCCTTGGTGGGTGTTTCGGGTGTCTCGGGGCGGTGGTTCTGAAGCCGGATAGATTAGACAAAGCCGCTGCAGTCAAAGCACTAGGTGATGAACAAACCTTTTGGGAGTGTGCGGAATGGATTGCCTTGTGACGAACTTGTCAGAGTTGCTGTAGCACGTCTATTTTGAAAGTCACTGAATGTAAGGTCAGCCTTGCATTCGCATCGAAGCCTCAAGCCTCACATACTTATTATCGAACCATGCTTTGAGCGCGTTGGCGTCTTCGAAACTACTGAACTCCACGTAGGCGATACTGATGTGACTGAGTAACACCTCAATTTGACCAGGAAGTTGCTTACCCTTTACTCTTGCCGTTTACCTTGTGCTCAGAAAAGGTAATGTCACGATGGTCGATTGACACGCCAAGATTTAGAGCGACTTGACGCAGGTCCTCATCTGTTGTCCACTGTAGGAGAGAGAAACACGAAGACAGGCTTAGAAAGATATACACAGGATTCTAAACGACAGGACAAACGGACCCATTGCAAATCACCAATATACAGTGCATCATAGCCCATCATCGAAGGATCTGTCCCGCCTCCCATATGACTACCGTTTTGCACAACGGCGTTGTAGTTACCGTTCATGCCATGCGAGACACCCTCGGTCCTAACCTGCCCTTGCTGGATTGGCTGAGTGTAAGGAGCTGGAGGCGAGTGTTGGGCGGGTGACGGTTTCACTTCCTCTTCCTCTTCCTCGTCGCTTCGAGGCCGTTTCTCACCTGTTGAGGGTTCGACTACGGTTATTATAGCCTCCACCGGTTCTTCCTTTGCGTCGAATTCCTGACCGTCAATACCCTTTAAGCGCCCATACAGTCAGTCCAACTAGCTGCTCAACCAAGTAGATGCATATCATATGCCCACCTGGTTGGCTCTGCCGACAGCATAAGCTTCGTATTCGCCGTAGATATCATAATCTTCCTCAGGCATTTTTTCGCTGACTCAAGCAGAAGAATAGAAAGTCTTTTGCACTAGAAAAAGTAAAATGACAGGATTTGAGTACCAACGGACATGAGAGTAACACAAATGATAACGAGGCAAAACTTCCACAAGGCACATCATGAAGCCGCCTGCGCGCGCTACCCACGTCAGCTATACAAACAAGTGAAGGAGCTCTTACATGATAGGTATGGATACAGTGACAAGGATTACGCGTCCAACAGCTAAGCGAAATACAGGACGTAGAGCAAAGCACAATAAGAACAGAGAAAAAACTAGTGGAACGTAAGGAGAACGCAAGGAGAGTTGCGCGACAGCGACGTGGAAGAGTAAAAGCAAGAGAATGTTTGGAGAACTTCACCAAATCCGTCATGTTCTATAGCGGTAACATTTATTTGGTTTTGTTTGCAACCCGTGGCGCAGTTGGCGCCTAACCTTCTCGTCACCGCTGGCTGAACAGATTATTTCGCGGAACATGTGGATTTAAGGTAACTAGTCTATAATCTTACTGATGCTGGCTCGGTAGGAACTACAATAGCCAGCATCAGCCAGTCCATTTATCCTGCAGCGTCCTATGCACTACTTCCTCTTGTTGCGCCAACCACAACCCAAATGCCGGCGTTTTCAGCCACCTTTCGTAAAACTCCCTCCGCTTAGTCGCGGACTTAAACGGCAGAGGGGAGCCATTTGCCTTAAGCGAAGAGAAAAAGTCAACAGTGCTGAAGGGTTTTAGACGTCGACAGCCCGAAACAGTGGTACGTTCCGTCGGAGAGGGTATCAGAGTATTGAGGTATCTGTTCAGAGGAACTAGCATGGTGTTGGTGCGCGAACTTAAGTGTCTTCTTAGGTCCAGAGATGCTTGTATCCCTGCAAATGATGGGTAAGTTACAGTACTAATCATGATTTGGGACACGGACTGTCTTGGACGCTTGCATGACAAGCTTTCTCGATAGCTTTCAATACTTGGCGGTCTTTGGAAATGTATCGGCGATGAGTTCTTGTACACCATCCAGGTGGCGGTCCTGCCATAATAGTCGCCTGGCGGCGCGGACTGCAGGAATTTTGAGCGATGAAATTTGAGAACCCAAGCAACTTCAGACACACCTTGCTTTCAGCCCTACGCTCAAGACGTGAGGCCAATGGGCACATGACTTCTGGAAGAATGGATTGGTCACACCCAAGATAAGGCCAGATTTAGGTGGGAGTTTATTGACCAGAAGTGCGTGATCCTTGTCATGGATGGTAAAGTAAGGACGAAAATCGTTCGCAAGAGGTATCTAAGAATGGAATGGGTTAGCCATCGATTTAACAGATGGAAAATAAACGGCGCACAGGACGTAACAGATCCCTGAGCCACCAAACTGCTTGACTCGTGGCTGCAGGAGAAGATCCGAATACCAAGATGGGCTCGCAAAGCATCAGGCACTCCCATATTGACCATAAATGTGGCAAGGAGGCCTCGAATATGGATATTGGAGGCGGGTCAAGTGGAGCTATAGAAGACAATAGCTAATACGGTCTATTAAGCCACCAGAGATCCAGAGCAAGGGAGAGCTTATTTACATGCAAAGTGGGGTCAAATTTCTCATGAAAAGATGCAGTCTCTGTCAATTGCTGAATGTCTGCATTCATGGGCAACTCGACATGGAGAACTGAGCCTAGGAATCCTAGCTCAATAGTCAAACCCGGCGATGGGCTGCACCTTTCTTCGGCAGATAAGATTTGATTGATTGAAATGGGAAATAAGCCCGAGCAGCACACGTACCAGTGGGCAATGTTATGACATGCCGTTTCCAGCATAGGTACACCATGGGTTAGGAACAAGGGCCCAAGTTTCATAATTAGGGTGGTAAAGAGAGCAGGGTACTGTAGGTGTGAGAGAAGAACGAGAGAAGTCTGGACAATGTTAGCAAAGTGGTTCGATGCGTGAATATTGATTTACCTGTTGGTATCCTCGCTTCGAGGTGTTGTCTCTTCTCTGGGAAAAGTGCGAATATCCATAAAGGTATCCATCGATGTTATCTGGTCTGTTGTTACCGTGATCTAGAACGACGCGTTTTTGGGATGTGCCGAGATCTTGTATGCGAAAAGAATGTACTTCTGAGCCTTGTTCGAATTGTAGGGAATCCGGGAAGGATGAGAAAGCACTTGAAAATGGATTTCAACACCCAATCAGACAGATGGAGACGATAAATTATTACATGTTCTCTTTCTCTGCGGGGGCCAAATACAATGGTGGATGTACTCCGCAAACAACAGGACCAACATCCAAATCAAAATTGACTGTGGTGCATGGTATGACGTGTAAGATACGGTTCAAGTATGTTACGTGGCACTGACCTACGGCGAAAGCCAAGACCCATTGGGACATTCGCAACGCCCTATCTCGCTCGAACTCAAAGCCAGCGAGCTCTGAACTTCGATGTAACGCTGTATCAGACTTTGCCAGATGAGGAAGAGTCCTAGAGCGTGTGACGGTCTTTTGCCCAACCAGGCGAAGTCCAAAATGCGTATCCTGAACGTTGGACAGTGAGGGCGATTTGAGTGGACTCGGATGATCTTGAAACGATCCGATACCATGGATTGGAACATGTGATTCGGTTGGAGAAGGTAGCCTTGAGGCGATGGTTTCAGTTGATCCTGTGCAGGACCCTGATCGAGAAGGATAAAGCAAACCAATATCTTGCTCATCCATCTCTGTTGTTGCCTCCATCATGGTCCAAAGCGTCAAAGATGCTGGACGATGCACGCGTCGATGTCGAGATCGTTGTAGCTAACAGCAACGTGTCGAGTCCAAACACGACGATTTACACGTGGTTCGAGTTCAAAGTAGGATTTTGGGAAAATACCTCCTTTTGCTTTGATATCTGCTCATTGTTTCTCTTCCAACTGCCTCGAGGCCGCCGAACCGTGACCTTCGTCTTCTTGAACACGAGCTTGGGAGAAATTCCAATTCTATTGTTCACGAGGACTTAATCCGAGTCGGTCGGATATTGTACGATTCTGGTAGCCAGGAGAATCATAGTGCATGATTGTCATCTCGCCATCGCCCACTCGCGTCATCTGTCTTCAAACAATACGGTCGTATCTTTATAAACCCTGTCATCTTCGTTTCTTGGACTATACCCTTTAACTTTAGCAACCATATGATAGACATATCTTTCCAAATGGCTTCGGCGCCTACTGTGCCGTTGGGTCAACGTAGACCTATGGCTGTCTACGCAAATGCTTTCGACGTAACACAAATCCCAGTCAAAGCGTACGAGCAATATGATGGTGAGCACATATCTGCTTGATCGGGGGGCATCATTGTTCTGAATAAATTCATGCAGTCGGTGCGTGCGCCTTCGTGCCAGTAGCAACTATTCTGTTCCACTAAACCTTCTCCAGTGATGACGCCTGATGTAGAAAGTGTTCGATGGAGACATCGAATAGTCGAAAGACTCCAAAACCACGAAGCACCCAGGGTCTTTCGTCTATGTTTGTTTGACGGAAAGAGCATTTTATACTCTGCGGCGCCGCTGGATCTTCCCGATGGCACTTCGGGAAACGTATGATCTCGGTTGTGATCTGGTATTCTCAGCCTGATATCGGTTACAGTATACCCTTGTTGTTCCCGGCAAAGGTCGGGTTACGGTTAAGGTAGCTCGCGTCGCAGGCGAGACAGTGACATTCGAGTACGCATTTCCAAATCCAGTTCAAGCATATCTCATGACACGTATACTGTAGTGACCTCAAAAAATTTCTCACCGGAAAAATCAGCGATCAGACACCAAAGGTCTCCGTTGCACTCAATCTCCTTCAATTCATTATTCGCCAAGCCCCGAATCTGTACGCCATACATTACGCAATCAATAGTATCACTGAACGTCCTTCAGAAAGTACCCGAATAATGGACGAGCGTATTTTACCAGCGGCGGCTCAAAAGATCTTCGCGGAGGTCTTCAGCTGTTTCGTGGATTCTTTCAGTACGTCATGTCACGGAACCTCTTGATCGTTCCTCACATTGGTGCGTAGGAGTGTCAGACCAGCAATCGGTAGAGTTCTCGTGAATGTCGATATCAGTGCAGCCGCAATGTACGTCATGCAAATCGCTTCTATTACTTCTCATCGCGTTCCCCATTAGGTATAAACCGGGACCGTTTGTGGACGTTGCTTTAGAAGTATTAAACATTCGAGCGAATGCACGCGCTCTCAGCTTCAAAAAGCATAGCAAAGAATGGAATATTCTCAGCCAATTTTTCCGGAATGTCCTTGTGGAAATAAAGTTACCCAAAAAAACTGTGACGAAGAAAATTGTTGGTCTCGTTGAAGCCGCTGGACGTTTTCCGTTTACTCAAGAATCAGAAGACGGCTCATCCCTTCCGACAACTGTGGAAGTACGCTCTGCATAATTGCTTTCATTGTTCCATCCTGCAGATGATTGACGTTTAAGCAGGAATACTACCGCAAAACATACAACATACGCCTAGCATTTCCTGACATTATCGGCATTGAATTGAGCCGTGGATCTGGAAAAAACACTGTCATCCCGGCCGAACTCTGCACTGTGGCTGCAGGCCAGCGGTATAACCGTAAACTACCGCAGAACATGACGAGCATGATGGTTGATTTTTCCAAATTTAGGCCAGAGAAACGGTTGGAAATGATCATTGGCCAGAAAGGCGACCGAGTCCAACCTCCCGTAAGTCCTTAGTTAAAGTTGGAATTTATTGGTCATTTTCGTCCAGACGCTTGAGTATGCCACGTCACCTTATATCCAAGACGCGGGAATGGAAATCTCGGAGAAACCAATTACAATACAAGGTCAACTTCTCAAGGCACCTACCATTTTCTATGGCAAAAAACAGTCTGCGGCAAGTAGCTTTTCCCGCATGTTGCTCAATTTAGTGATATTTCGCCATAGGATGTAAACAACGGGGCATGGAACATAACGAGGCAACATCTACATTCCCCCGAGATCATCAGGGCGTGGGCAGTTGTGGATTACAGTCTAAGGCTAGATCAAAACGTCATTAAAGCGTTTATGGACACACTTGAACAGTGTTGCACTGCACGGGGTATGTTGATCGCGCTGTTGAAAATCTGGTATTTCTCATGATATTCCAGGAATGAGTACGATTCCGTTTAGGTTTGTGAGAGTGTCGTTCATAATTTATTGTAGGTGTGAAAGCTAAGCCGTCATACAAACGAGGTAATGGTGTCGGCTCGGTAGACCGGGTACGCGCACTTTTTTGAAGTTTTCGTCTGTACTAAAGGATACAATTTTGAAGGATATCAAGGAGGCATGTGCGCTGGCATTGGTTTCAGCTGGAGCCCCTCGTGGTTATAATAAGCCACCTGAGATCGTGCTAGTTATCTTACCTCAATCTGCCGCTGATATCCGCCAAGATGTCAAGAGAGCGGGGGATGTCACCCTTGGCGTAAGTATCGTCATTGATCACAACTTTCTGGGCTGACTTGACCTCACGACTAGGTGTCCACTCAGTGTGTGGTGGGTTCAGCTTGATGTCTTGACCGTTAGTTATTTTCCAACGTATATTTCACAGCGGGAAGACAACATTGCAAAGTTTTCAGGGAGACAACTTGACCAATACTGTAATAACATCGCAATCAAGTGCATGATATTTCAAAACATAATTTTTATGAAGCTAATGTAGATTGGTTTACCTTCAGAATCAACGCTCGGTTAACGGGAGTGAACTCCATCCCATCATCGCCTGCATATGATTGGTTGACCAAAGAAGATTTCATGTTTTTTGGTCTGTAATGCCATCAATAATGCGACATTTGCACTGACATCGACGTTCATTTTCAGGGGCCGATGTTGGCCATCCTGGACCTGGTGTCCAGAACAAGCCCTCAGTTGCCAGCGTCGTTTTTTCATATGACCGGCACGGCGTCAAGTACAGTGCAACATCGAGGGTACAGCAGCCGCGACAGGAGAGAATAGGCGAGCTTGGTCCTATGGTTTATGTACGCATTGCCTTCTGTTGTCGGAACAATCAATTTATCATTTATAGGACGCCATTACACGATATGGCAAGGTCAACGGGAAAGCCCCGAGGAGACTTATGTTCTTTAGAGACGGTCTCTCTGAAGGTGAATACGCAGGTGTTGGTGAACTAGAGTTCCAAGACATCAAAGGTTCGTTGGAGACAAAGATCTTGTAGAATGCTAATAATCTATTCATTTAGAGGCTGTGAGAAGGGTTTGGGCTGAAGTCAAATTGAATGATCCTCCACCTCTAATCACCTACCTTATCGTGGGCAAGAGGTAATCTTCTACTTCAGGCGGGCAAGCAATGACCACTGACTTTCCTCGCAGGCATCACGTTCGCTTCTTCCCCACAAATCCGTGCGTACGTCTTCCTTTGCTTCTGTCCCTTATTGAATAGTCCTCGTAGTCAAGATGGAGATCGAAAGAGCGGCAATGTACAAGCTGGGTTTGTCGCCAGTGAAGGTATTGCCAATCCAATTGCCAAGGATTTTTACCTTTTGTCCCACGGTGGGATACTTGGAAGTTGGTGCACAGTATGTGGAGCGATTCAGACTAACTGATCATGGTTGGTCATTTCTAGCAAGCCGACCTGCCCACTACATAGTATTGAAGGACGAGATTTTCAATTTTGATATCAGGCCGTAAGTTTCAGTCAAAGAATGCATAAGTACCGACTAAGGTTCGTGTATTCTTAGCATACAAGAGGTGGCATATACTCTTTGCCACGCGTATATTAGCGCAACTCGATCCGTCTCCATACCTGCCCCTGTGTATTGTACGTGATTCTCCACCTTTTACCAAGTAAATTGTTGACAATTCTCTTAAAGATGCGGACGTACGACTATTATTGTTGATGCTTTAAAGCTGTAACTGATTCCATCTCTCACATTTTACAGAAGGTCTGCGCTCGCGCCGAGTATCACTTTGATGCGAGTTTACGGTACATCGACAGCGATGGTGCAACTGTAGCGAGTTCGAGTAGTTGTGAGAAGCAGTCATTTAACCTTAGCCAGTGGCGATCGGGCTACGCACAAACCCATTCGTCCATGCTGGCCAGGATGTTTTTCGCATGAAATTGTAGCTTTAAATCTTTAGCGTTTTGTCAGGACTAGCGTTATCTCATTGTATATACTTACCCGTGTTCTTTCGGGATGTTTCATTTTGATAGTCAGCGCAGTATCATACCATGGTCTAAAGGTCTGTTGGCATCCAGTAAGCACCTAACTGGTGAACGCCCTGTGGTACGAAGAGGCCGATGATCGTCTGGTCCCTCTGGTGACGGGAGAAGCGCGCATATATGAATATAGCTGCGGAGCCAGGAGAAAGTTCACAACATGAGTATCTCCACATGTTCGCGCACCGCGCTCGAGTATAGGATAGCTAAATAGCTTCGCGTGTCACCAGATGACTATGGAAGGAAGCCAGAGAAGAAATGTATCGACGTGCACACAAGTGATCCAGTATTGTAACGACTTGTAATGACGATCCAGCTCAACTGAGTCAACTCCCAAGTGGTCAGTGCTCATTGGAAGTGCCACTCTACGAAGGGGCACATTAAACTCTGGTCGCAGGGTTCCGGTACCCCTTTGAGATACGAACATCGATGATAAATGCAATCCATCCTGCAGTTTATTTTATATCACCTTGATCGATCACTGTGAAGTTCAAGACTCGAGATGTGGAGCAGTGAAAATAAGTTAGCCTATCTGCAGCGATCGCTACAGTGACCGACTTACCGACTAATCTCTTGTATTCGAGAAGGCGTGGAAATTGAAGCTTCTGAAGATCAAGACTCCCGAGTACGTGCCACTGGCCGCAGCCTTTACTAGGCCTAGGCGGACTCGAGTTGTAGTTGCCATTGTGAATGAACTAATTGTCCTTGCTTAATTCCGCGGCAACGCAGATGACAAGGATAAGTTAGCCAGCAAAATGGGACCCCACCGTGACCGCGAGGACGGGGAGGTCCCATGGATTCGGAATACAAATAGTACAACCGCGCATCGTACTGTAAGCTCAGGTACTTACTAAAAATCACGTGCCCATTACGCGATAGGACTAATCTGTTCCAAAAGGCTCTTGTACTCGACTTATCACATATTCAAACGTTGAAGATGACAGGCGCTAACTACATGGGAGGGAAAAGGTTAGTAAACACTAAATTGTATCATGGTTACTTATATTTCGTATATGTAGGAATGCTGCTCGAGCACGCACCAAAGACAGTACAGGTCGGGTTCAGAAGCGACATTTTGGTCAACAGAGGTTGGCAGCTGCATTATGCTACACGAAGGAAGGAAGGGAAAAGCCTGAAAAGATGTCCTTGAAGTCTGTTTTACATCAAATCAATCTTGCTCATGCACAACGAGACGCAAAAATCAAAGGCAATTACCCCTCCACGACGCATGGTATAAGCACATCGTGCGACACACCATTCGCCGACGGAATCTCATTTGGCACCCCAAAGCGCCACAAACAACCTTCGAAGATACTTCGAATGCTTGATTTTTCTGATCGTATGTGATACATACCCTGATGTGTCGATCTGTCTTACATCATGCACTGATCGTGTCAGCGGTGGCCTATCGTGATGCAATTGACCGCATATTATCAATCCCTCTGTCAGAAATGATTGGACTGCCCCTGCAAGGAAAGTCGTCCCACTCCGACTCGGAAGACGGAGGCCCTTGCATTGATCCCGAGGAACATCTTCTCCTGCCTATCGATGCTGACAGCGAGTCGGACGTTCAGGTAACATCAGAGAGAACGGTGAGCATCCAATTGTACACTGACCATATCCTAGTTTCAAGGAACGTTCAGTGACACCTTCTCTCGCACTGGTCGGTCTTCAGGAAGCGCTAGCCATTTGTTCCCAATAGATAACGATAATGATGGGGGAATTTATGACAATCATTTGAGCGGACGAATATTGCGGCCTCCTTCACCGGACCATCGTATGGTCATTACTTATGAGAGTCCACTACGGAGTGTCGAGACAGATAGTTTCCACGGAAGCTGGGTCAACGATTCAGGTTATGCTGACACGAATATTGCTGAGACTGGAAAGCTTCGCGGATCCGTGCCTACTCATGATCTCCAAGGTCAGCAACGATTTCCCTTACCTCTGTCAAACAGCTTTCCGTTTTCTTCCCCTTCTAATTCTCAAGGAACAGAGGAATACATTCTCAACATGGACACGTCACCACCCTCATCGCAGAATTCCCTTTCACAGTTGCATGGTGGATGGAGTTCTAACCACGGATATTTCTTGCAACGATCGCCATCCTCCTCCACTTCTCCGATTGGTTTCCCTGCACCCATCGTTACGCACGATTCTCCTGAGTCGTTCGGATGGGATAGCTCCATCAAGTGCAGCAGTCCTATATCACAGTCTCTTTGCCACACAAGTGATGTTAAGCAATTTTCAGCATCATCCTTCGAAACACAATACGCCCCTACAACTCCTCAGAAAGCTCGGAAGATGTTCCACGCTACCCAAATTTCGGAAGCGATTGCGAAATCCTTCACTGAGATATTCAACACGGGACATCGTCGATCTGTTCAGAACTCATATCCTGCCACTCGAACAAAACATGTGGAATCACACTCTTTCAATTCGTCGCAGGGATTTTCTTCTTTTGGCGGCTCGGATATACATGACCCTGGATTACCTTTGGACATCCTAAACGATCCGGACCCATGGTCGACTATCGGGAAGATTCTAAATCTCGAGACCGTAGAGCAGCACGACAATGATGACATCACTTTTACTCGCGGTCGGGAGGGTGTCGGCTATGTCAGGCATCGTTTGGATGGATCAGCATATATATGGAACACACCACGTAATTCGACGATAAGTCTGCGATCTGTCAAGTCAGAAAGTGAAGATCAACCCAAGGCTAGGGTAAACGATGAGGAAGAAGAGCACTCGGGGGAAACTACCGACCATTGTCGCCACCATTCTCAACATTCTGAAGGTTCCAAACCGGAAGAAAAACCTTCGCCTGATCACTCCAACCTTGCCACAAACATGAAATTCGCAAACGAGCCACGTTGTAGGTTGACAGTGGCAGAGTCGGAGATGCAAATCGAGCCATTTTGCGTCCCTACCGCACTCGCACATCGAGTCTCACCCCAGGATGTACAATGCAGTGGAATAGATGACGATGATTTGTATGGGGGGCCTTGTTTGTTCGGGGATTCAGACGAGGAAAATGAATAGTTTTCGACGGAAGATTTTGCACTAGCCTAAACCACCGGCAATGACCGAACAGGTATAATCACGAGTCACCTGATTTGACGCGTCTTCCCAGTTTATACTCTAGTACTTTAAAATCATTCCTGTCTCAATGCACGGCACGTTTAGTGCAGCTAAACCTAAAGTCCCCATCACTGGCCCCTGTAAATGGACCATATACTGTCGACTCATGCAAGATTTTTATCAAATGGTCACCGCGATGGGAATTTGCAGTGAATATAATGCCGAAGGCCACCGAGCGATATATGGTGTGCTTCGCGTTCATTATTTCTGGTGCGCAAAGTTCAAACTTCACTCGCTGATACAGACCATATCTCGTCGATTCTCGGGAAAGAACCCGCACTTACAGACGCACAGTCACCACCTACACTTACCTTCTACGCGACACGGAACATGCTGCGCCCTTATTTTATCCTGGGGCAGATCCCAGATTTACTTGACTGCCTAGCCATGGTCGACACTTTCCGCAAATATGCGGTCGATGCGTCTTCTGTTGCGTTATCGTGGCAGGAGTACTATGTGAAGGAACCTAGTTCTGATTCAGACAAGACACTACTCACGGAAAGAGAGCTAAAGAAACTCCAAGATTATGTTACGAACGATGAACATGACAGGCTGTATTATATCTTGACCACTAAGAATCTGTGTCTATTGGTGCGTTTCTCAGGATTCAAGGTCGACCTCGTTTTAGCTTCATTCCAGATAGCATGTTCACTATCTTGTGACGGCACCAGAGTCGTGCATGCTCGCAGAACGCCTAAACGACTATTTTCCAGGATGCTTTCCAGGCCATGATATACCGTCTAAGCTATTGTTTCAACACGGACTTTCTGACAGTGAGAAACAGATTATGGAAGAGGCATATCAAGCATGCAAGGAGTTCATACTGGACGTCACCCAATGGGAAGAGGAACGTGAAGAAGAACAGAAACAGTTTCTTGTGACGTAAGTCTTTCCATGGTCTCCGTGACAGGGGCTAACAGTCTTTAGCTTGACTGCAGAACAGGCCGACGCCGCATTTGAGCAGGCTTTTCGAGAGAAATTTCCTCCGCCATGTTCTCAGGAAGAACTAATTTCAGATTTGGATTACTACTTGAACACCGTGGAGAAAATGATTCGCAGGATGGAGGATTATTTTCCTTCAGACATGGTCCTGGAGAGATTAAAGCGGGCGGTCTGAACAGCATCATACTCTGCTGGTGGAAGGTCGTAGTGGGATGGTCTGGCGCAGGTCCTCTGGAATGCCAAGGGTCCTGGCGCAGTGGCAGGAGTTCAAAATTCAGGCTCGTAGTCGGTAGTCCTGCGCTGTGTTCAATGTAGTGGTCGATCCTTGATAGATAGAGATCTGACCTTGGGTTTCCCATGCAGTCCGTTCCAATCTCGTGAGTTTTGGATCATGCTGATACTATATGTAACCCTTAATACGGAGAGCAAGTCACAAGTTGATTTCGTTATGTAGACAACAGACAGGTGACAGGCTGGTCCTGGCGCACCCCACTGGCAGTAAGATGTGTCTAAGTAAACGGCAACATCGTTGTGAAAGCGGATTGCAAACGAGCTCTTTGAATATTTGAAGTCTGCTTTAACTTGAACAAGATTTCTCAAGTAACATTGATACGCCACTTTACATAAACTCACACTTTAGCGAAAACAACGTTTAAGGAAATTAGTGTGATTCAATAATATCCCTCCCCTCTATTCACGACCGCAGTGCCAGTGATCATTCCGACTCATGGCGCCGTTCAACCCGCCGAACACAGTTCTCAGCGGATTCAAAGAAAGACCAGAGGCTTTACTTGTCCAGGGCAAGTTCTCTCGGGTATGTTTACAGGCGTAGCATGCTCAATTGCCGTATATTTAGGTGACAAGTTGTATATTGGAACAGCAACAGGCAGTCTCTTCATCTACGAGTACAACGAATTCTCCGGTATGCCACTGTTGGATG